GAGGCCCATTATCAGCAACCATCAGTCCTGTGTTCCAATGGCACGTTGTGTTTGCTAATCCAAGTTTATCATTTTAAAAGGCTAATTGATCATTAGAAAACCCTTTTGCAATTATGTTAGAACAGCTGAAAACTGTTGTGCTGATTAAAGAAGCAATAAAACTGGCCTTCTTGAGACTAGTTGAGTATCTGGAGCATCAGCAATTGTGGTTAGATTTACAGGTTCAAAATGGCCAGAAACAAAGAACTTTCTTCTGAAACTCCAGGATGCTGACCTTCTAGGCAGAGTTGCAAAGAAAAAAAACATATCTCAGACTGGCCAATGAAAATAAAAGATTAAGCTGGGCAAAAGAACACTGGACAGAGGAAGATTGGAAAAAAAGTGTTATGGACAGACGAATCGAAGTTTGAGGTGTTCGGATCACAAAGAAGAACATTTGTGAGACACAGACCAGATTTAAAAGATGCTGGAGGAGTGCTTGATGCCATCTGTCAAGCATGGTGGAGGCAATGTGATGGTCTGGGGGTGCTTTGGTGGTGGTAAAGTGGGAGATTTGTACAGGGTAAAAGGGATCTTGAAGAAGGAAGGCTATCACTCCATTTTGCAACGCCATGCCATACCCTGTGGACGGCGCTTGATTGGAGCCAATTTCCTCCTACAACAGGACAATGACCCAAAGCACAGCTCCAAACTATGCAATAACTATTTAGGGAAGAAGCAGTCAGCTGGTATTCTGTCTATAATGGAGTGGCCAGCACAGTCACCGGATCTCAATCCTATTGAGCTGTTGTGGGAGCACCTTGACCATATGGTATGTAAGAAGTGCCCATCAAGCCAATCCAACTTGTGGGAGGTGCTTCAGTAAGCATGGGGTGAAATCTCTTCAGATGACCTCAACAAATTGACAACTAGAATGCCAAAGGTCTGCAAGGCTGTAATTGCTGCAAATGGAGGATTCTTTGACGAAAGCAAAGTTTGAAGCACACAATTATTATTTCCATTAAAAATCATTATTTCTAACCTTGACTACATTTCCTATGCATTTTGCTATATTTCCTATTCAAACTCATTTCATGTATGTTTTCATGGAAAACAAGGAGATTTCTAAGTGACCCCAAATTTTTGAACGGTAGTGTACATTTTATGGACACAGTCAATTTTACAACAGTTCTATTTTGTTTGTTTGTTTTTACTCCTGAACTTCCTCAACCTCCCCGATCATTTTCATGATGTGGAAAAAGTCAAGGGGTCTGAATACTTTCCGAATGCACTGTATATGTTACCATTAGTATATTACCATCAGTATTTATATATTCCTGCTACCAGTCACTTTTCAGCCCTGTTGACATGTATATCTGCCTATAACGCCTTCACTGACCATCTTGCACACACTCTCGTCACCGCGCACACCCCCACCCCCACTTATGCTGCTGCCATACTGTTTATTATTATTATTATTATTATTATTATTATTATTATTATTAAAATTATTATTAATCCTGCTACCAGTTACTTTCTCCTAATCCCTGCCTACATGTACACATCTACCTAAATACTACAGTATCCCTGCACATTGTACATTTGCTACTGGCACTGATCCTAATAAGCTTCCTCTTATTTCTTATTTGTCATGTATTTTTTTCCTTTATTTTTATTAGCTATCCTTTTTTGATATTGAATACGGCACTGTTGGGTAGGGCTTGCACTATAAGCATTTCATATAAGCATGCACTGTACTGTGCATGTGACTATTAAACATGAACTTGAACTTAATAACCCAGATGGGGTTATTCTAGGCCCAAAGCCATAAAAATCCTTTGGAGACCCTAATGTTAGAGTAGCTGTAAAATAACTTTGGGTCAGCTCAAAGTCCCAAAGAGCGTTTTTGTTTTGATTTAATGTGAAGTTCAACCTGAATGATTGATTGACATCTAGCTGCTAGAGTAAACAGGGGTTCATATATATATATATATATGACGCTGATATTGTTTTGCCTATCTATGGAACAAAAACAAAAACAGACAGGGAGACGGATGAGATGACGCTGATAACAATGTTTTGTCTCTGGATGTGAAATGGACAAAAACCAAACTCAGTTTTCAGGGATTCAACAGAAAATATTATTTCAGTATCACTCCTAGTGAGCTCTAACTGTGCTTCTCTGCATATGATAGTTGCTATGACTGCCCCCTGGTGATTTTGATTGGCAAGAGTGTGAAGGGTCTGACAAGCCAATGACCTGCTGGAATCCAGACCCATACTTGACCTGCCGCCCGTCGCCAGCATAAAATCAGTATGACAGACTCGAGGGAATAAAAACCACCAAACATGAACAATGATTCCGACGCAACTAAGATTTGCATAACGCTGTGCAAATGTCTGTAATTGTCTTACACATCAACACGGCACTCCATCTGTACAGGTCGTCAGGTACACCTCACTGAAAGTGATTGAACTTTGTCTGATAATTGTAAATTAGGATGGCGCAGCAGCCTGGGATCAAGATGCACATTTTAGGCCTAGTCCCACACCCCTCCATCCAGTCCCTCCTGGCCACGCACGGTGTTCCTCCTCAGGGTAATCTGCCAGCTGTCCTGTGCGATGCTGGACTGAGGTAGTTCTCCCAATCTGAGTTATAGCTGGGACACAGTATTACTTTCCTCCCAGTCGAGATCCCATGGACCTGCTGGGGGAACAGAAAACAAGGTGGAGACCTTCCCTCTTTCTGTTCCTCTCCTCCATTACTCCCTCCATCTCCAAGGGTCTCCAGCTCAGGTTCTCCGAGCCCACAGCAGGAGCTGTCTGAGAACGGACCACACAGCAGTTAAGTGATTACAGAAAATAAAAGTACACAATGGTCAATGGTTCCATGTCTGCCTGTGGTGGAGGGAGGGATCTTATCAAGCATTGTTTTAGAGGAAACGCTTTGCATCGCTCTATCAGTCTCTCCTTCCGTACCCCTTATCCTGAGCTCAGCCATACAAAAGGCACGCATTCCCAGCCTTGTTTTCAAAGTGGTGATTAACATTAACAACCTATGGCTCCAGTGGACCCTTGGGTTTAATTCAATAATGAATGTGCCTGTGTTCTTTTTACGACTGCGACAATGAAAACTATAGCCTACTGGAGACGTGCACAAACAAATGTTGGAATGACCAAGCATGGGCAGTTGGCACACATTCTTTAATTTTTGTAACAAACACGTGGACTGAAGCTCCTCAAACGTTTGATGATCACTAAGCAGACACAGGTTAATGTTTGACAGAGCATTTGATCTCTGTCTCAAGTAAGCTTGACACTGCGTTTAGGTGAAGGTTGTTGGGAGATGACGTGTAGGAGTAGATAAACACACTGGAGGAAAGCGCAGCAGCACATAGCTCACAGTAGCGGCATGAGCACCGATTCCTTTGCTTCCTGATCATGATAGTCAACATCAGCCCATAGCCTGAGGGGCTGGAAAAGGGACACCAGCGAATGACCTTTAGTGACGAGCACCTACAGTGGTGCTTTGGAAACAGGTACAGCAGGAGTCAACAAAAGCTTGACCGTGTGCAGAGCAAAGCAGAACACTGAGTCCCTCCGCTCTGAACACCCCTATAGAGCAGGCAAGTGTAATGTCTTCCAGCAGGGAGGGAGTGAGGAGAGGGAATGAGTGAGGCAAGTGCAGTGTGTAGAGCAGACCTGGGTTCAAATAATATCTAAAATCATTCAAATACTTTTAGCGTTTGCTTTAGTCTTCCTGTAGTGCCAGATGGACAGGGTCTGCACTTTTGTAACTATGCCATTGGTTCCATTTGCTCCAGGCAAGCTCAATCAAGACCAGATAAAATATTTGAAATGATTTAAAGTATTATTTGAACCCAGGTCTGTGGTTGTGTAGTGTGCTGGAGGATTAACCAACCAACCGCTCTAATTATTGGTGTAATTGCTAGGAGCTCTGGTAATGTCATGACTGGGGCTTTTCTCATTACTGCTTGACATCACAGAGAAGCTGGGCTGGCCTGGAGGTGGGGGTGTGGGTAGGGGGCAGTGCCAACTAAGCACCGGGCAGGAGAGAATTGAGCCGCAGGCAGCCTGAGCCGAGTGTCATAACTTGTTTAGTGTAATACCAAGGTGCTCAGGCAGAACTGGACAATATTGGCCCTCCTCCAAATGGATTCTGACTTCCTGTGAGCTAAAATGGGCTGATCAGGTTAGATCTGTAATCTCTCAGATAGCTCTCTCTCAGACCGTGGCTATCTGTGGGGACTGGGGATGACTTGTCTCTGGTCATTGTCAAACCCTAAGAGCCCACTGTTTCCTTGGCAACAACGGCACAGATTTTGACTGCCTTAATACTATTGGTCAGTGGTCATTATAATATTGAATCTGAGAGAAACTACAGATATTCTTTATGGACTGAATCATTTAGATTTTTTCTGATTCTGACATGTTTTGAAGAGCCATATGTGTAATGTCTTCCCATGACTTCTGTGTCTTAGAGCAGTAAATACTATTTTGTGGGCTGAACGTAAAGGGAGACGGTTTAACAACCCCTGTAGTTGTTTCAGGATTGTGGCCATTACCCCCCCAACTCCCCTTGGGGCACATTTAACATCAGGGCCTGGCCTGCTATGTTCAAAACATGCTCAACATATGGAGCTTTGTGTGTTAAACACATGAACCCTACTCTAGTCTACTCTCCTCCTCCACTGCTCCAGTCAGTTAGCCTCACAGCCTACTCTTTGTCTCTCTGTGACACCATAGGCTTTATGTTATACAGATACTGTACAGTAACAATAGCTTAGTCGTTCTACAGTTACAGTTCACAATCTCTGAGTCAGTCTTCCTTAGAGTCAGAGGTGACTGGGTCTAAAATTAGTCCGACAGGCTGATCATAATGCGATGTGGCTGTGCTGGCTGGTGGGGTTGAGGCTGTGTTGCTCTGGCGCTGTGCTCTATTACTTCCCCCCTGATGGAGCCCTGAGTGGGGCCTGTCCTGAGATGTCTGGGCTGCAGCCATGGCTGTTCAGCTCAAGCGCCATGCATCATGGGCCGGGTTGGGGATGTGTGAGCCCTGCGGGAGGGGTCTGGACCTGGGCCAGTTTGTCAACATCAAGCATCTTAGCCTCCCCAGATCAAACCCAGGAGCAGGGACAGAGTCAGAGGCCATGGTCAGGACCGACGGGTCGGGTTGGCTTCAGAGTTACTGGGTCAGCCAAGCCAAGCAGCTCCTCATAAGAGCTAGCCTACTTCTCTCTTTCTAGCAGTTAGCCTACATCTCCGACCATGCTCTGAAACCCCTGTGTACTTATGTAATATAATGAACAAAAAGATTTGGGTCTTCTTTTTTGTGTCGCTGAAGTGTAATTGAGGTTGCGTTATGCAGTTCTGTGCTACGTCACAACCTACTTCTGGGGTATTGTAATCTTCCTAGGGAAAGTAAAACCATCCCATGATGTAGCCCAGTGAGCACCACCTGACACTGAAGTCCATGGACGTTGAAATTTGTTCCGTCCGCCCTGGCGTTGATTTCAATGTCCAGTCGTCCACAGATGTCGTTTTTTGGCCCGGTCCGGCCATGATTTCAACGTCCACAGACATAGACGTATAATGGCTCTCATGAGTTACTGAGCTGAGCTCCACATGAAGACAGATTACCGTTACCCCTTCACCCCCTAACCCCTGCCCATACTGGTTAGTGGTTAGATTGGGGAGTAACTGGTTACTCTGCGCTAGGTTACACTTAATATCAGGAGAGGGGTAGTATGAAGTCATACTGCATGGGAGACTAGTCTTGGGGATGGTGTGTCTTTTTTATAAAAAAAAGCATGTTTTAACAAGCCCCAGTATATGGATGGAAACCTAAAGAAAGTAATTTAATATTCCAACCCACACGCACACAAACATACCACTGTCTATAGAATTGCCAGCTTCAGATCTGTATGTCTTCCTTCCATTGAGGCATTGGATGTAAGGCAGATTTACAGCGTATCATTAGTGCTCCTGCCTTAAGCCATTTACCCTATTCCAGTTATCGTCACGTGTTTGCTTCACCATAGTCCATTAGACTTGCAAATGCAAACAGTTTGAGCACCATATGTTCATAGATTTGGTATTCTAGGCCCTCCTATAAACTATTGGAATAGCCTAGCTGCGGTTTGGATCCTACCTGTGTGTTGCTTTATAATATTCACTATAATACAAGTTTGACTCTTGCTCTGATTTTGTTTTAACCACTTGAGCTTGTTGTGGTCCTCAAAAGCTTTTGGTGGTGATGATGAACTAGCGGTTCTAAGGACAAGATTGGTAACCGTAACAACAACAACCAACCTAGTTTCAAAACCCAGTACCCCACAACCTGAGGTTACAATGAAATGACACATCCACAGTATGTAAGTGAGCTAAGCTTTCCTCTCAGTTTAGGTAGGATAGCACAGTACACCTGTACTTGTTGTCAGTGTGTGTTGCGGACCTGTGTTCAAATATTTAAAATACTTTTTCTGTGTATTTGAGTATTTTCAAATATACAACCCAAAACAAGTACTTTTATTTTAATAATTGAATGGTTAATTGTAAAAAATTAAATAAAAAGTCTACCAAACAGTATTTTCGAATACTTATTTCAAATACTATTTTCAAATACATGGGTTAAATGCATGGGAGTATATTTGAGTCCATACATTTGAGTATTTTCAAATACTTTCTAAGTGTATTTCCACACACATTAAAATATTTAACTACTTGTCTTTTCAAAAGATATCTGAATACTTACTTTGAATGTATGTGAAAGTAATTGAGATATTTGAAATAGTATTTGAACCCTGAGACCGAATCCACAAAGCATCTCAGAAACATCTTTAAAACCTGTTTCAAGACAACAACAAAAACTCCCAGCTCAGAGTAGGTTTTAGAATGTTGTTAAGACACTGCCCTGACAAACTCTGAGCCAGGAGTAAAATCAACTCATAAACATTTATCTCAGCTCGTAATCACGACAGTTTGAGGTACCGCAAAGGAAAGTTAGTGATGACGCTCATTGACATTGTTGCAAATGATGGGGAATAACCAATCGCGATGAGCCATCGCCATTCGCCAGCTGTGAACTCTGGTCTATAGCACGCTTCAGACAACCACGGTGAATGTTACTGTACATCAAATGTTGCAATGGTCAGGGACGGACTGGGACCAGAAATCGGCCCTGGCATTGCTATCATACCAGGCCATTTATACCCTCAAGGGAAACAGTGATTATTTTCCGCAAACTCCCAATTTAGACAGGCCCACTGGGATGACAATGGACCATCCCATCTGGCAATGGTAAAACGTTTGATATAATTTTCGCCTGACAAGATCGCTTTGCCTACTCTTAATTATTGCCTAATATGTTGGCATGCATATTAATTTTTTTAACCAATTCTGATGATTGTTAAAAGTGGAATTTTGATCATATTACGTTAGATCAACACATGTCACTCCCGTTTAAAATCTCCAAATCGCTTTGGCACAGTAGGCATCAACTCACTTGCCTATAATGTTGCATATAACGTTTGAAAGGTAGATCATTTTCATCGAACACAATCAAAGTTTACATAAGCCCTAAATACCTTCAATTGCCCAACTTTGGAATGCCCAATTTAGGCATCTTTTTTTACAACGTGATGCTGTGCTCCAAAGGGGTAACTTGAAATAACATGATTTAGGTCATTAAATAATCAAAGAAAAAAATGTGTTTATTTATTAGCCTAGTGGTGTAAAGTATTTAGGCATATCATGTGAAATAGGCCTCATGACATCGACATCGCTGTCAAAAGTGCAAGAGATACTGTTGCGTGTAGGTCTAGATTATTCATGTTTTGATCATAAAGAAATATCAAACATTATTTTAACAACTCCAATGCAATTGCATGTGGCGCTGGAACCACTGACTCGCTGCATTTCTTTTATCAAGACACCTGCTGGTAACTCTTAACTGTTTAGGACAGCTCATGAGGTGTCCTAAATATCTGTCAACTAAGTGTGACTCTTATGGCGTAAAGGGTCTCTATTCTCAGCTGTTATGTCCTAGAGTCCTAGAGGTGTGGGGGAGTTCTCTTCTCCAGCCCTGGGCTGTTTGGTGTCAGGTGAAGCCTGTCCTGTCCTGTACTGAAAAGAGAGCTCATGCCATGGTTACCTAGTTTGCATCTTTTCCATGTTTCCATGTTGCTAGGCCGTCCAGGCTGTTTCCTAGAATGTATTATGAGTGGCTTTTTGACGAATGAAGAGAAATCATCTGTTTCAACATTGAAAAGTGGTGATATTGGATTCTCTGCATTGCTATTAGTAGTTAATTTCCATTGACTTCGGTTAATAAGTAGCCTAACCCTCAGCTAATGGGCTAAATGTGAGGTTTTTAGTGTATTTGCTCAATTCAGGTCCTAGCCACTATCTTCCATTAACTAGAACCCTGAGGCATCCTGTTCAGAAACTGTGTGTAGCTAAATACTGTTGTTAATGTTACTGCTTACTGCCAGGGAAGAGCCTAGAGGGTGGACAGGATGGACAGACAGACTTCCTCACCATGTGAAAAGGACAAACATTTTGTCCTGTTTTCATCCTGGGCTCAGTCAGTGAATGACAGCACTTGCATAAGCAGAATAACTGCCATACCAGCAAAATCTATTTAAAAAATGTTGTTGCAGAACTGCTACTCAGAGTCATTAAATAAATTGCGAAATAATCACGTGGCAATTATTGGATGCTATGTAGAGCTATAAATGTCTTCGAGCAAGAGTGTTCATTGACCTCAACTGAAAAGTCCATCGACGTGCCCTCCTTAGTTGCACAGTGAGGTCTTGGGAAAGAGAGATTCAGGCCCAGGGTAACTGAGTGTGAGGGGATTGTTTCTCTGCATGGGGTAATGTAGGTCTGGTCTGGTTGCTGCTGGGGTGACTGGGTTCACCATCCACAGTCTCCGAGCACAGCAGAGAGAGAGAGGTTAGGAAGTGAACGGAGGAGACTTAGACCAGCTCTGACCTGTCTGTCTGTCAGTAACTGTACGGTTGGGGCCTCCGGTGCTAGCAGGATGTCACCTGGAAAAGAGAGCATCATCCTGATATTACATTTTCAATTTGGAATTCTTCCCTTCGTCTGAAATGTAAATGCTTTTAAATGGAGAAAGCCCACAGATGAAAACAGGCCAGCAAATTTCCTGTTGTCATTTGTGAAATTCTTCTTTGTTTTTGTTCAGTTTGTTCAATGTATTACAGAATGTAGGCTAAAGTGGTATGTCTCAGAAAATGTGAGAAGACAGACTCTTAGAACATCCATAGAATGTATAGGAATTTGTTCAGTTGGGACCTCAATACAGCCCTTTGAATGTGGCCTTAACCTGTTTTTGACTGCATCCCAGCCTACATTTAGTCAGTATGTTTTACATTTAGTCAGTATGTTTTACATTTAGTCAGTATGTTTTACATTTAGTCAGTATGTTTACTTCCACAGTGAATATAAACAATAGGAGGTGATGCCAGGATATTAAAGCAATAGTTTAACATTTTCCAGTTTTATTGTCACATGCAGTGTTACAGTACAGTGAAATGCCTTTCTTGCAAGCTCTGACCCCAACAATGCAGTAATCAATAACTATGTAATACAAAAAATAACAAGGTAGAACAAAAACACATGAGATATAGAAATTAGAACAGGATAAAGTAAGCATACTATATACAGGGTCAGTTCCAGAACCATATTTACAATGTGCAGGGATACTGGATCGATAGAGATACAGTGAGGGAAAAAAGTATTTGATCCCCTGCTGATTTTGTACGTTTGCCCACTGACAAAGAAATGATCAGTCTATACATTTAATGGTAGGTTTATTTGAACAGTAAGAGACAGAATAACAACAAAAAAATCCAGAAAAACGCATGTCAAAAATGTTATACATTGATTTGCATTTTAATGAGGGAAATAAGTATTTGACCCCCCTCTCAATCAGAAAGATTTCTGGCTCCCAGGTGTCTTTTATACAGGTAACGAGCAGAGATTAGGAGCACACTCTTAAAGGGAGTGCTCCTAATCTCAGCTTGTTACCTGTATAAAAGACACCTGTCCACAGAAGCAATCAATCAATCAGATTACAAACTCTCCACCATGGCCAAGACCAAAGAGCTCTCCAAGGATGTCAGGGACAAGATTGTAGACCTACACAAGGCTGGAATGGGCTACAAGACCATCGCCAAGCAGCTTGGTGAGAAGGTGACAACAGTTGGTGCGATTATTTGCAAATGGAAGAAACACAAAATAACTGTCAATCTCCGTCGCCCTGGGGCTCCATGGAGTTGCAATGATCATGAGAACGGTGAGGAATCAGCCCAGAACTACACGGGAGGATCTTGTCAATGATCTCAAGGCAGCTGGGACCATAGCCACCAAGAAAACAATTGGTAACACACTACGCCGTGAATGACTGAAATCCTGCAGCGCCCGCAAGATCCCCCTGCTCAAGAAAGCACATATACAAGCCCGTCTGAAGTTTGCCAATGAACATCTGAATCATTCAGAGGAGAACTGGGTGAAAGTGTTGTGGTAAGATGAGACCAAAATCGAGCTCTTTGGCATCAACTCAACTCGCCGTGTTTGGAGGAGGAGGAATGCTGCCTATGACCCCAAGAACACCATCCCCACCATCAAACATGGAGGTGGAAACATGCTTTGGGGGTGTTTTTCTGCTAAGGGGACAGGACAACTTCACTGCATCAAAGGGATGATGGACGGGGCCATGTACCGTCAAATCTTGGGTGAGAACCTCCTTCCCTCAGCCAGGATATTGAAAATGGGTCGTGGATGGGTATTCCAGCATGACAATGACCCAAAACACATGGCCAAGGCAACAAAGGAGTGGCTCAAGAAGGAGCACATTAAGGTCCTGGAGTGGCCTAGCCAGTCTCCAGACCTTAATCCCATAGAAAATCTGTGGAGGGAGCTGAAGGTTTGAGTTGCCAAACGTCAGCCTCGAAACCTTAATGACTTGGAGAAGATCTGCAAAGAGGAGTGGGACAAAATCCTTCCTGAGATGTGTGTAAACCTGGTGGCCAACTACAAGAAACGTCTGACCTCTGTGATTGCCAACAAGGGTTTTGCCACCAAGTACTAAGTCATGTTTTGCAGAGGGGTCAAATACTTATTTCCCTCATTAAAATGCAAATCAATTTATAACATTTTTGACATGAGTTTTTCTGGGTTTTTTCTCTCACTATTCAAATAAACCTACCATTAAAATTATAGACTGATCATTTCTTTGTCAGTGGGCAAACGTACAAAATCAGCAGGGGATCAAATACTTTTTTTCCCTCACTGTAGATATGTATAGGGGTAAGGTGACTAGGCATCAGGATGTATGATAAACAGAGTAGCAGCAGCGTATATGATGATTGTACATGAGTGGGTGTGTGTAGAGTCAGTATAAATGTATGTACATATTATGTGTGTGAGTAAATTATGAAGTGAGTGCTTGTATGTGTGTTGGAGTGTCAGTGTGCGTGAGTGTGTAGGGCCCTGTGAGTGTGCATAGAGACCAGTAGCCTTGACAGTATGGGTAGGCTCTGAAAATAAGAATAAAATACAACGGTCAACTCAGATAGTCCGTGTAGCCATTTTGTTAGCTATTTAGTTAGCTATTTAGCAGTCTTATGGCATTGGGGAGAGAAGCTGTTCAGGAGCCTTTTGGTGTCAGACTTGATGCGCCTGTACCGCATGCCGTGCGGAAGCAGAGAGAACAGTCTATGGCTTGGGAGGTTGGAGTCTTTAACGATTTTCCGGGCCTTCCTGTCACACCGCCTGATTATAGAGGTCCTGGATGGCAAGGAGCTCGGCCCCAGTGATGTACAGTGGAGAAAAAAAGTATTTAGTCAGCCACCAATTGTGCAAGTTCTCCCACTTAAAAAGATGAGAGAGGCCTATAATTTTCATCATAGGTACACGTCAACTATGACAGACAAAATGAGAAAAATAATTCCAGAAAATCACATTGTAGCATTTTTAATGAATTTATTTGCTAATTATGGTGGAAAATAAGTATTTGGTCAATAACAAAAGTTTCTCAATACTTTGTTATATACCCTTTGTTGGCAATGACACAGGTCAAACGTTTTTTGTAAGTCTTCACAAGGTTTTCACACACTGTTGCTGGTATTTTGGCCCATTCCTCCATGCAGATCTCCTCTAGAGCAGTGATGTTTTGGGGCTGTCGCTGGGCAACACGGACTTTCAACTCCCTCCAAAGATTTTCTATGGGGTTGAGATCTGGAGACTGGCTAGGCCACTCCAGGACCTTGAAATGCTTCTTATGAAGCAACTCCTTCGTTGCTCGGGCGGTGTGTTTGGGATCATTGTCATGCTGAAAGACCCAGCCATGTTTCATCTTCAATGCCCTTGCTGATGGAAGGAGGTTTTCACTCAAAATCTCACGATACATGGCCCCATTCATTCTTTCCTTTACACGGATCAGTCGTCCTGGTCCCTTTGCAGAAAAACAGCCCCAAAGCATGATGTTTCCACCCCCATGCTTCACAGTAGGTATGGTGTTCTTTGGATGCAACTCAGCATTCTTTGTCCTCCAAACATGACGAGTTGAGTTTTTACCAAAAAGTTATATTTTGGTTTCATCTGACCATATGACATTCTCCCAATCCTCTTCTGGATCATCCAAATGCACTCTAGCAAACTTCAGACGGGCCTGGACATGTACTGGCTTAAGCAGGGGGACACGTCTGGCACTGCAGGATTTGAGTCCCTGGCGGCGTAGTGTGTTACTGATGGTAGGCCTTTGTTACTTTGGTCCCAGCTCTCTGCAGGTCATTCACTAGGTACCCCCGTGTGGTTCTGGGATTTTTGATCACCGTTCTTGTGATCATTTTGACCCCACGGGGTGAGATCTTGCGTGGAGCCCCAGATCGAGGGAGATTATCAGTAGTCTTGTATGTCTTCCATTTCCTAATAATTGCTCCCACAGTTGATTTCTTCAAACCAAGCTGCTTACCTATTGCAGATTCAGTCTTCCCAGCCTGGTGCAGGTCTACAATTTTGTTTCTGGTGTCCTTTGACAGCTCTTTGGTCTTGGCCATAGTGGAGTTTGGAGTGTGACTGTTTGAGGTTGTGGACAGGTGTCTTTTATACTGATAACAAGTTCAAACAGGTGCCATTAATACAGGAAACGAGTGGAGGACAGAGGAGCCTCTTAAAGAAGAAGTTACAGGTCTGTGAGAGCCAGAAATCTTGCTTGTTTGTAGGTGACCAAATACTTATTTTCCACCATAATTTGCAAATAAATTCATAAAAAATCCTACAATGTAATTTTCTGGAAAAAAAATGCTCAATTTGTCTGTCATAGTTGACGTGTACCTATGATGAAAATTAAAGGCCTCTCTCATCTTTTTAAGTGGGAGAACTTGCACAATTGGTGGCTGACTAAATAATTTTTTCCCCCAATGTAGTAGTAGTAGTAGCCTAGGAAGCCTAGTAGCCAAACATAGGCTAGCTATTAATAAATTAGAAAATATGACCATGCTATGTAATGCAGCTTGAAGTGGAGAACATTCTGACCTGCTTTTAGTATGTACGTCTCTGCAATAAGCCCACTCAGGTTACCCTCTGTGACTCCGCAAACTCCGGTCACTCTCTAAGCTGAAATTTCCATAACAATTGTTCATTTTATGATAAAAGCACAACATTTGGCAGAGAGGTAGATTCAATAGCGGAGATGACCACACATGCCTGGTTTGCTAAGTTCGCCGTATTGTACATTGCTCTTCCTTACTCTTTTTTGTATTAAAAACTCTGTGGATAGTGCTAAAACAAGGACATCATCTTTATGCACATTCGCCATTCACCTAGTACATCCTGCAAATATTGCTTGTATCACAATCTGAACGATTATTAACCCCACTACTGAGTCTTTGAGTCAGTGAATGTGACAGAACCAATGTCATGGCCTTATGTTTCCATCCCTAGGATTGGCTCTAGCACTAACTCTGTTTACTAGCCTGGTGCCTCATTTATCAGCCGTGAGTACATTTCGTACTAAATTCTAGCCAACGTGGAGATTCTAGGATTTGCGTGCGCCACAAATTATTGGGATTTATCAAACTGTCGCACGCAACATAAATCAGAGCCATATTATATTTGTGTGGTCATGAACAAGCACTACAACCCCGCCTGAAACTCCCTCCATTTACCTTTAATGGTAACAAAAACGTGCTCATTTGCTGTATGATTTGGAGATGTAACTGGGCCATTATAGTTCCTAAAAGAAAGTGCAATGGTAAATCTGATCACATTTCTGTGGAGGCGTGGGCAGAATGTTGCAGTGACTTTTCCAAACTAAAAATGCATGCCGCCTAGCGAGTGCCAAACACTGGCCGCGCATTCTGCAAGATCGATTGTCCTTTCAAACAATTTAAAAGTAAATGCTACAGCCCACACGTCTATGCAAAAGACAAGCTGTTGTTCAATATTGTGTTTATCAAAACATGATTGTGTTTCTATCTCCTGCCTTGGTATAGGCTCTGAAATGAAATAGGCTAGGCTATGATGTCGCGCTCCTAATATCGCACAGTAATACTGTAGCCTACCTATACTGTCAAGGCTACTGGTCTATTTACTTTCGATCATGCTTGGCTATTGAATGAGCGATTTGATAAATGGTAGCATACTATTTGTTGTGTAGTGGGAATAATTTAAACCAGTTATGTCAGAAAAGGGGAGACGTCCTGCAATATGATTATGAATTAGGCCTATATAATAAAAGTAAAATGAACATATTAAGTGACATACTGCTATGTGATCTCCTTACCAACGGCAAATACATCTGTTTTATTATTAGGCCTAAGTTTGAATGTTTCTGTTATCTTACCATTATTATCATTCCAGTGCATCAAACACCTCCCATTTCCCCCAAACGAACAATAAGCATATTTGCTTGCAAAACAGTTGATCAACCTTCTAGAAGTTGTGAGCATGGTTTGAGATTTGCGTCGAGCTACGCACGCTTTCCCGTCAAGTTCAACATTCATAAATACCAACCTTTGCCGGAAAACTGGCGCATGCAAGGTTTTAGAGGATTTGTTTGTGTGCACGCAACTTGATAAATGAGGCCCCTGGTCCCAGATTTGTTTTTGCTGTCTTCCCAGCTCTTATTGTTGTTGAGTTGGCAAGGCAGCACAAACAGATCTGGGACCAGGCTATCTGCTCCCTGCCTCAGCGGAGATCTCCTTAGCAGCTGTTTCCTCTTGACAATGACTTGCGTTATCTGTTCCCATACACAAAAAAAAAAATTATGCACGCATGACTGTAAGTCGCTTTGGATAAAAGCGTCTGCTAAATGGCATATTATGTATTATATGATATATTATATATTATTATTATTATTATATTATATTATATATATATTTATAACTGGAGACTGCCACACCCTCCATGCTTAGGACAATATCATTTGATTTCAGTTTATTTAAATTTTTACAGGGACATTGCACATTTAATCAATGTTTCAGTAAAAGTGCCGGTTTTAGCCAGCCGGCTAATTCTCAACCGCAGTCCCTGGGCAGGTTATTAAAAACAATTACAATACAGACAAACAATGAGCAGTGAGCAACATGCAGAGCAACGTAGGACAAGCAACACGTAGACTTGTTTTTGATAGCTCGGAAGGATTTGTTGGGTATACTATTCGCGTTCACTGATGTGGGGCCTAGTCTTATTTATGGTGTTATTATAGACACCAGTGATTTTGGACTGCGACGGGTTGTCATCACAAACTTGATCTGTTTGTACAATCTGGAATAATATAATTAGTCTAGCAGGCAGCCTGGGGAGAGGAGGGATTCCTCAAAGGGAAAAGAAGAGGAGTATAAATTGAGGCGTGACCCAGGCTCTTCCCCTGGGTGGAATGGAAAAGAGAACTCCAAGACCTTAAAACCTGGAATCCGTAATGGTGAAACAGCCACGTCCGTCTGCGATATTTCAACAACAAACACCGTTTTTTCCCTCTGACATCATTGCACGCGTGATAGAAGAGCACAATATATACTGGAATTTTGTTTACAATGTTACTCCTTAGCTCGGCAACAAAAACGATAACAGCGGTGTTGGGGCGGCCAGTGTCGCTGTTCCCCCACTACTGCTGATTCCATCTTTAAGGAAGGGATTGACATTCAAGTCTGGAAATTATTTTTTGGTTGCCCTAAGATTATGATCACTTGTCATATTTTGCCTGCCTTTCACATAGGGGAGGAATCAGAAATATCAGCACTGGAATTCTCTCAAAGCAGGCTCAACTTGCCATAAATACTGTAAATTGTCAGTCTTTCACTTAAACAATGGGAGGAACCAGAAAGATCAGTAACAAAATCATCAGCCCAATGCTTCTTATCTCTATAATTTCTCTGATCAAAGGGCACTGGCTGACTCTTGCACAATGGCCCTGTGGTGGGTGGGTGGTTGGGTGGGTGTGTGTGTGCGTGGGTGTTCTTCCACTGCCGTTGCTTGTTTTTCCTCTCCCAATCTCATGTTTGCTTAGTTCCTATGATAAGAATAAAGGCCGGAAACAATATTTCTTCAGCTCCATCCTTTGTTTATTTATTCCAAGGAGGGTTCCTAGAGTGAGGGTTGTTATGGCCATGGTGGTAGACTAATGCCTGCTGGGACCCAGAAAGAGATCAGACAAGCAGAGCAGCTCCATGGGTCTAGATGTCGGCTAAGACCGGCGGCACTGTTGTTGTTCGCACCTCTATTAGACTGGCTTCTGTTAGTCCCTGTAGTAATTTACCTGCACCCGTAAACAAGAGGAATAAGCACATTCCCCACTGGACACAGACGTTAGTTCAACGTCTAGTTTTCATTTACATTTGGTTGAGTTGTCAACTAATGTGAATTCATTGTGAAAGCAACAAAAATATTCACCATGTCATTTGGATTAAGGTTGGAGGTTAGGTGAAAAAACAATGAAATGCTATGTTGATGACTTTTTGCAAATCCAATCAGTTTTCAGATTGATTCAATGTCATCACAGATGACGTGGAAACAACGTTGATTCTACCTGTTTTTGCCCAGTAGGTCTTCTCTTTTAAAATATATTTGATCTAGGTGGCTATTCTGGTCCGGCAATATCATTATTCAAAAGGGCTGATATAACATAGCCTAGACTAAATCATGTTTTTTTTGTAATGAGGAACTGTAAGGGTTATTTTTACATATCTGTTAGAAGGACATGGTCTGTAGTGTGTATTTGGTGTTGAAATAAGACTCAAGTGTTTTCCTGATCAGTGCTTCCTCTTTCCTCAGTCTCTCTTCCTGCTCGTTTGCACTACAGTGCTCTTCACTACTGGTCTAGGTGGTGTTTAGATCAAGCCTCTGGAAAATTCTAGTTTACTGTATTCTCTAATACGTTGGTTAGGATTCAGATATTAAGGTCACTCATCCTCGTCCTTTAGGACTGTCATGTGTAGATAAACATGGCCTATTCCACAGGATCAGTCAAAGTCTAGAGCAGAGGATACGTTTGTGTGTTTGTTTAGATAAATACTCTGAGGACAAAAAGAGTCACACCTGACTTCTTAACCCAGAAACGAAGCGTAATGCAGAAAACTATCTGATGTATGTATACAAAAGCCTATAGGCTTAATCGCTTTTACTTACTCACCTCTTTTCTTTGTTGACATGCATTGTTCATAGTAATTCATAAAACCTGATTTTTTTTAAATTGTTTTTTTAGCGTGGCAGCCGGAAGAGGAGTGCCTCACGTCACCTCACACTCTAGCAACATTTCCCATGTAACAACAAAGCCTGTGTGAACAGTTAAATATTGCTGTTATTGTTCGTATACTGTAATTTAATACGTACCCTAACCCTCAACTCTCTCTGTCCTGCAGCTTGGGTGGGCTCCCTCTCCATGGGGATGATCTTCTTCTGTTCTCCCATCGTCAGCGTCTTCACAGACCTGCTGGGCTGCAGGGTGACAGCCGTGGGCGGAGCCGCCGTGGGCCTGGTGGGACTGCTGGCCAGCTCCTTCGTCACGTCAGTACTTGTATAGCTACCCTCCTCTTCATCAACCACTCTGATGTGTTGTGTCTAAATGCTGTCGGGCGTTGGTGTGCCAGGGACTTTTTTATACTAAAGTCCTCCCTACACGTGGTGGGTGTGTGTGGATGTGGATGTGTGTGTGTGTGTGTGTGTGTGTTAACAAGATAAAGGACATACAGGAGCTCAGCCTGCTCTCAGGTCCTCTCTTTCTAGACGTCTCACGGGATGGCACAATACCAAACTCTCAACCATTAATCTACGTTAATCCGCGCACACACACACACACACACACACACACACACACACACACACACACACACACACACACACACACACACACTACTACAATAATAATAGTTGGCTCAGTGTCAGTCAGTAAGGCTATGGCCTGCCTTTGAACAACACCTAGAAAAACCCCTCTGGATCTGCTCTCTGGGTGGTCTACTTTTGATTCCCTTTGTCACAATCAAAGTAATTCTAGCTTTTTTTTAACCCATTATCTGTCTAAAATAAGGGAACATTACTACAGGTGACAGATCACTGGGTCAAAGTAGATGTACAGTGAAAGTATTGTTAAAGGCCATAAATGAATACCACAGCTGTGTTTTATCTAGGATCAGCCCTGTAGTGGAGTGAGAAGTGAGTAAACATTAGCGCTCTTGTCTTGATGACCGTAGCCCTCTGAGAGACCTGTCATTAGCGTTAGTCTAAACTCCTGCGTGCTGTTGGCTCACAGAGGACTGGGAGGTAAACAAACACACAGGACTGACATGACTCAGTCAGCATAGTGAGTGGACACACACCCTGGGAGTGAGGATGTAACTGATACCCTCCAGGTGTTGGAAGTTGAACCAGGCTAGCAAGTTCACAGCAGCTCAATCATCTTCACCCTGGTGTTTGGTTTGTTTTCCAGACTCTCAAGTGAGTCAGACTTGAGAACTTGTTTAGCTAGACCCTCTATTGAGTCAAGTTCATAGCGCTTGTTTTTTCTGTGTATGAAATTTAAGCAGGTGTAAACATAAACATGACCGTGGGGAACTCCCATCCTATCCTATCCTATCCTGTCTCTCTTCTACTCTCTGGCCCCACAGGTCCCTGGGTCCCATGTACTTCACCTACGGCATCGTGTTCGCCACGGGCTGCTCCTTCGCCTACCAGCCCAGCCTGGTGATCCTGGGACACTACTTCAAGAAGCGCCTGGGCCTTGTCAACGGCATCGTGACGGCCGGCAGCTCTGCCTTCACCGTCACCCTGCCCTTCCTCCTGTCTGGCCTGCTGGAGAAGGTGGGCCTGCAGAACACCATGAGGGTCCTCAGCATCCTCATGTTCATCCTCATGCTGGCTGGGCTAACCTACACTCCCCTGCTGCCCAAGCCTGTCAGCAGCAACAAGCAAGGCAGCCGCTGCCCGTCCATGAGCAAGCTGTTCAATGTCAACATCTGGAAGTCTCTGGGCTACCGGATCTGGGCCTTCGGCATCCCGGCAGCCCTCTACGGATACTTTGTGCCTTACGTTCACCTGGTGAGTTGTTTTGTTTTTCAGTGGTGATGTGTGGTTTTCATTACTCAGGTCTCTCTGTGTTAAAGGTTACTGACATGTAGCAAAAAAGAACAGAGGTAGAAACACAACATAGAAACGTGGCAGTGTGGAACATGTGGGGTTTATTTCGTGTCCACTGTCCATCATATTCTCAATATCTCCCTCATTGTGTGTTTTGGACATTGGCTCTGGGTAACTCAGTTGGCAGTAATAGCCAGGGGTGAGGGGTCAGTAGATCTAGAGCAGGGATCTCTACCAGTAGCTCGCTGCCCACCTATGAGTAGCTTGCCAAGCAATTCTGAAAGTACATGCATTTTTTCATTTGTTCCATCGCAAACTATAAAAAACATAAAGCTCCCGGCAACTATCCAGTCAAAGCCACATTGACATTATCTCACCCCTAGTTAACCACTATTGGCTTAAAAAGCCAAACGTAACACAACATCTGCCAATACATTTCCATCAATATTGCCCCTCTCTGTCGGTTTGGGGCACGCGTTTGTTTATAACGCCGTATGTAGCCAGTTAGCGATGCTAATGATAACCGTCTTGTGGGTAGACAGAAAGACTTTCCCCAAAAACCTTCTCAATTAAATGTTAACTTCAAAGTAGGCTTACCTGACAGAACTATAAATAAGGATTATTTGTATCAATTGAGTGGCCATTGTTCTACAAACTGTGCCATGACGTGCTGCAGCAGTAGTCCTAACAGCAGAAACATCGCTAGACCGACACATTTCTCTTCTTCTTTTCCGGCAGACTACATGCTTTGTTGTGTATTGCTGCCTTTCACAGTTTGGAAAGTGCGTTGCACATTTGTTCACAAAAAATTTGAAATGGGAGGGGAAAAGGGAAATTGCACCGCCATCTAACCCTATTTGGAAAGTATTCAGACCCCTTGACTTTTTCCACATTTTGTTACGTTACAGCCTTATTCTAAAATGGATTAAATCATTTTTTCCCCTCATCAATATACACACAATACCTGTTAATGACAAAGCAAAAACAGGTTTTTAGAAATGTTAGCAAATGTATTAAAAATTAAGAACTGAAATATCACATTTACATAAGTATTCAGACCCTTTACTCAGTACTTTGTTGAAGCACCTTTGGCAGCGATTACAGCCTTGAGTCTTCTTGGGTATGATGCTACAAGCTTGGCACACCTGTATTTGGGGAGTTTCTCCCATTCTTCTCTGAAGATCCTCTCAAGCTCTGTCAGGTTGGATGGGGAGTGTCGCTGCAAAGCAATTTTCCGGTCTCTCCAGAGATGTTCGATCAGGTTCAAGTCCGGGCTCTGGCTGGGCCACTCAAGGACATTCAGAGACTTGTCCCGAAGCCACTCCTGCGTTGCCTTGGCTGTGTGCTTAGGGTCGTTGTCCTGTTGGAAGGTGAACCTTTGCCCCAGTCTGAGGTGACCATCGTGTTCTTGGTCACCTCCCTGACCAAGGCTTTTCTCCCCCGGTTGCTCAGTTTGGCCGGGTGGCCAGCTCTAGGAAGAGTCTTGGCGGTTCCAAACTTCTTCCACTTAAGAATGATGGACTGTTCATGGGGACACAATCCTGTCTCGCGCTCTACGGACAATTCCTTCGACCTCATGGCTTGGTTTTTGCTCTGACATGCACGGTCAACTGTGGGACCTTTTTATATAGACAGGTGTGTGCCTTTCCAAATCATGTCCAATCAATTGAATTTACCACAGGTGGACTCCAATCAAGTTGTAGAAACATCTCAAGAATGATCAGTGGAAACAGGATGCACCTGAGCTCAATTTCGAGTCTCATAGCAAAGTGTCTGAATACTTTTATTTTATGGGATATTGTGTGTAGATGTTTTAATTTTATTTAATCAATTTTAGAATAAGGCTGTAGCGTAACAAAATCTGGGAAAAGTCAAGGGGTCTGAATACTTTCCGAATGCACTGTATATATCACTATCCACAACACACCACACTACCTCTTCTCACTACTTTGACCCCAACAGATCCTACACCAGGCCGTTGGCCTGGGAGGCTGGAACACCTTCTCTCAAAGCCCCCTGTAGGCCTTCTGCACTGAAATCTCAAACACTCGAAAACTTCTGTTGCTGCTACTACCAATTCAATATTCTGGGATTTCCTTTCCATCTGTGCGGTACAATTAATGACCATAGCAATAAACGTCAAGAAGCCAACCTTACTAAAGCACAAACTGTTTGGGTCACTCTGTACTGGCCTACTAGTCACAGGGATCCTCTCAGGCTCTCTCACCCTTTACCCACCATCCTCTGCTTTCCTCACTGTCTCAGCATATGACACTTTCTGCACTGCTCTCACACTGGAAACTTCAACCTGTCTCACTCGCACAGGACATTTCTGATCCCCAGCAACATAGCCACCCCCACAATTGAAACACTTATTCTGATTTGATTTAAGCATTGACATGGACTCAGAACATCCATTTTCATTGTTTCTCTATTATTAATTGTAATATTGAGAGTAAAAAAACTGAAAAAATCCCAAACCAGTAAAAATACAACCGATAACTGAATTCTGGAAAATACTAAAGATAATTTTATTGGGGCCTGTCATGCCAAATACTGTTTAATAACCATTATTTACCATGTACAGTGGGGAGAACAAGTATTTGATACACTGCCGATTTTGCAGGTTTTCCTACTTACAAAGCATGTAGAGGTCTGTAATTTTTATCATAGGTACACTTCAACTGTGAGAGGGAATCTAAAACAAAAATCCAGAAAATCACATTGTATGATTTTTAAGTAATTCATGTGCATTTTATTGCATGACATAAGTATTTGATACATCAGAAAAGCAGAACTTAATATTTGGTACAGAAACCTTTGTTTGCAATTACAGAGATCATACGTTTCCTGTAGGTCTTGACCAGGTTTGCACACACTGCAGCAGGGATTTTGGCCCACTCCTCCATACAGACCTTCTCCAGATCCTTCAGGTTTCGGGGCTGTCGCTGGGCAATACGGACTTTCAGCTCCCTCCAAAGATTTTCTATTGGGTTCAGGTCTGGAGACTGGCTAGGCCACTCCAGGACCTTGAGATGCTTCTTACGGAGCCACTCCTTAGTTGCCCTGGCTGTGTGTTTCGGGTCGTTGTCATGCTGGAAGACCCAGCCACGACCCATCTTCAATGCTCTTACTGAGGGAAGGAGGTTGTTGGCCAAGATCTCGCGATGCATGGCCCCATCCATCCTCCCCTCAATACGGTGCAGTCGTCCTGTCCCCTTTGCAGAAAAGCATCCCCAAAGAATGATGTTTCCACCTCCATGCTTCACGGTTGGGATGGTGTTCTTGGGGTTGTACTCATCCTTCTTCTTCCTCCAAACCCGGCGAGTGGAGTTTAGATCAAAAAGCTCTATTTTTGTCTCATCAGACCACATGACCTTCTCCTATTCCTCCTCTGGATCATCCAGATGGTCATTGGCAAACTTCAGACGGGCCTGGACATGCGCTGGCTTGAGCAGGGAGACCTTACGTGCGCTGCAGGATTTTAATCCATGACGGCGTAGTGTGTTACTAATGGTTTTCTTTGAGACTGTGGTCCCAGCTCTCTTCAGGTCATTGACCAGGTCCTGCCGTGTAATTCTGGGCTGATCCCTCACCTTCCTCATGATCATTGATGCCCCAAGAGGTGAGATCTTGCATGGAGCCCCAGACCGAGGGTGATTGACCGTCATCTTGAACTTCTTCCATTTTCTAATAATTGCGCCAACAGTTGTTGCCTTCTCACCAAGCTGCTTGCCTATTGTCATGTAGCCCATCCCAGCCTTGTGCAGGTCTACAATTTTATCCCTGATGTCCTTACACAGCTCTCTGGTCTTGGCCATTGTGGAGAGGTTGGAGTCTGTTTTGATTGAGTGTGTGGACAGGAGTCTTTTATACAGGTAACGAGTTCAAACAGGTGCAGTTAATACAGGTAATGAGTGGAGAACAGGAGGGCTTCTTAAAGAAAAACTAACAGGTCTGTGAGAGCCGGAATTCTTACTGGTTGGTAGGTGATCAAATACTTATGTCATGCAATAAAATGCACATTAATTACTTAAAAATCATACAATGTGATTTTCTGGATTTTTGTTTTAGATTCCGTCTCTCACAGTTGAAGTGTACCTATGATAAAAAATTACAGACCTCTACATGCTTTGTAAGTAGGAAAACCTGCAAAATCGGCAGTGTATCAAATACTTGTTCTCCCCACTGTATATAGACAGAGAACACATCTCTTGCACACCCAGGACCCGGGGAAGAGTTGCAGGGTATGGGAGAAGAGAACCAATGTGCCTATTCGAAGGCTATAAAATAAATGGGTAGCTTGCGATTTTTTTAAAAAAGTAGCTCTCGTGCTAGAAAAGGTTGGAGACCCTTGAACTAGAGCTTCACAAGCACAAATACAAAAACACACATTAATGTCAAGTGTTATTAGTGTGGAAGGTCAGGAGAGGGGAAGCCAAGGGGAAGCGTACACCTCAGCTATGCAGTGCTTCGTGCCTGTGGCATAATATGTCTGTGTGTGAACATTACTGTATGGCCTCAAGGACCTGTATCACTGTTTTTGAGCTAGAATTTTGTTTCCTTCCTACCTATGGCATGAGTTGTTTTTAAACATCTCTCCTGACCTTTGGCCTGTTGCTGCTCAGTTCAACTGAGGACTGAATCATAAGCGTTTAGTCATAAAGCAACTCATTTTGTACATTCCATGTCAATATTTGAAATGCTGTTAAGCTGCTATGATATAGGCTTATCAGGCTTAGACACACATCAGTTGTTGTTTTTCTGTCAGCTTATGTTAAAAAATGTTTGTCTTCAAATGGTACAAAGATGTAAAATACAAGCACTGCTTACACATCATATACTGGACTGTTAATCTGTAGTGCCATAACATTCCTAGATAACTGTTGAAGAAAGAGACAGAATACTGTTCAGTCTTGTATTTTACTGTACACAGTATACCAAAGACAGAGCCTGTAGTCTCTTCCCACAGTCACTGCATGACATCAGTCTGGAAAGCAAAAGTAAAGAGCTTCAGACCTGAGCAGAAAATAGTTGTAATTTGTAGTTTATTTGAAAATACCAACTTTTCAAATACTCAAGGTTGAATAGAGTTTCAACTAAAAGGAACTATTTTCTTTGATATTCAAATACAGGTCTCAGAAAAACAAATAATATTTGAAAGTATTTTGAATACCTCTCAGAAAACCAAATACTGTTTGACGGTATTTGAATATATGCCTTCTTGAAAACATTTTTTATTTTTTATTTGATGGCTGCTAAATATTTAATTAAGAACCATAAACTTCAACAGTTGAATCATTCTAAATATATGATCATAAGCACATGGTTTGGAGAGCTCTTAGATATGAATCTTAATATAATTTATAGTCTAGAATTAAATACATGAGGGACATGTAATCACCTCAACATCAGAATACACCACTGTTGCAGCTTCAAAATAAACTAACAAATATTTTCATAATGAGTGAGACATATGGTAATCCAGTAAAAGTTGGCATCATGTGTAGTAACTTTGATTATTACAACAGCAACATTATTGTTACTAGGACTTTGGAAATTGCTTTACAATTGCATAAATAATGGAGTTATTACATAAGTGGAATAAGGAACAGTTACTTTACAGTAGTTACAAAAACGTTCAGCTCATTGCTATGCAAATAAAATGCAATTAACAAAGTATTATGTAACAACATGCTAATAAAATGTTGCTCCAAAAGTAATTACAGTTGTGGTCAATTTGCAGTGTGCAAATTATTTATAATTATGTTCCGGGCCACCCCACCATCCGCTCCGACAAAAATCGTCCCGCGGCTGAATCTAGTTGCCTACCCTTGGTATAGTGTGTTTAAAATAACACTTACCCTCCGATGGACAAAGAGGTTCAAAGTTGCTTAACATCCAACTTGCTGTTTGCAATGAGCTTTGAATTACTCTGCAGTATTTTCAGGTATTATACAATTTCTTGCAGCTTTCAACCTTTTCAGTGGCATGTTGAAAGAGTCAGAGTAGTTGAGTCACAACTTATTTATACTTATCTGTACAAAATAGCATTAGTTAATTGGTTTGACTTGATTATGTACACCTGGGGCAATGGACATTCAGGAGAATGGACATTTACAGAATGTTCAGATAGAAATGTATTGTGTAGATCAAATATGGCTGTCCGATAGATTGGAATAGTATAGGAGATTGTGTGTGCTCTTCATTATATTTCTATTTTCAAAATGCAGTTCCAGATACAGCCCTGTCATTAGTTGAAGGCAGCCAGTCCAATAGTTTCAGAAAAGTAGTCACTTCCTGAGATCTGTATTCAAATATTTTGAACAAGTAGTTGCTTTCTCAGATCCGTATTCAAATAGTTTTGAAAAGTAGTTACTTTCTGAGATCTGTATTCAAATAGTTGTAGTCACCTCCAAAGTAACTATTTGTTCCCCTGGAAAATGTTTCACTTTTCACAAAGCATAGTTAAAACTATAGTTATCCCAGGTCTGAAGAACATGAGACTCTGCAGAACTCAGGGCGTCCAAACAGAGGATAACTCAATCTAAATAATAAGGTTGCCAAATGTGTGTTATTGCTTTGATGCATACCAGTTACAGTACTTCACAGCAATTATTCAATCCCCTAATATACATACAGTAGATGCTTTAGTTGTGTGGTCTATGGAGAGTCAGTAAATGTCTGGGAGGTTTCAGCCGAGGCAGAGTTACATAAACACAGGTCTTATTATTCCAGTATTGCATACCATTTATAGGATGGAAAACATATTCTGTGGAGGTCCGGAGAGGAGATATCTGTCCTGGGGCTCAGTAGGTCACTGTTTATTTGGAGGAGATTACTTTGTTATTGGAGGAAGGTCACTTTCTCCCGGGGACAGCCCTGTGTGTTCTCCTAACACTTCTTTAGTCTCTGCTACCCAGGCTGGGCCACCGCTGGGCCCTGTCAGTGTCCATCCCCAGCCCTATCCCCATCCCTGGGCCCAGCCCGAGCTTCTATATCACCAGAACCACCAGGAAGACAGGGGAACCCAGGGGTGAAAGGCTGGATTGTTTAACCTTTCAGGAATGGAGTGCTCACCTCGCAGTGTGCAGTGACTAACAGAGCCACTAAGCCTAGTGGGATATTTTAGCTGTTCCGTTTTCCCTCAGCTCCTCTGCTCTGGTCAAAGTGCTGAGTCCAGCCCTTTAGTGCCACAGTTCTAGTGTTGTGTGTGGGTGTGGGGGGGGGGGGGGGGGGGGTGTACGCCTATTCCCCCTTATCCGTAGCAAAGTCCCTCCCTATCAGCTGAAGACTGGGAGTCTAATGTCCCGAAGAAGCTTTCCCTCTCACACTATTCCAGGTATTTCACATATTGGAGAATTAGATAGCGTCTTTCACGTACGACTGAGTTCGTAGAAGTCTGATTAAAGGGAAAGGCATTGCCAAGGACAAGTTGAACTGTATGTTTTGCAGGATATGTGTGAAGTCTGGATGGTATTGGTGTGCAAAAACAGGGCAGGCAGCAGAAGATCCAGTCAGTGCATGGATTGTCTTAAGGTAGCCTACCAGAGACGGCGCAGGCTTGCTTTCGCACAGTGCTTCCTAATTACATTCATTCATGAAACCTGTTTATCAAATTAGAAGGTTTATTCAGCATTTACGTTGATGTTGGTTTTGTCACTCTCACTGGTGAGTTTTTAACTGCCACCACTTTGACAACAACAAACTCATTTAATGTAGGTTGTTTTTAATGAAGTCACCAGCTGCTGTGTGCTGGAGCGAGGGTGTTTGGCCTTGAAAGGTTAATAATAAAGCTTTTGGAGAGGGTGGCAGGTAGCCTAATGGTTAAGAGCGTTGGGCCCTTGAGCAAGGCACTTAACCCTAATTGCTCCTGTTAGTCGCTCTGGATAAGAGTGTCTGCTAAATGACTAAAATGTAAAAAGTTAAATAGTGGCTGAGCTGCAGATGGAATTAGTTTAACGAGCAGTGTGTATGTGTCTCGGGGTGTGCATGTGTGTGTTTGAAGGAGAGAGCGAATGAGAGAGAGTGTGTGTGTGTGTCATCAAGGATGTTGGTTGTGTAGGTTTGTCTGTGCTATGTGTGTGCGAGAGCGCGTGATGTGCCTCAGTGTGCACTGACGCTGTTGTGTTTGTGTGCCTTTGTTATGTATTGTTGGAGATGGTCAGTGTGGGTGTTTATTTAGGGAGGATGCGATGTTTCTGACAAGGACACCTGGCCGGTGGTAAGTCAGTAAGCATTAGGTCACATGGTTAGGCCACATACCAGAATACTGGAGAATACGTGATCACAGACAGGGACACAATCAGAGGCTACATCCCAAATGCCACCCTATTCCCTATATATTCCCTTCTTTTGACCAGGGTCCCATAGGGCTGTAGTCAAAGTAGTGCACTATATAGGGAATAGGGTGGCATTTGGAAGACATCAGAGTCAACATCCCCCAAGGTTATGTGGTTGATAGGGAGGGATGATGCCCACTGGCCAGTAAGTAAAGGGAAAGTGAGGCTGAGAGCAGGTTCCCTAGCAGTGTTTAAGGGCCAGGTGTTGCTGGGTAGTATAATGGACAAACACAGCAGGCCTGGCATCTGAGCCAGCAGGGAGTGGGACACCCTGTGGACTGGAGAATGTTGTCTGTGGGCTGTAGTAGCCTCGTGAAACCAGACTGAAGTGAAACAGAATGTGAGATCAGGCTGGTTTAATGAGACTACAAGGCTATACGATGGAGTATAGTGCAAGTATAGTGCATCTTAGACATTTAGTCATCACAAATTCTTATTTCCACTACAAAGGTCACTAGTTTTGTGTCACTGACATCTTTATAGCGATCCCTCACTTCAGATAGCACTCTATTGCTATAGGTCAATGACCTCACAGACTGTCAATCAATCTGAACAGACATACTTTATAATGTGACTTAGGGCTAGCTGTGGCTGATTCAGCACACACACACACACTGATGTTAGAGGTTTTGGGGTCAGAGTTCCCTTTTATGTTTTTATTAGAGATCTTTATGGTTTAATCAGATGATCCTCAGGTGTCGGTAAGCCATTTTGATTAGTGTGTTGTTTTGACATAGGCAGGTTCACATTGAAATATCTCTGCACATTTCAGCATCGCTGAGATTAATATGCATGATTTATGGTACAGACTGTCATAGATTGTAAATAAGAGATGAAACTAACATTCTTTAGAACATATACTGTAGGAAGCCCAAATTCCTTGAACTAGTCGATATATGTGGCCAAAATTCTTATCAGCTCTCCATATACCAGCGTGATGTTTATGACTGGAAATTAAAGCACAGGACACGACTGTAACATGTTAACCCTTTAACCTTCATTGCCGTAGCATAGGCCCACCGGGAATACCATGCCGGCCATAATCGACTGATTCAAGCCTGACTTTACCGCTGCTCTGTCAGAGAGAGAGAGAGAGAGAGAGAGAGAGAGCGAGAGCATCCTGGGCCCATATGGTGTTTGTCTGAATGTCATGTCCCTTGGGGGATAACTGGCTGGATGAGGTGTGTGATTCACATGCTGCTCCCATTTAAGACAACACCGTGATGGGAGCATTAATCACACACTCGAACCTACCCTGCCTGGACTCATCCCAGCCCCTGGAAGTATGTGGAGGAAACTCCTAGGAGCCAATAGACCAAGAAACCAATAAATATAGAATGTGTTGTTGTATAATAACAGATAAATCATGCGTGTGTGTGTGTGTGTGTGTGTGTGTGTGTGTGTGTGTGTGTGTGTGTGTGTGTGTGTGTGTGTGTGTGTGTGTGTGTGTGTGTCGTGACCTGACTGGGTGGGTGGGGAGGTGGAATAGAGGCTCTTTGACTGGGAAGCAGTAGCAGGAAGGGGTTTGGATGTGGTGTTGGTGTCTCTGGAGGCTGCAGCTACTGGCAGGGCTCCAGGTACCGGGCCGGGCCTTAAAGGCAGCCTCCTCAGCTCTGGTGCTCACCGATTGGTGCTCCCGTGTAGGAGGGACCGGCAGCGGCCTGGAACCGACATCTGGGCCGCATTTCACATGCTCCAATACACTACGACCGCAACTATGCAGCCCCCAATAGTTGAGATAGTACTAACACTTTGCCTGTGAATTGAGCAGAAGGAGTTGCATGGCCTGCTATAAATATTATATATTGATACAGTGCCTTCAGAAAGTATTCAGACCCCTTGACTTATTCCACATTTACTTGTGTTACATCCTGAATTGAACATTAATTAAATAGATTTTTTTTCTCACCCACCCACACACAATACCCCATGACAAAGTGAAAACAAGTTTTTTGAAAATAAATTGAAAATGAAATACAGAAACATCTAATTTACATAAGTATTCACACCCCATTTGCTATGACACTCCAAATTGAGCTCAGGTGCATCCAATTTCCTTTGATTTTCCTTGATGTCACTACAACTTCATAGGCGTCCACCTGTGGCCAATTCAATTGTTTGGACATTCAAAAAGGAACACACCTGTCTATATAAGGTCCCACAGTTGACAGTGCATGTCAGAGATTTCTGTGACGTTGTTGCAGGTATCGCTTGGGCTTTGTCGAGCGCCATCCATAATAGTTTTAAACGTATCCTGGGTAGGGACTCTGAGGATTAATCCCGCGGGGAGAAAAAACATTGTAGACCTCCACAAGTCTGGTTCATCCTTGGGAGCAATTTCCAAACGCCTGAAGGCACCACGTTCATCTGTACAAACAATAGTATGCAAGTGTAAACACCATCAGACCACGCAGCCGTCATACCGCTCAGGAAGGAGACGTGTTCTATCTCCTAGAGATGAACGTACTTTGGTGCGAAAAGTGCAAATCAATCCCAGAACAACAGCAAAGGACCTTGTGAAGATGCTGGGGGAAACAGGTACAAAAGTATCTATATCCACAGTAAAACGAGTCCTATATCGACATAACCTAAAAGGCCGCTCAGCAAGGAAGAAACCACTGCTCCAAAGCCGCCATAAAAAAGCCAGACTACGGTTTGCAACTGCACATGGAGAAATGTCCTCTGGTCTGATGAAACAAAAATAGAACTGTTTGGCCATAATGACCATCGTTATGTTTGAAGGAAAAAGGGGTAGGCTTGCAAGCCGAAGAACACCATCCCAACCGTGAAGCACGGGGATGGCAGCATCATGCTGTGGGGGTGCTTTGCTGCAGGAGGGACTGGTGCACTTCACAAAATAGATGGCATCATGAGGAAGGAAAATTATGTGGTTATTTTGAAGCAACATCTCAAGACATCAGTCAGGAAGTTAAAGCTTGGTCGCAAATGGGTCTTCCAAATGGACAATGACCCCAAGCATACTTCCAAAGTTGGGGCAAAATGGCTTAAGGACAACAAAGTCAAGGTATTGGAGTAGCCATCACAAAGCCCTGACCTCAATCCTATAGAACATTTGTGGGCAGAACTGAAAAGCGTGTGCGAGCAAGGAGGCCTACAAACCTGACTCAGTTACACCCTTTTTCTCACCAATTTTGTGATATCCAAATGCGATCCAATTACGATCTTGTCTCATCGCTGCAACTCCCCAACGGGCTCGGGAGAGGCGAAGGTCGAGGCATGCGTCCTCCGAAACATGACCTGCCAAACCGCTCTCCTTAACACCTGCCCGCTTAACCCGGAAGCCAGCTGCACCAATGTGTTGGAGGAAACACCATTCAACTGATGACCGAAGTCAGCCTGCAGGTGCCCGGCCCTCCACAATGAGTCGCTAGAGCGCGATGAGCCAAGTAAAGCCCCCCCCCACCCCCGCCAAACCCTCCCCTAACTCTGACGACGCTGGGCCAATTTTGCACCGCCCTATGGGACTCCCGGTCACAGCCGGTTATGACACAGCCCGGTATCGAACCCGGGTCTGTGGTGAGACCTCAAGCACTTTGCCTGTCCCGAGCCCGTTGGGGAGTTGCAGCGATGAGACAAGATCGCATTTGGATATCACGAAATTGGGGAGAAAAGGGGGTAAAATACAAACAAAAAAATTATATATATATATACAGTGGGGAGAACAAGTATTTGATACACTGCCGATTTTGCAAGTATTTGATCACCTACCAACCAGTAAGAATTCCGGCTCTCACAGACCTGTTAGTTTTTCTTTAAGAAGCCCTCCTGTTCTCCACTCATTACCTGTATTAACTGCACCTGTTTGAACTCGTTACCTGTATACAAGACACCTGTCCACACACTCAATCAAACAGACTCCAACCTCTCCACAATGGCCAAGACCAGAGAGCTGTGTAAGGACATCAGGGATAAAATTGTAGACCTACACAAGGCTGGGATGGGCTACAGGACAATAGGCAAGCAGCTTGGTGAGAAGGCAACAACTGTTGGCGCAATTATTAGAAAATTGAAGAAGTTCAAGATGACGGTCAATCACCCTCGGTCTGGGGCTCCGTGCAAGATCTCACCTCGTGGGGCATCAATGATCATGAGGAAGGTGAGGGATCAGCCCAGAACTACACGGCAGGACCTGGTTAATGACCTGAAGAGAGCTGGGACCACAGTCTCAAAGAAAACCATTAGTAACACACTACACCGTCATGGATTAAAATCCTGCAGCGCACGCAAGGTTCCCCTGCTCAAGCCAGCGCATGTCCAGGCCCGTCTGAAGTTTGCCAATGACCATCTGGATGATCCAGAGGAGGAATGGGAGAAGGTCATGTGGTCTGATGAGACAAAAATAGAGCTTGTTGATCTAAACTCCACTCGCCGTGTTTGGAGGAAGAAGAAGGATGAGTACAACACCAAGAACACCATCCCAACCGTGAAGCATGGAGGTGGAAACATCATTCTTTGGGGATGCTTTCCTGCAAAGGGGACAGGACGACTGCACCGAATTGAGGGGAGGATGGATGGGGCCATGTATCGTGAGATCTTGGCCAACAACCTCCTTCCCTCAGTAAGAGCATTGAAGATGGGTCGTGGCTGGGTCTTCCAGCATGACAACGACCCGAAACACACAGCCAGGGCAACTAAGGAGTGGCTCCGTAACAAGCATCTCAAGGTCCTGGAGTGGCCTAGCCGGTCTCCAGACCTGAACCCAATAGAAAATCTTTGGAGGGAGCTGAAAGTCTGTATTGCCCAGTGACAGCCCCGAAACCTGAAGGATCTGGAGAAGGTCTGTATGGAGGAGTGGGCCAAAATCCCTGCTGCAGTGTGTGCAAACCTTGTCAAGACCTACAGGAAACGTATGATCTCTGTAATTGCAAACAAAGGTTTCTGTACCAAATATTAAGTTCTGCTTTTCTGATGTATCAAATACTTATGTCATGCAATAAAATGCAAATTAATTACTTACAAATCATACAATGTAATGTTCTGGATTTTTGTTTTAGATTCCGTCTCTCACAGTTCAAGTGTACCTATGATAAAAATTACAGACCTCTACATGCTTTGTAAGTAGGAAAACCTGCAAAATCGGCAGTGTATCAAATACTTGTTCTCCCCACTGAATATACAGACCGCTGCGCCACTCGGGAGGCCACAAGGTTATGGGTTTTAATGAGTATAGGGTTAGTTGGTAGGGTAATTAAAATATATGTATATTTTTTATTTTCCCGGTTCCCCTTTCCCATTTTGTATCACAAAGTGTAATGGATCTATACTATAGTTAAGTTGGGGGCAGTAATGCATCATATTGGATGTCAACCACCGTTAAACCTCACAGAAGGAGAAGTGCATGTCAGAGCAGAAACTATACCATGAAGTCCAAGGAACTGACCGTAGATGATAGAATTGTGATTAAGGCATATATCTGGGGAAGGGTATGAAACCATTTCTAGAGTGTTGAAGGTTTCCAAGAGCACAGTGGTCTCCATCGTTGGGAAATAGAAAAAATATGGAACTACCCAGACTCTGCCTAGAGCTGGCCGCCCCGTCCGACCAAACTGAGCAACCGGGCAAGAAGGACCTTGGTCAGGGAGGTAACCAAGAACCCAATGACCACTATGACCAAAATACGGAGTTCCTTGGCTGAGATGGAAGATTCAAAGCTGTAATTGCTGCCAAAGGTGCTTCTACAAAGCATTGACTCAGGTGTGTGAATAATTAGTGCCTTCAAAAAATATTCATACTCCTTATTCCACATTTTGTTGTTACAGCCTGAATTAAAAATGGATTAATTATATCTTTTTTTCTCACTCATCTGCACATAATACCCCATAATAACAAAGTGAAAACAGGTTTTTAGAAATGTTTGCACATTTATTGAAAATTAAATACAGACATATCTAATTTACATAAGTATTCACAAGTCAATACATGTTATAATCACCTTTGGCAGCAATTACAGCTGTTAGTCTTTCTGGGTAAGTCTGTAAGAGCTTTGCACACCTGGATTGTACAATATTCTTAAAAATATTATTCAAGCTCTGTCAAGTTAGTTGTTGATCACTGCTAGACAGCCATTTTCAAGACTTGCCATATATGTTCAAGCCATTTTAAGTCAAAACTGTAACTAGGCCACTCAGGAACATTCAATGTTGTCTTGGTAAGCAACTCCAGTGTATATTTGGCATTGTTTTAGGTTATTGTCCTGCTGAATTTGGTAAATTTGTCTCCCAGTGTCTGTTGGAAACCAGACTGAACCAGGTTTTCCTCTAGGATTTTGCTCTCCCCGTTTCTTTGTATCCTAAAAAACTCCCTAGGCCTTGCCAAAACATGACGCAGCCACCACCATGCTTGAACACTCAGTAATGTGTTGTGTTGGATTTGCCCAAACATAACGCTTTGTATTCAGGACATAAAGTTAATTTCTTTGCCACATTTTATGCAGTTTTACTTTAGGATCTTATTGAAAACATGTTTTGGATTATTTGTATTCTCAACAGGCTTCCTTCTTTTCACTCTGTCATTTAGGCTAGTGTTGTGGAGTAACTACAATGTTTTTGATCCATCCTCAGTTTTCTCCTATCACAGCCATTAAACTCTGTAACTGTTTTAAAGTCACCATTGGCCTCATGGTGAAATCCCTGAGCGGTTTCCTTCCTCTCCGGCAACTGAGTTAGGAAGGATGCCTGTATCTTTGTAGTGACTGGGTGTATTGATACACCCAGTACATCACACGGGGCTGTAGTGGAACAGGTTGAGAGCTTCAAGTTCCTTGGTGTCCACATCACCAACAAACTATCATGGTCCAAACACACCAAGACAGTCGTGAAGAGGGCACGACAAAGCCTATTCCCCCTCAGGAGACTGAAAAGATTTGGCATGGGTCCTCAGATCCTCAAAAGATTCTACAGCTGCACCATCGAGAGCATCCTGACTGGTTGCATCACCGTCTGGTATGGCAACTGCTCGGCCTCCGACCGCAAGGCACTACAGAGGGTAGTGCGTACGGCCCAGTACATCACTGGGGCCAAGCTTCCTGCCATCCAGGACCTCTATACCAGGTGGTGTCAGAGGAAGGCCCTAAAAATGGTCAAACACTCCAGCCACCCTAGTCATAGACTGTGTTCCCTGCTACCGCACAGCAAGCTGTACCGGAGCGCCAAATCTAGGTCCAAAAGGCTTCTTAACAGCTTCTACCCCCAAGCCATAAGACTCCTGAACATCTAATCATGGCTACCCAGACTATTTGGATTTGATCCAAAGTGTAATTAATAACTTCACCATGTTCAAAGGGATATTCAATTATTTAGGTGCCCTTTGCGAGGCATTGGAAAACCTCCCTGGTCTTTGTGGTTGAATCTGTGTTTGAAATTCACTGCTCGACTGAGGGACCTTGTATGTGTGGGGTACAGAGATGAGGTAGTCATTCAAAAACATGTTAAACGCTATTATTGCACAGTGAGTCCATGCAACTTATTATGTGACTTGTTAAACATTTTTACTCCTGAACTTATTTAGGCTTGCCATAACAACGGGGTTGAACAGTTATTGACTCAAGACATTTCAGCTTTACATTTTTTATTAATTTGTCAGTTTCTAAAAACATAATTCCACTTTGACATTATGGGGTATTGTGTGTAGCTCAGTGATTTCATTCAGGCTGTAACACAACAAAATGTGGAAAAAGTTGAGGCTTGTGAATACTTTCTGAAGGCACTGTAACTGTGGAGGCTGGGAGATGGCGGTGGGTTCACTGGCGCACCCTGCCTTCCCCACTTCTGAAAAAGGAGTGGTGTAGAGGGAGGGACCCCTCTCAGGGGTATGCCTGAAACATGAGGAGAGCTGTGTAGCCCCCTTAGACTGGCCCCAACCTCCCAACTCACACAACTACAAGCACATACTGTACAGTCGTGGTCAAAAGTTTTGAGAATGACACATATTCATTTTCACAGTCTGCTGCCATAGTTTTTATGATGGCAATTTGCATATACTCCAGAATGTTATGAAGCGTGATCAGATGAATTGCAATTAATTGCAAAGTCCCTCTTTGCCATGAAAATGAACTTTAAAAAACATTTCCACTGCATTTCAGCCCTGCCACAAAAGGACCAGCTGACATCATGTCAGTGATTCTCTCGTTAACACAGGTGAGAGTGTTGACGAGGACAAGGCTGGAGATCACTCTGTCATGCTGATTGAGTTAGAATAACAGACTGGAAGCTTTAAAAGGAGGGTGGTGCTTGAAATCATTGTTCTTCCTCTGTTAACCAGGGTTACCTGCAAGGAAACACGTGCCGTCATTATTGCTTTGCACAAAAAGGGCTTCACAGGCAAGGATATTGCTTCTAGTAAGATTGCACCTAAATCAACCATTTATCGGATCATCAAGAACTTCAAGGAGAGAGGTTCAATTGTTGTGAAGAAGGCTTCAGGGCGCCCAAGAAAGTCCAGCAAGCGCCAGGACCGTCTCCTAAAGTTGATTCAGCTGCGGGATCGGGGCACCACCAGTGCAGAGCTTGCTCAGGAATGGCAGCAGGCAGGTGTGAGTGCATCTGCACGCACAGTGAGGCGAAGACTTTTGGAGGATGGCCTGATGTCAAGAAGGGCAGCGAGAAGGCCACTTCTCTCCAGGAAAAACATCAGGGACAGACTGATATTCTGCAAAAGGTACAGGGATTGGACTGCTGAGGACTGGGGTAAAGTCATTTTCTCTGATGAATCCCCTTTCCGATTGTTTGGGGCATCCAGAAAAAAGCTTGTCCGGAGAAGACAAGGTGAGCGCTACCATCAGTCCTGTGTCATGCCAACAGTAAAGCATCCTGAGACCATTCATGTGTGGGGTCTCACTCACAATTTTGGCTAAGAACACAGCCATGAATAAAGAATGGTACCAACACATCCTCCGAGAGCAACTTCTCCCAACCATCCAAGAACAGTTTGGTGACGAACAATGCCTTTTCCAGCATGATGGAGCATCTTGCCATAAGGCAAAAGTGATAACTAAGTGGCTTGGGGAATAAAACATCGACATTTTGGGTCCATGGCCAGGAAACTCCCCAGACCTTAATCCCATTGAGAACTTGTGGTCAATCCTCAAGAGGCGGGTGGACAAACAAAAACCCACAAATTCGGACAAACTCCAAGCATTGATTATGCAAGAATGGGCTGCCATCAGTCAGGATGTGGCCCAGAAGTTAATTGACAGCATGCCAGGGCGGATTGCAGAGGTCTTAAAAAAGAAGGGTCAACACTGCAAATATTGACTCTTTGCATAAACTTAATGTAATTGTCAATAAAAGCCTTTGACACTTATGGAATGCTTGTAATTATACTTCAGTATACCATAGTAACATCTGACAAAAATATCTCATAACACTGAAGCAGCGAACTTTGTGAAGACCAATACTTGTGTCATTTTTAAAACTTTTGACCACGACTGTATACTCTCACAAACATGTAGATGTATATCCTCCTTACAGCACATTGTCCACATTGAACACAATGTGCTAAGACATTGTGTTCTATGTTCCATATATGCTTCCCATTGCATCTTACCCATCCCTCTAATGATGTCTAGAAACAAATCAATTATAAGCATCTACTAGCCTTTTGTGTCTGTTTTCCACTAGAGATGTAATTTGATTAGGCCCTAAGTACATGTGGCAGCTGTGTTCTGATGAGATGGTTGTGTCCTTTGTGTCTGTCCCATAGATGAAGCACGTTGAGGAGCGCTTCGGAGAAGACGCCAACAAGGAGGTTCTGCTCATGTGCATCGGCGTCACGTCTGGCGTGGGCCGCCTCATCTTCGGCCGGGTGGCAGACTATGTACAGGGAGTCAACAAAGTCTACCTGCAGGTAAAGTCTACTAACCTCGAGATCTTGCACAAGTCATGACTATATCTCGAAAGACACCCTATTCCCCATATAGTGCACTACTTTTGGCCCGATGACACCCTACTCTCCATAAAGTCTACTATGTGTGGAATTTAGGGTGTCATGGTGTCATTTGAGATGTAGCCTGAGCCCCATGTCATAACCATTACTCTGATTAATGCAAAGAAGCAATGCTGCTGTGTGCATCACATTCACGTCACCTCTCTGACATCTCCTGCTGTCTCCTCCCGGCCAGGTGTCTTCGTTCATGGTCATCGGCGTGATGTCCATGATGATCCCTCTGTGTCATGTGTTCGGAGGGCTGATCGCTGTGTGTCTACTCATGGGCCTGTTTGATGGCTGTTTCATCTGCATCATGGCCCCCATCGCCTTCGAGCTGGTGGGCTCCCAGAACGTGTCCCAGGCCATCGGCTTTCTGCTGGGCATGATGTCTGTGCCCATGACCGTGGGGCCTCCTATTGCAGGTACAGTTAAATAGGCAAGCCAGTGGCCACGTCTGAAATGGCATCTTCCGTGGGAAATAGGAAGTTAGTATGCTGTGATGCCCTGTTTAAACAGGCATGAAAAAGTTAAATCATTCATACAGCCACTGAATTGGTTAGTATGTACTGTTTGATGGTTTGAAAGATATTAACATTTAGCTTAATGATGTAAAACATTTCTCCCTGGAGTATGATTTTGAGCTTAGTTGTTTTCCTATAAACCTCTGGTTCCACCTGGTGTTTATCTGTGGAACTGTGAAAGTGAAACGCTCCACACTCTACCATACACAAAGGAACATAAAGAAATCGATTCACAACATGGCAACTTCGCAGCTTCTACAATTACAACTTGATATGAGTAGAGACATTATCTTGTGAATATGATACTTGTGTAAGAATGTATATACCTTGTGGAAGATACATACATTTCACCACTGGAATGTTGAGTTCACAGACGTCCATTCATGTTAAGCTCTTTCTAATTTAGATATCATTCATATCCACATGAGTCATGTGCAACCTGTTTGCACTGTATTACAGAAAAGGCATCAGTTTTTCTCCTAAATAGACTAGCATTCCAGGAAGAGAGGGGAAACAGTGGTAGAAGTAGGGAATGCAGGAAGTCATGCAACTTAGTGCTGTTCAGGGAGGGAAACCACAATCCACAAGGGGGGGCAGACGGAGGGGCCTAATTAGCCCTGACCCCAATCCAGTCAGTCTTCACTGGCTAGTAATAATCAGCTCTGTTTGTATTCAAAGAGTGGGTTTGCACTAACCCACTACCCACTGGGCAAAAGCTGGTTGAATTAATGTTGTTTTCGCATCATTTCAACAAACAAAAAAATATGTTGAATCCACGTGGAAACTGATTTGAATTTGCAAAAAGTCATCAACATAAGGGCATTTGGTATTTTCTTCACTTACATTTTTACCTAAATCCAATGACATGGTGATTTATTTATTTTTCACAGTGAATTCACTTTAGTTGACAACTCAATGTACCAAATGTAAATCAAAACTAGACGTTGAACTGACGTCTGTGCCCAGTGGGTACTTAGTATCACTCTGTCCCAGCTCAGATAAGCCCACCTTTGTTTTATATCTGAAAGGACCAAATAAGGTGTTCACTGTGGTTTGAAGTTATGGGGTTATGCACTCAGGACTGGGGGCATACTATTGCTCACCTTTGGGGTTCAGGGGTGCTGCTGAACTTTGTTCCTTGTCTTTAGGACACAACATGTCTTTAGGACATGAAATGATTAATGATGTCCCAGATATTTCGATTAATGATGAACGAGTCCCAGATATTTTGATTAATGATGAACGAGTCCCAGATATTTATAGTTCTCTCTTCTCTCGCTCTCTCTCTAGGGTTCCTGAGGGACAGACTGGGGAGTTACGACGTGGCCTTCTATTTGGCTGGTATCCCTCCCATCATCGGTGGGGCCGTGCTGTGTCTGATCCCCTGGGTGGAGGCTAGACGTATCAGGAGAGCGCAGGAAGAGGCAGCCAAAGATGGCACCCAGGAGCAGATGCTGTAGTTCAAGTGAAGACCGCAACCCCCGAATCTGTCATCTAAGTCTCCCAAAACACACTCAAAACAAAGAGATACACCCAGACATACATACAGACAATTCATATTCACTCGCAGGAACTTGGAACTGCTGATTATCATATTTTCTATGATACAAGTATAGATGTATTGACCTGTGTATGTATAAACAATCTTTTAATGGCTGCTTTTGCAGGAGAATGTGGGGGAAATGCTGAAGTAATAATACATATCAGTTATACGCATAGATACTCAACATACACAATTGAACATTCATGTGATCTTGAAGAGCAATGCATCGGATTGTTGTTTTCCAATCTTGCAGCTGTTGAATTAACTTGAAGGTTAAAATGGAAAATTAGGAAATCTCGTATTTTATATTTCTTACAAGGGAACGCACGCTTTACTTGGGTGCTTTTTGAAGGCTGCAAGCACTTATTTACATAAGAATAGCAGTGGCCAGTCTCGCTAGCAAATTCCCTCGTTTTCAATGTGCATTGTTTAAGGGCATTGAGGATCATTCTCATCATTGCCTAGAAATGTTCAATACAAGCTTGAATATAGTTTTTAGGCTTTGCAGAATTTTGGAAAGAAAAACAAACTATATTTATTGGGTTTGTTTTAAAAACTATATTTCCAATAAACGCTAGGGACATAATTGACCATATATGGTCAAAGAAACTGTAATATCTATTTTTTCTCAAATTACCCCAATCATCCCATAAGTAGTATAGGTAAGTAAAGTATGTTTGGGACACAGGTGTTGCTTGTCTTGTCTACAGTATAACAAAGAATCTACTGCTGAGTAGAATTTAACTGGGAAAAAAGCTGCTTTTAAAAGTCAACCCTTTTCTGTTTATAGCACAGAGTGATCTGTGGGGGTTTGATACTCTCTTAAAACATGGCAAGATTGTGAATTTGTGAGTAATATGAAGTATGACCTGAGCATACAATATCACTTCAAAGAAGTGCTTTATGAGATAATGGGTGGGGAGGTAGTTCGTTTCTAGTGGTTGTACGGCTTACTATTGTCTTAGTTTTAAAGGTCACCTTGAAGGTGCTAGGGCACCTCAGGGGAGCTGCTTGAAGCACAATTACAGCGTCCCACCCGTGAAATATGAAATGCCATCTCAAGGCTGCAGTACTCTGGACCTGAAATAGGCCTGACTTTACCTGAGGCTGTATTCAGTTGTTATTATCTCTGATACAGTATAACTTGAATGCGCCGTACACCGTGCCTGAGAATCCTTTTCAGAGTTTTTGCGTCAGAACCACCATTGTCATTTTTGTATACATAGTTTATAGCCAGCACAGAACAGGATCCTCAAACTGAACGTCTACTTGTCTGACTATGCAACGTGAGTAAATGATGAACGTCAATGTTGATTTATAGGGAGTAATTTACATGAAACGGGAATGAATGAATATTATGAATTGATTTTTATTGTTGAAGTTGGCAGTATTTTGTCCAGCACATATAGGCTAGTAACCAATGTTATACTTTGATATATTCTAATTGTAGTAGGCTCACTCTGTCCACCATATTTCAAATGTAATTTGGGATGTAATCATTGACAAATGTGACCATTGACTATGTGCTCAGTTCATTAGCCTCTTGTTATATTTGTTTAATGATAATATTTTTCATATTTGTATTTATTTTTTTCTAGAATTTGTTTAGTGGCTGATGTCATGCCATAACTAATTGGTGTTGGCCTTTCTCATATTATTTGATGTTTTGAAGACCAAAACAACCTTTTGTATTGATAATTTTGGGTGTGCCCTTGAAATGTAAAGAAAATGGCTGATTATCTATGGTCAATTCTATTTGCCAAAGCACCACCCTCAGGATAGTTTATTAGGCCTTTCAAACATTTTATGTTTCAAATCACCCTCCTGAATTTCAACAATCATTGATAATTATAAAGATTGCTATTGGAGAACTTTAAGACCCACAACTTTTACAGTGAAGGATTTTAACTCGACAATCCCTTGACCACTAAGCACGCAGAAAAGTCATAACTTATCAAAATCCAAACTATCCAGCTTTGTAGGTCATTGGTTTTGCCAAGGCAAGACTTGTGACACAATCTACCTCAGATGTCATGCAAATTTGTAGTATTTTGTCCTAACAGTATTTGCAGGACAGAAAGAGGCTTTAGGTTCAAACCATTACAAAACATGACCATCATGTGTTTGGGCAATATTTCCCTTCCACTGTATGTCCTTATACAGTAGATATCCAAACATTAGGAGAGAGACTCTGTAAAAGAGTCTTTCAGCTTCCTAGCCATCACTGTTTGCTCTGAACGGGATTGCTGCCTATCTGTACCACAGAACGGTGTTTGTGTCTGAGAAGTACAGTACTTCAGTAGGAATTTTGTGACCGGGGAAATGCAAAAAAGTCACTAATTCTGAGAAGAAAAGTTGCTATCTTGAACTTAAATCTTGCTTTGGGAATGATCTATTTTTTCTACGCTTTCAATTTCCAGTTTATATTTTTTGCTATCAATGTGAGAATTAGACCCATGTCACAAGGAATATTTTGGATAGATTTTTTGTTTTGTTTTTCTAACCAGAGCATACGTTTCTATTAGAGAAATGTCAAATTATATATTTGTTTTATCAAGTCTTTTTTATGTTTTATGTTAAGTTCATCTTTAGTTATAATTGCTATATTTTTTACTTTTTACATCATAGACATACGCAGTTGCACAATTCACCAATGAAAGCCTCAGGTAATTTCTCAAGTAATAGAAATTCCTGAAATTGTACCCCGGAGGTTTACTGAGATACGTCTTTGCCATACACGCCTTAGTAAGTGTTTTAGTATAATTATTCATTACATTATCTCGTACTGAATGAATTCCTTGCCATCCAAAGAAGTTTGTCACTTTTTGGGAATGTCCCAGTATTTAGATCATATGAAGAGAATGTAAAGATTAGTTTATGCATGTTCTATTTTTGTTTAGTGGCTAAAGACCAAATTCAACAGCATATTGTTTGAAATTATTCAATTAACATGTTTCTACTGACATATGTAGGTTATATATAGATTTTATTCAAACTTTTGCGGTTCACAGGTGTAATTAAGAGTGTATATCTATGCCTAATGCAACTAGAATTCTACAACACTGCACACTGTAATGTCACAAAAAATATCAACTTTGCGGCTTTCACTTTCACCCCATGTTTTGTGCATTGTCCTTATCTAATTTCCTTGTTCACACAGATACAGTATGTATGTATTTCTTTAAAATACACATTTTATATTGCTGATAATTAAAATCCCTCTTAGCTTTATGTAGTCATTTCAGCATGTTATTGCTTTTCAAAATGCCTTCATATTTTTTGAATTGCATGATTTCATGTTTTAATTTGATTGTATTAAATGTAACATGTCATAGTACTATGTACAATGAAGAACTATGTACAACTGAAATTAAAATACATATTTTGAACAAAGTAAAGATGTTTAAGTTTTTTCCTTGAGTTTCTCATCATTCATCACTCTCCAGTTGCATCATGGTAAGATTATTATATGTCACCCAATTTGAGCCTGCCAATGCCTCTGTCTCTGTCAACCTATAGGGCCTGGTTTATTGAAGCTACTTTATGCTTATACACACACACGTATTTAAAACAGAGTGATTGCATTGTTTGCTGTAATACAGGGGAGTCGGACTGTAGCCAAAGCAAGCGATCAAGTATAGAAGGCCAATCTGCGTGGCCAAGCACGACTCCAACGCCATCATTAAGTTTGCTGACGACACAACGGTGGTAGGCCTGATCACCGACAGCGATGAGACAGCCTATAGGGAGGAGGTCAGAGACCTGGCAGTGTGGTGCCAGGACAACAACCTCTCAATGTGAGCAAGACAAAGGAGCTGATCATGGCCTACAGGAAAAGGAGGGCCGAACACGCCCCCATTCACATCAACGGGGCTGTAGTGGAGCGGGTCGAGAGATTCATGTTCCTTGGTGTCCACATCACCAACAAACCATCATGGTCCAAACACACCAAGACAGTCGTGAAGAGGGCACGACAACGCCTTCTCCCCCTCAGGAGAGTGAAAAGATTTGGCATGGGTCCTCAGATCATCAAAAAGTTATACAGCTGCACCATCGAGAGTATCCTGACCGGTTGCATCACCGTCTGGTATGGCAACTGCTCGGCATCCGACCGTAAGGCGCTACAGAGGGTAGTGCGTATGGCCCAGTACATCACTGGGGCCAAGCTTCCTGCCATCCAGGACCTATATACTAGGCGGTGTCAGAGGAAGGCCCAAAAAATTGTCAAAGACTCCAGTGACCCAAGTCATAAACTGTTCTCTCTGCTACCGCACGGCAAGCGGTACCGGAACGCCATGTCTAGGTCCAAAAGACTCCTTAACAGCTTCTACCCCGAAGCCATAAGACTGCTGAACAATTAATCAAATGGCCACCCGGACTATTTGCATTGACACCCCTCCCCCTTTGTTTTTACACTGCTGCTACTCACTGTTTATTATCTATGCATAGTCACTTTACCCCTACCTACATTACAAATTACCTCAACTAACCTGTACCCCCGCACATTGACTCGGTACCGGTACCCCCTGTATATAGCCTCGTTATTGTTATTTTGTGTTACTTTTTTAAATATTTGTTTTACTTTTGTTTATTTAGTAAATATTTTCTTAACTCTATTTTCTTAAAACTGCATTGTTGGTTAAGGGCTTGTAAGTAAGCATTTCACTGTAAGGTCTACACCTGTTGTATTCGGCGCATGTGACAAATACAATTTGATTTGATTTAGATTTGAAGTATAGAAGGCCAATCTTCAGAAGATGTGAAGACATTTTCAGTAAATTTAGACATTCTTATAATTCTCTTTTCTTGCATGTAAAGCACAAAAGCAAAAGTAATGATGATTAGGAAAACATCACATATTTCTAGTATGACCTCTAGAGGTCACTGTTTTCAACGAATTTATTTCAATCATACGACTACTACTTCCTGTACGCTGACGCGTCAGCTGAGCCTGTCGTCATGGAACCACATCGTAGTAGCAAAGATATGTATAACTAAACCAAGATAGACCACGGCCTGTCGTATCCAATGGGAACAAATTAGTCATAGTGGGCAGAACAAGCAAGGAGGTGGGCAGAGCCAAGCACGAGCTAGCGAGATCCTATTGGTGCGTTCTAGCAGACATATGCATATTTCCGTTAGGGAACGCCTCCTACGTGAAGTGCGCGTGTGGAATAACTCAATTCGCCTTTGCGCTCCTTCTAAACAACGCGATTTAAAAAAACTTTTACAAAGGGTAAAGTCTACAAAACATCGTTCACTCTGTTCATAACATATTCTAGTTTTGGGAACAGAAAACCGTATTCTCCCACTGCCGGCCAGTGGGCTTCCTCTCACTACCATATTTGTGGATGCTTCACATTGTTCTATCTGTGGTAGTAGGCTTTTGCGGCGTTCACATACTAGCCGGAACTAGGAAACTGGTGAATTTTCGACTTGCTACCTGGTTAAACGCAGCACGTCTATAACTACAGTCAGAAATGTACGAGTTTCCTAGTTCCGGCTAGCATGCCAACGCGGCATTTTACCCGCAGCCACCATTCTCCCTGTACGATTCCTCATGCAATGGATGACAGAATGAACCGAAGGGGTCTATCGACCTCGCCAACTTGTAGTCCTAAAAACCAGAAATGTGTTACCTCTGGTTTGTTCAGCCATTCCTATGGGGAAAATTAATGGGGAAAGAATATGGTTTTGGGATAAACGCGGAAAATAAAGTCTGAGGTTAACACAGGCTTAGGAGATCAGATAATGTCAGTCAGTTAACATTACCTTTAAGAATGATGAAGCCTTTTATGTGGGTTTTTTTTTCTTAATAAATGCAAAATAAATCACAAAAAGTGACGTTAGCTGAACAAAACGTATAAGATCTCATAAGCCTGTGTTTACCACATACATTATTTTCAGCATTTATCAAAAAACCCTACAAAAACTCCATTCGTTTTCCCATAGGCTTTGTACAACGAACCATGGCGGAGTTAGTGCGTTCAAAAAGACGCCATTACTATTTATCTCTATAATTGAGTGGGATATCAGAAAGTGTCGTTCACGGTTGGCGCACCCGCTCAGTGCGCGCAGTTTGTTTACGAAGTGCGCTGGCGTAAACGTGTTAATCTTGCCAACCAGCAGGATTCAAACAAAGACGTTAGCCATAATTTGACAGCTCGACCATGTCTGCCTCGGCCAGAAATCCTGTTGTGAAAAAGAAGCATGTTCGTTTCGCTAGAATGGAGGAGGATGATGATAACGATGACCAAGAGGAAGATACTCTGTTTGACAAGAGGAAAGACACGAGACGAGGGCTGAAGAGTGTAATGAAAGGGAGGAAGAGAAGTTCGAATTCGGAGTTCGATGATGAGGTTGAAATCATCGGTGGAGGTGGCAGGGCCAGCGGTTCTGGAGGCTGCAGCAGCTGGGTGATCAGTTTAGCGCTCTGTGCATCATTCCTCGGCCTGGTAATGATGAATGCTTGTTATTAGACTAGTAGGCCAGCCCAAGGGACTGAATTTGTCCATTCTGTCATCATATTTACCTTTATAACTTAGAATTGAATAGGGTCTCTGGTTTTATTGCATAGTTTGTTTTGCATGGAAATTATTGTTAGGATTGTTTCCCTATCATCATATCTTCACTAAAATATAGGTTCTCTGTAAATGTTTTAAAGCTTCATCTTATTGAGTCTCACATAGTCAGTGACTATTCCCATTGAATAACATCTAGCCTTTCCAAGATTCATTCATTGAGTTCATTAGTTATGTGATTGTGGTTGTTTTATTGGCGTTTAAGACAATGGTTACTTTTTTATTCTCTGGTAAAATGAGGGTTGTTAGGCAAATATTCTGAATGAGCAGGGTTTGCATTTCATGGCTGTAAAACTGGTTCTTCAACTTAAGAACAGGTTTAAGCTTTTACTTTCTGGCACCTGTCCAAAGGTACAATTTTGAATAACTGTCATCTTACTGAAAGGGAAATGAAACACAAAATGTCACACTGTATATTATTTACCATTGGCTGCCACACATAAAGTTCAAAATACCCTTAGAATATTACTGTATGGATCCTAGAAAAATGTATCCTAGAAAATGATAGGGCCCTAGTTGCTACCACTGTTTGCCAGAGAACTCTGAAAAAGTTCTGAGATATGCGCAGGGCTGTATATTACTTATACTTGCCTGTACTAGTAAGTGTTTTCTTATTTCTGTGTTCCAGGGGATGAGTATCTCTGTTTTAGGCCCCACATTTCAAGACCTGGCCATCAACGTCAACCAGAACATCAGCAACATCTCCTACATCTTCGTAGGCCGCTCGATGGGCTATATAGGCGGCTCTGTGTTGTCAGGGATTCTCTTTGACTACATCAACAGCCATCTGCTGCTGGGTATGTCTAACAGACTAAAATATACCTAGCCTTCACTCAAACACAAATACATGGTGTCCATTGGCTCTGAAAAACATTAGATTTAACCTCTAAGATATTATTGTAGTCCTGTGTGGCTATGAGCTCGTAGAGCATGGCGCTAGCAGGATCATAGGTTTGATTCCTGCTGGGGCCACCAATATGAAATATGTATGCACGTAAGTCGCTTTGGATAAAAGCGTCTGCTAAATGGCATTTATTATTATTATTATTATTATTATTATTATTATTATTATTATATTAGTATACAGTATGCACTGTAAATGCATCTCCTTTGCTTGTCAAAGAATGCTGTAGGTTGTTTTTGTGGGTGATCATGACCTTTATACAGGGCATGGTGCATGCTGGTTGAATACACCCCACTTCTCCTAACACTGTATCTTCTCCACAGGCCTCTCCATGTTGGTAACAGCGTTTGGGATGTTTGCCATCCCTTTCTCTAAGACGGCCCTTCTTCTCACTGCTCTGATGTCCAGTATTGGAGTTTCCATGGGCTTTCTAGATACAGGTACAGTTAATCTCACAGTCTTTATCTTTAAAATAGTAAATAAGTATCTGCACACAGTACAAGAAGTGGTTGTCAGTGAATGTCTCTGATGCTGTTTACTGTCCTCTCTGGTAGGTGGTAATGTCCTGATCCTGCAGACGTGGGGGGATCAGGCTGGCCCCCACATGCAGGCCTTGCACTTCAGCTTCGCCGCTGGGGCCTTCGCCTCGCCCATCATCGCCAAGTTGCTCTTTGGAACGGACTTGGACCTGGATGTGGCAACAAACAGCAGCATGGAAGCCCCGGTGGCAAACTCCAGCTCCCCGCCTGTCACAGACCACTTGTCCCAACCCGGGTCTTCTTCTGTTGTCATGCGCTTCGTCCACAGTAGCAGCACCCTCAAGTCCATGTGGGCCTACGTTGTGATCGGTGGTTTCATCCTGTTCATCTCCCTCATCTTCTTCATCCTCTACGCCCGCCACAGCCCCTCTAGGGGCAGGGCCCAGACCCCCTCAGGGAAACCCCTGGTGTCCAAGCACCACAACGCACTCATCACCATGCTTTTTGTTTTCTTCTTCTGGTATGTGGGGGCCGAGGTGGCGTACGGCTCCTTTATCTTCACCTATGCTAAGGATTACATTCATATGGACGAGGCCCAGGCAGCAGGGCTCAACTCCCTGTTCTGGGGGACGTTCGCTGCCGGCCGGGGCCTGGCCATCTTCTTTGCGGCCTGCATGCACCCAGGCACCATGATCCTACTGAGCCTGGTGGGTTCCACCCTGTCCTCCCTGTTCCTCACCCTCTTCAACAGGAACAGGGTGGCCCTGTGGATCTGCACTGGTGTCTACGGTGCCTCCATGTCGACCACTTTCCCCAGTGGGATCTCCTGGGTGGAGCAGTACACCACAGTGACCGGGCGCTCTGCTGCGGTGTTCGTGGTGGGGGCGGCCCTGGGGGAGATGGTGCTGCCCGCCCTGGTGGGCTTCCTGCTGGGGAGGATCGATGATCACCCCCTGCTGATGTACCTGGCCCTGGGCACCGCCACCATCACCTCCATCCTCTTCCCCTTCATGTTCTGGCTGGCCTCGTCCCCCAGCGGCCCCAGTAGGACACCCCGTACCAGGGGCCGCATGGAGCCTGACGACAGCGAGTACCGCCAAGCCCTGCTGGACTCAGGCGCCAATGATGAGGAAGAGGAACAGAAGCAGGATGACGAGGCCGACCAGTGGAATGATGCCGACTTTGAGGTCATCGAGATGGATGACGCCAGCCTTATGAACTCTCCTAATATAGCGTCATTCTCATCTCCTAGTAAAGCGCTCTCTTTATCTCCTAATAAAGCTTTGTCATCTCCTAACAAAGGGCTTCCACCACCTGATGTTGCTGGGACATCATGGGACACCACTGCCACATCTGTCCCCTCTACTGCCCAGTACCTAGAGCCAACGGTTGGTGCCTCATTCTCAGACTCTATCTCTCTCCAGGGTGACTCACCCAGACGGAAACTGTTGCGTTCCCTGGACCGGCAGAAGAGAGACTAGGGGTTAGATTCAATCAGCTCATGCATTAACCAGCGATTGCCGACACCCGAATAGCTGGTGTTTTGGTGGTGTCGGTGGTGTAACTGCATTAGAGCTGTCAAATCAGAGCGGCTGATTGTGTGGTATTTGTCCCGAAGCCACACCCATCCCACTCATGTTAGAAGTTCAGAAGGAGAAAGTGTAGGCTATATAGAAATAATGACGCTCAAATTTAAAATCATTAAACAAAATGAGGATTTCTATCAGCCTAATCGAGGTGTAGATTATATCTCACATTCCACTAAACAACTTGTAAGTAGGCTGCGTGAGATTTATCTTAATTAGACTACGTGCAGCCAATGGCAATATCCACTTTAGGTATAATGCCGGGAGCCACTTGTGGATTTGACAGCTCTAATACAGTTCCACCTCTGACACCGGCCAAAACAACTGGGAGCCTGGGATTCAATCGGATTAGCAGTAAGGCCGGGATTCAATCCTAAAGCCAGGATTGGATCCGATCGTGCTTTGTCTGCAATGCACCTTTTAAAGGCAATTTTCTCGCGTTCACGGAGACCACATTTACAGTCAATGCTGCATATGCCGGCTCAATCGGAAATTACCTTTAAATGGTGCATTGTCACAAAGTGCGATCGGAATGAATCCTGGCCTATGGGCTCTAGTCTGTGAAATGCACCATGACTCCAAGTGCTTTAAAGACATTACTGTATTCTAGAAGAGCCATGGCTCTCTTCAGAGAAACTTGTTAATGTCTGATTGTCAGTGACTGTAATTTGACTTGTGCTTCTTTAGTGTAATACTCACATGTAAATGTTTGATACTACAGATTTACAGTGCAATATAAGTTTACCCCACTCCAACAGTTTATGTCTACTATATTATTTGAAGCTGTACGCTTTGGCGTAAATGGTATTTGTTTAAACATTAAGGCCCCTTGCCACTGTTGCTGGTAATGAATAAGAAAGGTTGCACTACTGTGAAGACTCAATGTAACACTAAAAACATTTTCTTTTAGATATCCTAAAGATGTCATTTTCTTTGTAATATTTTATTTAGTAATATGTGAATTATCAGCAGTTAAAGATAGGAATTTAGCCACCAATGTGGCCTGATTATGAATAATTTGTTTTTGTTAGACCTTTGTTTGAATAGATGCCGCATTCACGTGCTAGTCTAAACTAGGAAACAACAATTTTAGACTTGCTAACTTGTAGAAAGATGATCCCGAGTTTCCCACTTGGAAAGTATCAGAATCAACCCACTGGGCACAGATGTCAATTCAACATCTAGTCCACGTTGGTTCAACATAATTTCATTGAAATGACGTGGCAATGTTGATTCAACCAATGTATGCCCAGTGGGAACCACTATACAAATAAGTTACGTTCATTTTAACGCGGAGGTATGGAGTTTCCAATAGCACATGAACACGGCACAAGTTTGTTTATTTGCACTGTTCTGTAAAAAAATAATTTTGATTTAATTATTGTGCTGTGATGAATTTATTGTCTAGTAATCTGTCATTTTTCATTCAGATGTGTGATCTTTGTTAAAGTTAATATCTCTTGAATTTTTCTATGAAAACAAATCAAAATCATGACAAAATACTAAACACAAAGACTAAAGAATTTAATACATTTTATTATATCAACCTCCACCCACAGCAATGTCCATTAAAAACAAAGCAAAAAACACTTCCTTCATATTTTTTTGTACATTTACATTTATACAAATACACAGATCCTGTGTAGAGTTGTTTGGGAAATAATATAATCCATCTTGACATGGGTAGATGGCATATGCTGTTTTAACATGGAGAAAGCATTAGAAATGTGTACAAAACAAATATGCACAAGGAAATAATATATACTCTTGCCATAAATTATCAAATACAGTATTGCAACAGTCCCAGAAGTAAAAACTTAAATGAATACTCCCCATCCTCTTTTGATAGGCATTAGTGCCTCGGAGTATAATGATATGCTTTTTCAAAACTGACAAATACAATCGAGGCTAAAAGAAACAAATGTATTAACATGGCACACAAACAGAATGCATTAAAACAAGTTTATTTGTTTTTATTTTTTAATGCCGATGCACAGAGAGAATTCAAAATGGGCACTTTACAATAATTATTTACCAAAGATTGTATTTGATATAAAAGGGAAATGTAGTTAAACAGTGGTTTATTTAGTCAACTTTTGAGTTGTAAGGAGCTCCTTAGAAATACTGTTCAGACTTTTTAAGTCTTGCATTTACAAATTGCTACAGCGCATACAAAATAAAACGGTAGGGTCCTCTTCGATCAGAGTTAATGCCATCTTTATGATGCAGACGAGACCATCTTCAGATACACCATCTGAAGAAAAAACATCAGCTTCAATCACAACCAACCAATAGCAGCTAATGAAGACACAGTGAGAGTGGGAGAATGAACCCTAAAAAAACACTCCCTCGCCTCCCACAGGAGGCCAAACCCAGCCAGTCTGCACTTAGAGCAGAAATACTTGTATAACAACAGGACAACATGAAAACCCAACGGGGTTCAATCAAAGCACCATTTAAAAAGAAAAAAAAGACAGGGAAACACTGAGCTGGATGAGACAACGTTGGTTTAGCACCAGAGTAGCTGTGCTGCGCGGGGCAGTGGGGCCATTCAGAATCAGAACTGCTCCAGGAGCTGTCGGAGGTATGGGGCCTTGGTGAGCTGTCTGTTGACCCGGGACAGCTTGTAGAGCACAGGACAGTCCAGAGACACACACGGAACCTGCCGCTCCGCACTGCCGCTGCAGTTCCTACAGATCTGGACCAATAGAAAACAGGAGGTTGGTTAATGGAGTTTAAATTCTAGCTACAGAACGTCACCAACCAGTTTGAGTGAACTTTCCCTCTAATATTACATGATAACAGGGCTAAAAATAGAACTCTAAGCTTAGCTCTATTTCCATCTCGCTGTACTCTGACTCTCTAAACTAAAATGCAGACAGTGCTTGGAGACTATCCAGCATGACCTCTTCACAATAGCAGCAGCTTGTGGTACACTACATAACCAAAAGTGCTGACGTTGCTTCCAGAGGCAGTTTGGAACTCGGTAGTGAGTGTTGCAACCGAGGACAGGCGATTTTTACGCGCTACGCGCTTCAGCACTCGGCGGTGTCGTTCTGTGAGCTTGTGTGGCCTACCGCTGAGCCGTTGTTGCTCCCAGACGTTTCCACTACATAATAACAGCACTTACAGTTGAACGGGCCAGCTCTAACAGCGCAGAAATGTGACGAACTGACTAGTTGGAAAGGTGGCATCATATGACAGTGCCACGTTGAAAGTCACTGAGCTCTTCAGTAAGGCCATTTTACTGCCAATGTTTGTCTATGGAGATTGCATGGCTCTGTGCTCGATTTTATACACCTGTCAGCAACGGGTGTGGCTGAAATAGCCGGATCCACTCATTTGAAGGGGTGTCCACATACTTTTGTATATATAGTGTAGCCCCCCCCCCCCCCCCCGACCTTTCACCTTTAGCAGCTGGTCCTGCTGGCTCTCCCACAGCCGCATGTCCTGGTAGAGAGTGACGGCCACGCGTTGGGGCTCGGCCCGGCAGCTGGCACACACCCCTAGCTGGGTGAGCTCGTCACACACAGGACAGTGCAGAGTGGTGAAGTACTGGGAGATGGTCCCCTTCCTCCCTACCACCTCCCCTCTGGCCACCATGGAGCATGACGCCTTCTGGACCTGAACACAGAGGACATGTTTAGAGCCATGGACTAGGTTAGATTTGTGGTCATATATAAAGGTATTGTTCATCAAGACTGTAATTCACTATTTGACAGGTCAGACTATTTTTGTTAAACTCATTTCATGGAGGGCCTAGTGTCTGCGGGTTTGTGTTTTTTCCTTTCAATTAAGACCTAGACAACCAGGTGAGGAGAGTTCTTTACTAATTAGTGACCTTAATTCATCAATCAAGTACAAGGGAGGAGCAAAAACCCGCAGACACTCGGCCCTCCGTGGAATGAGTTTGACACATGCTCTCAAACAGTGTTTCCCAACCGCACACGTTTTTGTTGTAGCCTCGGACGAACCCACCTGATTCAACTCATCCAGGGCTTGACAAGTGGAATCAGGTGAGTTTGTCTGGGACTGCAACAAAAACATGTACTGTTGGAAACACTGCAGGACTGGAGTTGAGAAACACTGGTCTAAAAGAGCTAAGCCCCCTTGCCCTTCAGTCTGAAGCAGGCTAACGAGACAACAGTATTAAATCCGCATGTCCTTTACACAACTCGCCACTAGATGGCATCATTAGCATTTCAAAAGGGCAGTGCCTCTAACAATTACTTGGGTACGAGATTAGATATTTGTCTCATTTGATTCCCGACATGTAGCCCTTTTTTCTTTTGTTCTCTGTCTGCACGACAGTCTGGACAAAGCTTTCAAAAGCACCATCTCTGCTTCAGTGGTCTGTGTGTGTCAGCAAACATCTATTCTCTCCAGCATGGATCAATCATCAGTTTGATGAATCCCAGTAACTATTTAACTAGAAGAGCATTTTGGTTGGAGACCAGAGGGTCTATCCTTTAAGGGTCCACCGACCCCCCTCCACCCGCACCGCTCTTTCATAGCCTCACCCTGGGGAGTTCCTGGTACCAGTTGAGCACGTCCACGCCGATGAGCTGGAAGATGCGCTGCAGCGGGGGCAGGATCTGCTTGGTGATGTAGTAGGTGGCGTTGAGGCGCAGACCCGGGTCCTGCAGCACCTCCAGGGGCCGCCGCACCAGCTGGATGAGAGGCACGCCAGGCGTCCCGTACACAATCACGTAGGGCACCCGCTCGCCCACCCGTGGCTCCAGGCGCCGGTCATAAACCATCATACGCCTGGGGGGAGAGTTGGGAGATGGGGGTGTCAGGACACAGCAGTGGAATGGCTGGTTCATGCTAATCTAGCACCCCAAATATGTGCAGTGGTATAGGACCACACATACATACAGTATTCAGATTTTAATGGATTAATTTATCACAAGAAAAATTTTATTTTGTTCAAAACCAAAGCATGATGCATTTGCTCCTTGTTTTTGTACTGCAGTAGTATTAGTGACTATAATAAATTGTAATACATTTCCTGAATCACACAGAATATTTTCCCCATTTAACCATGTCTCTGAAATCAGGTTTTGCCACCCATTATTGGCTGGGTTGCTAAGCAACTGTCTCAGGTACAGTACACTGAGCTAGGCCGGTCGTAGTGCAGGCAGACAATGGGCATTGTGGGGAATCAGTAAGTGGCTTCACAACGGGCACACAGCCAGACGAGAGGGGAGGAAGGTCTCACACACACTCTTCGACCCCACATCAACAAGCCACTCCACAGAAACACACTAATTAGACATGCAGTTACATTTAGGCACTACCATATTGTCAACACACAAGATTTCTCAAAGATGCTTCTGTTAATTCAACACCGTCATGTCATAAACACACGCTACGACCACCCTCCCCCTCGGGCGGTATGTTGTTGGTGTACCTGGTGAGCTCCAGAGCAGGGACGCAGGCCCCCGGCCGGTAGGAGCTGCTGCCCCTGTACTCCTTAGCGAAGGTCAGGTCCTGCATGCTGGCCTTGGCCTCCAGCACCTTCACACACTGACGCTGCACAAACTGTTTCACCTGGCTGATATCCCGCGTCTCAAACAGCAGCTTGATGGAACGCTCCAAAATCTACGGAGACGGGGGAGTTCACACATACCAGACACCAGTCTATAAACTATATATCGACCAGGCTGACTGTGATAGTATAGAATGTTCAGACAAGGACTGATTGCCATGTGTGTCCTTTGTATTCATCTGAGCATTGGGCTGCTAGTAGAAATCTGGCGTGACTGTGAAGGGTGTAGACAGAGAGAGAGAGAGAGCAGGCAGAATCGGTCAAATGTTGCTGGTTACCTTGGAAACAGCAGGGCATCCGTCTCGGCGCACTGTTTCGATCCCCTTGGCGTCGAACACGGGGTCCTTCTGGTCCAGGCTCTCGTACATGTAGCCCACGTAGCGCTTCTTTGTCTGGAGCACGCACGGGAGATACACCTGGGATCACACACACACACACACACACACACACACACACACACACACAGACACACAGAGAGGGATTAAACTAATGGTTCTGTAATTAATCCACAAACACACATACAGACAGACAGACTTAAACAAATACCACACACACATACATTGTGGGCTTCAATACACTCGTACAGACAGCCAGTCTAGCCACGTCATACTGTACTGAGCAGAGACTGTACCTTCTCAAACTTCAGCTTGACAGGTTTAGGGTTGGTAGCAGTCACTGCCTCGGCGATCTCGTTGCCGATCTTGAAGGCCTGCTCTTTAGTCGCACCCTTCAGCAGGACAAACATGCTGGAAGAGACAAGTAGAGGGTAAGAAAAGAGTCGCAGAAAACCAGAGGGCCCAATATCTGACGCTTCCCTACCTGTCTGTGTCACCATAGACAACGTGGGCTCCCCATTTCTTGGTGTCGTTGACCAGCTTGATGGCCCTCTCCAGGGTCTCCCTGGCCTTGTGGACAATACTATCGGCAACCTATAGAGACAATAGATGGAGACATGCATAAGAAAAAGGCTTCCAGCTAAGGTTAGTGGTACAAACCCAACTGACAAAGTATGGGATAGAGGGGCAGAGGAGTTATCATGGTCATGGAGTTTTGGGTAAGTGTGCCAGACGTTAGTGTGAACCCTGGGCCCCTCACCTCTACGCTGGGCATGCGTCCGGAGTAGTTAGCGCCGGTGTAGCCGTAAGTGACGTTGGCGATGAGCTTGAGTCCCAGCTGCCTGGCGTCCAGGAGCCTCATCAAGGCCTTGTCCTGCTTGTAAGTCTTCATGGAGCGCTTCACCATGAACCGCGTGTTCAGGATCTCCTCCAACATACTGGGCAGGACCCCCTTTCTCACCGTGGGCTGATCAGGGAACAGACACATTGACACGCACACACAGTTAATCTTAATAGTTCCATAACAGTTTCATTTATTTAATCAAAATCCACCCCTTTCATTAGGAAAAGTGAATGTATCAGAAGAGTTGTACCTTGACAAAAGCGATGCCGTTGGGAGAGATGGTGATATCATTGCGGAGCTGGTACAGGAGCTCAAGGGGGACCCTCAGGGAGGTGCAGCCAAACTTAAACCCATCAGGCCTGAAACATCACACAGTGGTTGGTCTCTGTACCTTGACTGACATCTCACACTACCAAAACTATAAGGTGAATGTATATGTGTGTCTTACGTTCCCATGCTCTCCACGTGGCCCAGGCAGGTAGAGTAGCAGTAGTTGTATGCGATGACGATGGAGGGGTACAGCGACTGGAAGTCCAGAACCACCACAGAGTTGCTGTAGAAGCGCGACTCGGGCTCCATGACCAGCGGGATGCACTGCGGCGCCCTCTGCTGGGCTCTCTGCTGCATGCTGGGCGTCACGGGGATGTAGTTCATGGGCTTGGCCACACGCAGCATCATGGACTCCACACGGTACTGCAGGGAGAGGAGAGAGAAGGAGAGGGAGAGAGGGCAGAGTGGAGTGAGATATCTCATCTGGCTTTCTCATTAGACTGATCACTGACAACTCGTCTCCATCCGGTTTAGCTCAGTCTCGACATAATGTGTCCTTGTTTCCCTTGATCATCTTTCCTTTAATTTGTGGTATGTAGTACTTGTTCTGACCATCCACCGGACAATCACCAATTCCTAAATCCCAGTAACAGACTGACACCTTCTAGTCTACCACATGGGGAGATAGAGGTGAGCCAGACAGATAAACTCATCCTGGACTTCAACAGTCCTGATGTGCCTTCTTAATTCCTCTTATAGTTGAAAGGCAGTGGTCAAACAACAAACCATATAAGATACAAAATTAGACAGTGAGTGAAACACCATAAAATGTTGTACCTGTAACTAAACATTACATCAACACAGTGTGCCAATCCACGTCACAGCTAATAACCCAACATTTCTGAGATCCGGTGGGTTCCTGACCTGGGATCCTCTTGTGAGCACGTGGTAGAACTGGATCCCGAACACCCTGGCCAGCTCGCTGGTCCTGCCGATGATGTCACGCTGCTGGAGCAGCTGCATGGTGCCACCCACCCGGCTCACATAATGGTCCACCATCTTCCACCTGGCAGGCACACAACAGTCTGAGTCAACTTCATACAGGAAATCAAAAGGTACTGCAAATGTAATTACCCCTTTTATCGTCTTGTCTCAGTTTCAACTGAATTGGTATGCAAAACCAATAAAGAGTTGATCACAAAACAGAGTGACGATGGTTATAATGTGAGCACAATGAAAGAGAGCAGCCAGGTAGGTGGGTGGGTGTGAATGTATCCAGTAGCAGGATGGGGTGGTGCCCACCTGTACAGGTCAGTGTTGTGGTCGAACCAGTCCGACAGGGTGCGGGGGCTGTACAGGGGGAAGCGCTGGTGTAGGACGTGGAAGGCCACATTCTCAAAACTGTAGTTGTTCAACGTCACCTGGAAAAAACAATGAAATACACTCGTACAAATGACCTCAGAAACAAACATGAGAAAACAAAATGATCTGCAGCTATACACCGTTTTTTCTTTTTTTTATAAAAGGGAAACAAACAAAATGATACGGTGGAAAGGTTGGCAGCATTGATTCTAAGTGATTGATGATGTCTGCAGCAGCAGTTACCTCAGTCTTCATGATTCTCCACAGGTTGATGACTATGCGCCCGATGATGTGTATCTCTGTCATGGTGTCTGCTCCGTACTCATCCCTCTCTGCAGCGAAACGGTTCTCCTTGGCGTCACCTGAGGACAACAGACAGACGTTACTACACCCACGGAGGAGCAGCGAGACGACACATCTAGCTCCATTCTCCTTTGACCTGGACGGAATGGCTGGCTGTACAGCAGTAGAATGTCAGGGAGAAACCTGCTTGACGTTTCTGTATGAGAGCCAATATTATTTGAATATACTGAGTGGAGCATAAATACACTAACACGCGCAGCATTTTAAATCCGATTTAAAACACAGCACTCCCACACTACCAGACACAATGATCCACTTATAATTAATTTTGCTCAATCACAGAGAAATATCTACACTCTCAATAAACAAGCTCTCAAGCTGTGGATTCGCTACGTGCCACGGCTTCCTTTAGGAGAGGTGCTTATTCAGACCAGTTTTACAGGAGCTAAAAGGAGTGAGGGAGCAGTGTTGTGGCAGCATAAAGGGCCAGGTTCAGTGCCACCAAATGTATACAGTGCCTTCGGAAAGTGTTCAGACCCCTTGACTTTTTCCACATTTTCTTACGTTACAGCCTTATTCTAAAATTGATTTAATAAAAAAAAATCCTCAGCAATCTACATAAAATACTCCATAATGACAAAGCGAAAACAGGTTTTTAGACATTTTTGCAAATGTATAAAAAACAGAAATACCTTATTTACATAAGTATTCAGACCCTTTGCTATGAGACTCGAAATTGAGCTCAGGTGCATCCTGTTTCCATTGATCATCTTTGAGATGTTTCCACAACTTGATTGGAGTCCACCTGTGGTAAATTAAATTGATTGGACATTATTTGGAAAGGCACATATAAAAGGTCCCACAGTTGACAGTGCATGTCAGAGCAAAAACCAAGCAATGAGGTCGAAGGAATTGTCGTTAGAGCACCGAGACAGGATTGTGCCAAGGCACAGATCTGGGGAAGGTTACCAAAACATTTCTGCAGCATTGAAGGTCCAAGAACACAGTGGCCTCTATCCTTCTTAAATGGAAGAAGTTTGGAACCACCAAGACTCTTCCTAGAGCTGGCTGCCCGGCCAAACTGAGCAATTGGGGTAGAAGAGCTTTGGTCAGGGAGGTGATCAAGAACCCGATGGTCACTCTGACAGAGCTCTAGAGTTCATCTGTGGAGATGGGAGAACCTTCCAGAAGGACAATCATCTCTGCAGCACTCCACCAAATCAGGCCTTTACGGTAATGGCCAGACGGAAGCAACTCCTCAGTAAAAAGGCACATGACAGCCCGCTTGGAGTTGCCAAAAGGCACCTAAAGACTATCAGACCGTGAGAAACAAGATTCCCTGGTCTGATGAAACTAAGATTGCACTCTTTGGCCTGAATGCCAAGCATCACGTCTGGAGGAAACCTGGCACCATCCCTACGGTGAAGCATGGTGGTGGCAGCATCATGCTGTGGGGATGTTTTTCAGCGGCAGGGACTGGGAGACCAGTCAGGATCGAGGGAAAGATTAATGGAGCAAAGTACAGAGAGATCCTTGATGAAAATTTGCTCCAGAGCGCTCAGACTGGGGTGAAGGTTCACTTTCCAACAGGACAACGACCCTAAGCACACAGCCAAGACAATGCAGGAGTGGCTTCGGGACAAGTCTCTGAATGTCCTTGATTGGCCCAGCCAGAGCCCGGCCGAACATCTCTGGAGAGACCTGAAAATAGCTGTGCAGCAACGCTCCCCATCCAACCAGAGGATCGGCAGAGAAGAATGGGAGAAAATCCCCAAATAAAGGTGTGCCAAGCTTGTAGAGTCATACCCAAGAAGACTTGAGGCTGTAATCACTGCCAAAGGTGCTTCAACAAAGTACTGAGTAAAGAGTGTGAATACTTATGTAAATGTGATATTTCCGTTTTTTATTTTTAATAAATTAGCAAACATTTCTAAAAACCTGTTTTTGCTTTGTCATTATGGGGTATTGTGTGTAGATTGATGAGGGGAAAAAAACTATTTCATCCATTTTAGAATAAGGCTATAACGTAACAAAATGTGGAAAAAGTCAAGGGGTCTGAATACTTTCTGAATGCACTGTAACTACACACAAAAATTAACTAAATGTCATGCTTCTTCTATCAAAGCAGACCATTTTTATTAGTGATAAAAGCAGTGTTGTGGCAGCAGAGAGGTCCAGGGTCAGTGCCACCCTACCTGGCACCCTGGAGAGCTGCTGGCACAGGTCCACGCTGAGTGCTGATGCCCGCTGGAGGATGTAGCCCCAGGAACGCATCTGGGCCTCATAGCCTACCAGGATGTCTGGGTCAAACCTGCCACGACAGAACAGGGACTCATGTTAACAACTTGGCGCAAGGAGCCACAGTACACATGTTTAACAATATAGAAAATAAAAGAAGATTACATAGAAATGGGAACAGATATGAATATGTATAATATACATTTAAATCAAAAACTGTGAATTTGTATCTGCGCTGTCAGTGTTGGGAACATGAACACCCAGCGAAATGTTTCACAACCGATAAGGTGTCCAACAAAGCTACTGTGTGCTTCAGATCTCCTTTTGTAAGGATCAAGGTCAAATCCACAGGAGCCAATACAGTACCTCCTCATGATAGTGACAACTTCCTGGAACAGCTGCTTCTCATCCACAGCGTAGGTGACCTGCAGTCCTGAGACGCCGGATCTGACCAGCAGGGGTACTGTTCCTCTGACACCTGGGAGGACACACACACAGATACATCACAAACGCTGTTCTTTCAGATTCAAGCACAATGACCATGTACACAATGACAATAGTTGAAGCTAGGTCAGACAAGTGTGGTCCATCCATCCACAGCATGGCAGGAGGGACTGAGGGAGTGACCCGTCACCTTGGCTACTCTCCTGGCAGTCCTTGTCCACCACGATGGCCCCAGTCAGCTGGGTCTTGTCGGAGTCCAGTAGAGGTGTGTCAGAGCTGAAGCAGTAGAATAAGGCACATATGGGGTCAAACTCGGGGTCGGGTTCCAAGTCCCGCCGGGTCCGCGCGTGAAGTTCCATGCTCATCAACGTCAGGTGCTGCACCTACAGATGAAAGAGAAAAGCATGTCACATTCCATCTGTAACTCTATGGTGTGTGTGTGTGTGTGCTTCTGTGTGTGTGCGTGCGTGTGTGTCTCACCTCGTGCAGGGCTTTAGCGTCCTGGAGGTTCTGCATGCTGACTTTGAAGCCGTATGAGTTGCTGATACTGGGGCCCTCGATCTGAGAGTTGTCTTTCTTTGTAACGTTCAAAGCAGCAAACTGGTTCTGGGGATTGAGGAAGAGGGGAAGCATGTTCACATAACATTAAAAAGAGAGAACAGTGTATCCGGGCAGATTAAGTAAATGCTAAAAGTCATTCATGGATAAAAAAAAAAATGACGGACTGATTCAAATGATCAAAGCTAAATCTGTAATATGTCTTGGGTTATTTACTTGTCTGATGCTCTTCATCAATCTTCTGAAACCATACATTACTCATCAGGGTATAGAGGACAACATATAAAATAGGCTTTTTGGAGTGTTGGCCTAAATGAGCAGGAGCTTTTAAATTCTCGGTGTTTGTCCTGACCTTCATCTGTGTGGTCAATAGCACTCTCCTCAGGGTGTCTGTGTGTTCCCCTCTCCTGTGCTGCAGTCTCTGAGATGTGGACTCCGCTTCTGGGATTGAACAGAAACCCCAAAATGAGTTAAGGTTGCCGGTGGGGTGGTGCGATGCATAATGACATTCCAGAGGAAAAAACAACTGCATGCAGACGGCTTCCTCCTAATAAAGCTAATTCAATAAATGACTGTGACAGCTTAACAATTCTGGTACGCTTGATTAGTCAATTATGCAATCATTAATAGCAGCCATAAAAATTTCACACCGAGGAAAGAAAGTTGGAGTAAAGAAAAGCGGAAGGATAGCGGATTCTATCGCTATTGTCATTTCCCATGGTCTGAGTTAGAGTTAGCCGCCGAGGCAGGATGAAGCGTGATAGCTGCTAATAGCCTGCGGCCGGAGAATGATGGGGCTTACCTTCAGTCACAGGGGTGCTACACACAGGTTCCGACTCGCCCCTGCATCTGCGTCTCCTGAGGATTGGGGTGCTGTGGAGCTGAAGGTGGGGGCTGGTCCTCTCCCTGTCCCCCTGGCTCTTCATTGAATGTAAGGGAGATGGACTGAGGAAGTGCTTCTCCTCTCTCCTCTCTGGTGAGGTGCAGAGCCTGGGAGACAAGGGTGACCCTAGATCTGACCCTCTCCTCTCCCCCTCTACTCCGTCTAGTCCTGAGGGGCTGGGTTGCTGCCAGGGCGGCAGGTCTGGTGAGTCTGGAGAGATGGATTTACCGTAGTACTCCTCCTCCTCCTCAGGGTCTCTGGTGTTAATGTCTGATACAGGCTTCACTCTGGGGCTGTCCTGAGTTTCCACCCCCTCAACAGGTGATATATGTAGAGAGAGATTGTCCCTCCTCTCCGTCTGAGTCCTGATATCAGAGGGTTTCTCAAACCCCTCCTCGTCCTTCAATGCTGGACAATGGAACAGAGTGGGCTGTTCAGTCCTGTCTGTTTGCTGCTCTTCTCTTATCTGTTCTAACCTTCCCCTCTCCAGTGCTCCCATGTCTCTCCTGCCCCTCTGCAGATGCTCATACTGTTTCCTGGCCTCCAGCCATAGCTGGACGCGTTCGCGGCTGGGGGCGCTCCTGCAAGGCAGCAGGATGACCTTCTGGTCCCCGGCTGAGGAGGAGCTGAGCTGGGCCTGGTCTCTGGTGGCCTCTGCTCCCAGGGTGTGAGAGGAGCCAGGTCGGGTCATTGCGGAGAAGGCTGTCTTCCAGAACTGTAGCCCCTCCAGGGATAGGTCCCCGTTGAACTCAGCCAGCTCCTTGGCCAACCTGGTCTCCACCGTCAATTTACGCCCACCAACCTCCCTGGAAAAGATGATAAAATGGGCATTAATGATTGAATGATTGAATGATTCACAACATCATGCCTCACCACAGCCTCATCAGTCATATACATTTATTGTGTGTAGCATTTAACCCTTGAATCAATCACATTTATTTATAAAGCCCTTTTCACATCAGTAGTTGTCATAAAGTGCTTTTAAAGTAAATCAAATCAAATAATCCCGCGAGTTTAGAGGTCTTACCTGGGTTTCCCTGGGGCATCTGAGGGATTACTGCAGAAGGGTTCCTGAAAGGTGGCCTCAGACATCTCCAGGTCCAGGAGGGTGGTGAGGATCTCGTCCCGGTTGGGAGGGGACATGAGGGGCTTGAGGATGTGGGCTCCCCCACCTGTCCCCCTGAGGACCTGGCTGCTGGTCTTCACCTGGGATATAGAGCTTACTGAGCGTGGAGAACTACTGGCTGTGGTCGACGCCAAAGCATCGTTCCCCTCCAGTAGGTCTCCAGTCGGTGATCCTTCGTTGTCTGCGAAAGACGCGGAGCTCAAAGGCAGCGGTAAGACGGGGTCGAAGGCAGAGAACAACAGTTCTTTCCTCTCACAGTGAAAGCCCTGGAAGTGGCTGAGGCCGTGGAGTTTGCCTAGAGACGTTCCCCACTCTCTGCTCCTCAGTAACCTCTCAGAATCCAGAGAAGATAGATGGTTGGAGACAGATTCGCCGTTTTCTGGCTTGTCAAAGAGGTCAGGACTCAGAGGTCCAGACAAGCTTCGTTGCAGTGCAGGGACGGCCTCCTGGGTGATGTCACTCAGGAACTTCTGAGGCAGGTTCTTGTCAGTCAGAACAAACTGGCTGCCCATGTACAGGCTGGAGAACTCTGCCTGGCTGCCAATGCCGATAGCGTTGATGTCGAAGTTGTAGTTGTGTGGGAGCTCTGGGGAGAGGCTGTCCTCTATAGAGTAGCAGCTGTCCAGGCCTGGGTCTGACAGGAACACTGGGCTTTCGTCTGACATAGGTGGCTCCTGCTTCACAGGTAACTCTGGCTGAGAGTTTGCCTTACCCTTCCTGCTTCTGGGCTTCCTCTCCTTGGGAGTTGTAGTTCTTGGGGCCCGGGGTTTCCGTGGGGTGGCTGACGGAGTTCTCCTGGCTCTTGATGGCTTGGCTGCAGCAGGGTCTGGTGTGGGGCCAGGGGGCTGTGTTGTAGTGGAGGAGGAGATATCTGTGCCTACTGTCAGGGTTGGGAGGCACTGACCGCCTCTCTGCTGCCTCTTCTGCAGGAGCTTCTTCAGAACAGCCAGGCCAGAGGTATCCGCAGGTAGGGTCTCCCCGTTCCTAAGGCCTGAGTGGGGGGACCCTGCTTTGGGGGCGCCCTTACTTTTCCCCACCATGGGGGATTTCACCTGAGGGGGTGTGCACTCATCAACTGCAGTCTCTGCCTTCACAGCACAACCCTGCAGTTGGCCTGGCTGCGTTTGGAAGAGTTCGAGAGCAAAGCTTTGGTTCACCTCCATGATGGACGTCTCATAGTCTTCAGACTTTGGTTCAATGAACTGGGAGAACTGGGACAGGGATTTAGAGCCAGCGACCCCCTGGGAGCCATCAATGATCTGGTTGGTTTTGTTAGCTGGCTGCTGAAAGGGTGGTATGGCCTTTGAGGAGGATTCAGTAGGAGGCAGCTCATCCTCTGGGAAAAGGAGCTGGGAACTGTCACAGTCTCTGCTTCTTACAGGGGGCTGTTCAGGCTCTTCAGCCTGCTTCTTCCTACGAGGCCTCCGTGTTCTTGTGGTGGTGTTAGTAGAGTCACTACCCACACTAGTCCCATCAACTGTTTCTAGATCTTTCTTTCTCCTCCTTGGAGTCCCATTAGTACTTTTCCTTCTCGATGCGCTCTCCTTTTTGACTTCCTCCGAAAGCTTATTAGCAGACTTAGTCCGTCTTCTTGGGCTGCTAGGTTTAGCAGCCCGGCTTCGGTTCCGCACACCTCGGCCTAAGGACGCTGGGGGGGTTTCCTGACACACAGAACTGAGACAGGGATCATTTAATGGGTTCATCAACCCATCAGAGGACATGGCTTCCATAAGGGGGTCACTGGGGGACCAACATCGGGGTGGGGTTGAATCAGTGGGGCTAGGGGATCTCTCAGATAGATAACCCAACTCCACCATCACATCAGAGTACTCCGTGGTGTGGTCATCGGCCAGTTCACAGTAACATGGCTGCGGGCATGGCAGAGAGGGCAGAGTCAAGGCTTTTCTAAGGCCTCTAGTCCTTCTAGGCCTCTCACCCCCCTGCCTGACTCTGACTCGAGGTTTGGGAGGGCTGCTGACCGTTTTCTTATTGGTGGTGGTGTTGACCTTAACTTTTCGTTTGGGCTGTTTCTTATTAGGCTTGGGCTCACTGAGAGGAAACTTGACTGCACAAGACTCTGGAACCTTAGGCCAGAAGGTCTTGAGGGGGGCCATTTTAGTATACGTCTCCAGTTTGTCTGGTGTGAGCACCACCCGCTGCTCCTCAGCACTCACCTTGGCCATCTTCACCAACATGTTCTTCTGACCCTTAAACCGGTTGATGATGATGTACTTGATGATGATGGGTGGCTCCCTTGGCTCCTTTCTGGACATCTTCCGTCGTTTCTGATACTTGAGTTCCTGCGTGCTGAGGATATAGTTGTCTTTGAAGCGGACATAGTTGTCTCGGAGGGCCAGAGGGTGTTTCACGCGAGAGGCGCCCGAGTGTTCCCCGTCCTCGCTGCTGTCGTAGCTCATCTTGCGCTTGGCCCTCAGGGTGTACTTGCTGCCAGGCAGACCTGATGCTTTGGTGCAGGTCACTTTAACAGGGAGCTCAGGCAGTGGGGCCAACCTGCACTCCTCAGATGCCTTAGTGGGAATGGCAGGGACTGGGGCCGGTGTAGGGGACACGACAGGGGCTGGTAGAGGGGTAGGGGCCAGGGCAGGGGAAGGGGCAGGCGATTCTGGGAGTGGTTCTGTGGGTCCAGTTTCCTCTACGACTGATTTTGCCACTGTTACTGGCTTCTCGTCAGTGTCCGTGCTCTTAGGACAGGCAGGCATGATGGACGTTAAGGCCATGCCCACTTGGCTGTCAGAGGCTAGGCTTTCCACAGCGTTCGCCTTAGCTTTCTGGGCTGCTGCAGCAGACCTCCTCTTGCCCAGCTTTAGCCTGGACTTGCGTGGCTCTGCCTGCTCTAGCTTAGCGCAGCCGTCGGTCAGCTTGTTGCCCACAACCTTCTTGGCGGGCCTGGTAAGGCAGTTGGAGAGAATGACACTGGGGAAGAACTTGTAGTGCGCCTCCTGCTGGGCTACTATGGTCCTCTCAGTCTTGTTCTCCTGATAGTCCTCGTACCGGATCTTCAGCTCGCCCATGTCCCCCTCCTCACTGCCCTGGCCCATCTCACGCTCCTGCGAGGCCAGGAGCTCGTTCTCTTCTATGGGGCAGGGGGCTGGGGTTATACTGTTCCTTGGTATGGGGCTTTTACAGTCTTTCTGACCCAGCTCCAGATCAGTCTTGCTGGGGCAGTTCCTCAGCTCAGAGTAACACAGGGAGAAGCTCCTGTGGTTCTGCAGGATGGACAGGCGATTCTTCTCCACATTCTTGATGCTGCTGTACTTCTTCCTGCTCTGGGTGATTTTCCCGTTGCCGAACGGAAAGACGTCCAGATCCGACTCATCCAGAGCCATCGTCTTTTTCTTCTCGTAGGTGTACAGAGGCCGAACGACGTCCATTTTGTCCACACAGATCTGAGAGACCTCGACCTGGTTGGCGATGTTGCAGGGGATGGGGTGTTTGACCGGCTGGATGTAAGGTATCTCTTTATTCACCTTGAACCCTGTGGAGCACTCATGACTGTCTTGGCTGAGGGAGAGGAAGTGCTTATCAGCTGCGTCCTCAGTGTCCTGTGAGAGGGCCTGCCGGTGCTCCGGGTGTTTGCAGTCTAGGAGGATCTTAGCTGAAGACGGGGGCTCCAGGTGGACTGTCTCCCCAGGAAAGGGGTTCCTCTTCCCCAGGATCTTATCGGTGACGGTGAGGGACGAGTGGGTCCTGGAGCCTTTGTCCGTTACCGATGAATCTACAGAGGAAATAAAACATCTCAATACCGTGACAGGAATGTAAGGCAGGAGTCAATGAGATATGTCTTATCTGTAGTTTATCATCTATATTATGTTCTTATAACTCACCACTGTTCTCATCCGCAGCACCATCCAGCTGAGGAATGGACAGGTTGGCAAAGAGAGAGTTGTTCCCGCTCCATTCCATCTCCTCATCTGAGGAGTCCTGGGGCTCGTCACTGAAGCTCTCTTCTGCATCCGTCACACCAGGTCTACGGAGGGAGATAACAGAGACATTGATTTAACAATGAGGCATCGCTTAAACTATTCAGTCACGGCTCACTGCAGGTGACCTTCATCTGACTGCAAAAAGTGTTTACTGTTTACCATTATGTGAATTCAGTGACAACACAAGAAACAAGAAGAATTATGTAATTAGGTGTTTTTATTGAGTTAATATGAAACTCATAATTAATAAGTTAATATTGAGCAAGGCAAAGAAGTACAAGGTAAAGAAAGAAAATAAGAAATTAGTCACCTCCGTCTAGAAGACTGTTCTGCAAGGTCGCTGTCCCATCTCTGTGACATCATCAGACTGAGTTCTGCCTCCTCCCTCTCTAGCTCTGGCCCCTCCTCCTCATCGTCACTGTTGTAGTGAGCACTCCCTCCCCCGGGCAGGGAATGCTGGGAGTTCTGCCTCATAGGGGCCGCCCGATACCCATCATCCTCCAGGCCTGCCAGCAGGTCCACCATGGCATGGTCCTGGCTGCTGTCTGCAACACACACACACAGAAACCCCTCTGAGGTCACTCAACTCCAGACTTGGATGCTCTGCTTATGGCCTGGAGTTATAACTAGGGCCCAGAGTTTATCCTGGTCAGGTCATGTGGTCAGGAAAAAAATACCTGGCATTGGCGATGCTATATAAACAACATGTTGATTAAAAGCAGATTTTTAAAAATGCCATAAGATCAGTAGGATAAACTCCAAATGAACACCATTGCAGTATGTTTGCCTACCTAGTATGGGTGAGTGGTTGGATTTATGGGAGAGGGGGAGGAAGGTCTGACTGCTCTCCAACAGACTCAGAATGGCCTCCTCATCCACAATGGCCTCCTCCTGGTCTTTACCACGGCTTCTTTTAGTGTCTGAGTGGAGGGAGAGAGGAGGTTATCATTACTGAGAAACAGAGTGCACGTGTCCCAAATAGCAGCCTATTCCCTACATAGGGCACTACTTTTGACTAGAGCCCTATGGGGCCCTGGTCAAAAGTAGTACACTGTATAGGGAATAGGGTGCCATTTGGGACACAGAACAGTGAGTGGTTCAGCATGAGGCCCAGACGTACTCCATTCTGTCTCTGTGTGTGCCAGTCGCCTTGCTTCCCTAGCATTTCCATTGGTCCAACGGGAGACTTGGCAGACTGAGCGAGAAGATTAGGCTAATGTAGATCAACACTTGAAATTCAGTCACAGTCGGAGTGATAGGATATAATTAGGACGAATGTCGATCCACCTTCTCTGGCATTCAGACAGACTAGCAGAGGGCCAGTCGGTTGGGAGAACTGGGATGAATATTGATGTCACATCCCCCTTACTGTCTAGACTGGCAGAGGGCCAGTGGGCAGACGGAGACGCTTTGCTCTCACCTGTCTGGGAGTCTCTATGCACCTCTACCAGGTTGGCTGGTGAACACTGCAGCAGCTCTGGTGTCAGGACATCAGGGTGTAGAGACAGTTCAGCTGGGGATTGATCCTGCTCCTCTGCCGTGTCATCCACAGACCCAGACTGAGTCCTATTTAAAGAGGGATAAGACAGTTCAAAGGGAGACTGTAGTGGGCATGTCATTGCTAAGGTTATTACTTGAGTCATAGATGGGGTCCCTGGGACCACACGCTGCAGCAGTCATGTTTTATTAGCATTCCTTATTGTCTTAATCAGGAGATATGGCTGCAGTGTGTGTGTGTGTGTGTGTGTGTGTGTGAGAGTGAGAGAGAAGGAGAACGAGTGCGAGAGACAGAAAAGAGAGAGACAAGAGTGTGTGTGTGATAGAGAGAAAGAGACACACAGAGAGAGAGAGAGAGTGTGTGTGTGGTGTGTGTTGTGTGTGTAGGAGGTATGAATGGAAAGCTGGCAGATGGCCAGCAGTACTTTGGGCTCTCCTCCAGATGCCTCTGCCTATCAGGTTCTGCCATCCGCTTTGTCCCGTGCTGCACCCCTGCATTGCTTAGCAACTCACTACTTATCAACTCAACAAAATATTGAAAAATATGCAAGGTGGAACAAGCAATGAAGGTACTAGTTCCTTCCCCCCCCCAAACAATAATTTAATATTCTATTCTGTATGTCTTATTTCATATTGTGGGCGGATGAAGGAGAGCAGAGTGGCTCCAGAGACGGGCCTGTGTGCGCACGACTGTCTCAATCTGTGTTAATTAGTCTCGTTGCTAATGACTTTGGTGGCTAAAGGGGGGAGCCCAGCAGGTGCCAGGAGATTCCTGCAGCGATTAAAACATTTCAGATCCCAACTCCGCCTCCTCTCCTCCGCCATCTCTGCTCTGCTGTACTTACTACAGTATAGTACAGTACAGCCTGCCTGCCTGCCTGCCTGGTAACAATCAGAGAGAGAGAGAGAGGTGAGCAAGAAAGCAACTAAATAATAGCTTTTTAAAAAGTACATAAGAGAGTAGTGGAAACCTTTAGACGTACAAGAGAAGAGAGACAGAGACAGACAGAGAGACAGACAGACACAGACAGAGAGCGAGCGAGCGAGCGAGCCAGACAGACAGACAGAGACAGACAGACAGAGACACAGAGAGAGACAGAAAGAGAGACACAGAGACAGACAGACAGAGAGAGACACAGACAGACAGAGAGAGAGAGAGACAGACAGACAGACAGACACAGACAGACAGAGACAGACAGAGACACAGAGAGAGACAGGACAGACAGAGCGAGAGACAGACAGAGAGAGAGACAGAGCGAGAGCGAGAGAGAGAGAGAGACACAGAGACAGAGAGAGAGAGAGCACGCCAGCCAGTGAGAGTTGTCATCTGGGTGTGGGTGTGTGTGTGGCACAGTGCTGCCAAGCCACAGCTCCATCACGTGAGAGGAAACGGGTTCCTGTGCCAGGGCCCAAACTGCTCCCATAATGGCCTGGCCTTGCCTTTGATAGAGCCGTTTCACTCTCCTCCCCTGCTTTCTTCCCATTGGTATCAACTTAGCTTTGTGAGTAGGAGCCATCTGGGCCTGATGTAACAGCACACACCGGGCCAACTGTACTTTTATTTATAACAGGAAATTCTTTCTGCTCAGCAAGGAGGGGGAGCAGGGAGAGCCCTGGGATATTAGACAGCAATGGCCCCATCAACCCTTGACTAACCCCCTCCCTCCCTCCATCCTCCTCTCTGGCCCAGCCACTGACGGTTTTGAGATGAACCAGGAAGAGGCATGCAGTCACCATCTCATATAGACAAAGACAGTAATACACTAACCAAAAGGGTATGGGGAAGATAAGTAGCCGTTTTAACATAAAGAATGAAAGACAGACCAGATGTAGATTCTCTCGAAACGCAACTTATGTGTTCTCCGGCGGTAGACATCTTGTCTTGAAAGCAGCAGATGTTTACTCTCAAAGACCACCCCTGCCGCACCCTCTCTAAACTTCCAAAACCAAACAAAGCACAGCCATCCACTTACGCAATGTGGAGCAACTGTTTGTCCAACGATGACTAACAGTCAAGTTACCCTAAAGACTGTGGGAAACTCCATGGTGAGCCATTCCCCCGCTTAAAGACAGCACGCTTGAAGGTGAAAGTTGGTACTTACACATCAAACTCATTTTCCTTCAGGATCTCCTTGAATCTCTTCATGAAGATTCTCTCGCTCTCCGTCGAGGCGACAAACCCACGATCTGGAGGAGCATCAAACGCAGGCAGAGGTTCAATTCTTACACTTTGATGTATGTGTGATGCACATGGGACGGCAGTAAGATTCGTGACAGAGACAATCCTAGATTATTAATTACCTCAGCTCACCTTGAGCATGTTCCAACAAGCAGATGGCACATAATATGGGGCATAGACCACTGGAGGTTGGTGGCACCTTAATTGGGGAGGATGGGCTCATGCTAATGGCTGGAGTGGAATAGGTGGAATGGTATCGAATACATCAAACGTGGTTTCCATGTGTTTGATGCCTTTCCATTCCAGCCATTATTATGAGCCGTCCTCACCTCAGCAGCCTCCACTGGCATAGACCTACAGGTAACTGCAACAATGATAGAAACACTTGAGTAAATTAGGGTTCTGGTGGTTCTGTTGTGGTGTGGGGTGCATTTTCCTGGCATGGTTTAGGTCAGGAGTCTCCAACTTTTTCGAGCATGAGAGCTACTTTGAAAAAATTAAACATAACCCAAGCTACTCTTTGTTCTGCAACTCTTCCCCGGGTCTTTGGTATATAAGAGATGTGTTTTCTGTCAATATATCTGGTAAAATAAATGGTTAATAAACAGTATTTGGCATGACAGGCCCCATAAAATTATATTTGGTTCTCTGTTACATTTTTTTATGTTTTCTACTCAATATTCCAACTATCCATAGAGTAACAACACAAATTGATGTTCTGAGTCCATGTCAATGCTTAAATCACACCAAAATAAAAAATATTAGGTCTGGAAAAAGTGTAATTCCCCTTGAATTGCATCTAGCAAGAGAGGAATGTGTCTGTCTAGCGATGTTTCTGCTGTTAGGCCTACTGCTGCAGAGCATGTCATGGCAGAGTTAGCAAAACAACGGCCACCCAAATTAAACAAATAATCATGATTTATAGTTATGTCAGGTAAGCTGTTATGTGAATTATTTAACAAACTATTTCAGTGTCTCTGTGCGTCTCCCAAAATGAAGAAACGGACAGAGTCCCGATCTGCATAGTCAGAGATGTTTATTCATTGAGAATTCTGCCACAAAATGGTCGTACAATATTTTTATACGCACACGTCATACGAAAATCCCTCCTCTCTGTAGGCGGGCTGTAGTTTTCCACTTTAAAACTGCTCTCCTGACCATCAGTACACACACACACACACACACACACACACACACACTTCCAAGCCTAACAGTTTCTCTCCTCCCTAAATTCCTCAGTTATCTTGGTTTCTCAGTTGCCTGTAGACAGTTCTCCTTGTCCTTTGGTGTCTGGCCTACCTCTTACTCACATTGCTAAATAGTAACACAATGTCATAATCTTTACTGGTCCTACACTCACACATTACCAGGTAGTAGATTCTAAACACATCTCGCACAGTTTATAATAAATATAATAATATGCCATTTAGCAGACGCTTTTTTATCCAAAGCGACTTACAGTCATGCGTGCATACATTTTTGGTGTATGGGTGGTCCCGGGGATTGAACCCACTACCTTGGCGTTACAAGCGCCGTGCTCTACCAGCTGAGCTACAGAGGAGTTTCAGAGTGTAATAATTAGTCACTACTAAGAAAGTACTAATCATACTTAAAACAAGATGTCAATGTGGCTTTGATTCGATATTAGCTGTGAGCTTTATGTTTATTACATTTACATTTGAGTCATTTAGCAGACGCTCTTATCCAGAGCGACTTACAGGAGCAATTAGGGTTAAGTGCCTTGCTCAAGGGCACATCGATAGATTTTTCACCTAGTCGGCTCGGGACAGTTTGTGTTGGAAAAATGCATGTACTTTCAAAATGACTGGCTAGCTACTCATAGACGGGCTGCGAGCTACTGGTAGCTCATGATCTACCTGTTGGAAAACCCTGGTTTAGGTCCACTCAACCCCTTAGATGGCAAGGCAAATGCCAATAAATAAACAGCCATTTTCAGTGATCACCTTCAACCTATGGTGAAGCATTTCTATCCTAATGTGAGGGGTCTCTTCCAGGATGACAAGGCCCCCATCCACTGGGCACAAGTGGTCACTGAATGGATAGATGAGCATGAAAACAATGTAAATTATATGCCATGGCGGTCTCAGTCACCAGAGCTCAACTCAATTGAACACTTATGGGAGATTCTGGAGTTGCCTGAGAAAGCGTTTTTCCCACCACCGTCAACAAAATGGCAAATTATGGAATTTCTCGTGGAAGAATGGTGTCGTATCCCTCCAATAGAGTTCCAGACACTTTAAAATCTATGCCAATGTGCATTGAAGCTGTTCTGGCTCGTGGACACTATGTTTGTGTTTCCATTATTTTGGCAGTTTCCTTTATATTCAGTCAATATGCATGTAGGTAGACCTGCTAGATATTTGACTGTGGTGTTGACTAATGGAGGAATGGGCTGTGAGGATGTATTTAGCGGTCAGTCACTCACCCTGTGACTGTGGGGTCTCCATCTGAGATGACTGGTTCACTCACCCTGTGACTGTGGGGTCTCCATCTGAGATGACTGGTTCACTCACCCTGTGACTGTGGGGTCTCCATCTGAGATGACTGGTTCACTCACCCTGTGACTGTGGGGTCTCCATCTGAGATGACTGGTTCACTCACCCTGTGACTGTGGGGTCTCCATCTGAGATGACTGGTTCACTCACCCTGTGACTGTGGGGTCTCCATCTGAGATGACTGGTTCACTCACCCTGTGACTGTGGGGTCTCCATCTGAGATGACTGGTTCACTCACCCTGTGACTGTAGGGTCTCCATCTGAGATTATTGGTTCACTCACCCTGTGACTGTGGCGTCTCCATCTGAGATGACTGGTTCTTCTCTCGTCGTCTCTGCTTCTCATCCTCCCAGATGGCCTGCAAGCCAGGGTTCCTGCCAATCTGATCTAAACACACACACAGTGTCAGCATAGATCAGTTGGTTGAATGAGGGCCTCTGCATTTCCCACTCTATCCCATCAAGTCAGTTGAATGAGGGCCTTTGTTTCAAACCACTCAAAACTGTACAAGAGCTCAAAATCAGAATCATTCCTCAAACCGTTTACTTTTCAACAGAGAGTTTGTATTTCTGTTTTTGGGGCAGATGGAAAATCTACTTGCTGAAGGCACATATGTGGACTGCCCTGGTGTGCCCCCCCTTTCTGCCAGATAAGTGTGTGTGTGTGTGTGTGTGTGTGTGTCCCACACGCCGTACTCTGAGCACAGCTAATCTAAAACACATCCAAGCACTTTGTTTCTGCTGTGTCATTCTGTTCCTAACATTTATCACGAATAGCAGAAAGGCTGTGGAAATAGTTCATACTGAATTGAGATATTTTGAGGTCTGGGAACACATTCTAATGGCAGATGCATATTCACAGAGACTCTGCATGTTTTTAACACAATGTTCTCTTTTTGCTTTATGTTCCCAGTTCAATCTGCTCTTCCATCCTGCACCCCCCGTTTCCCTTTCCCTCCTCCCTCTGTTTACCCTTCTCTCTCTCCCCCCCTCTGTTTCCACTTCTCTCTCTCCCTCCCTCCCTCTTTCCTCCCCCTAACAGAAGGTCTGAGGCAGACAACACTACAGAGAGACAGGGTGAGTGGACAGTGTTTGTTTTGGGCCGGGTGGTCACGGATCTAATGCTCTGATGTGCTGGAGAGCAGGAACCTGGCAGTGGGGTGAGAGACAGACACTGTTTGATCTGGAGAAGGCCTCCGTCGCTCATCTGTGTTACATAGGCAGGGGTCCCAAATGGAACCCTATTCCTTTTATAGGACTCTGGTCAAAAGTAGTGCACTATAGGGAATAGGGTGACATTTGAGACGCATGTTTGCTGTAGAAAGGCCTTCATTGCTCAACTGTGTTGCGTAGTCAGAGCAGTTGAGTCAGTAGCCATCCTCTTCCCTTAGTCTCTCCTTATGTGTCTGCCGGACTGTCTGACTCGCGGTTTTATCTATGACTAAAAGATGTTGTTTGAGTTTCTCGTTGTCTTACTCTCTATCTCCAGACGGTTGAGGATGTCTACAGCCACAGCATCCGCTTCCAGCTCACACGTGCTCTGTTTCTCAACATCCAGAACCAGAGAACTGCATCAGAGAGAGCAAGAGAGATAGGGGGGGGTGGGGAATGGAGAGAAATGGAGAAGGAGAAAATACAGATTGAGAGAGAGACGGAGAGCAAGAGGTAAGCACACAACATGGATACACATTACACACAGTTGGCAAGTCTCAAATGACACCCTATTCACCAGGAGTTTACTAATTCACATAGGGCTCTGATCAAAAGTGGTCAGAAAAACAGGCATGTACAAACAAGACCTAAAAACCCAACACCGTATTGGCCCACAACATGTAATTGGAGCCTGTCTGTGCAGGTGTGGCTCACCAGGGTATGGCATCCTCCTCCCAGCGGACAAACGTGCCTCCCAGGGTACTGTCACTCAGTTTGGAGGTACAGGGGCTCTTTAAGGGGCTGGTGCTGGGCCTGCTGCTGAAGCCCTGGCGATCTGGGGGAAACCCCTCTGTTTAATAGACACACACACACAGACAAAAACATGTAAGTCATGTGTTGGAAGCCCAATCTGATGTTTTTTTTGCGCTAAAACAGACCACAGACATTGTGTCTTCAACATAAAGCAAAATGCAAAAGAAAAGCATGCCAGCTCAGTATTTCCAATTTATTTGGATCTACACAACTTTCTAAACAGGTTTTTCAAATCCCAGTTCTTTTGTCATCCTCTTCACTTGATCCCAGATTACAAACTCACTTTCAATTAGGTGTTATACAAAGAAGAACCTAAACAGGTGTACATTATTATCAGAGTTTTAGTCCCTTTGTACTTTTTTTGTTCTTTGCAACCCATTTTCCATTGATTGTGTCAAATCCAGAGGTGGCCCTCTCTTTGTCTGGGGAGATTGTTGCGTGAACATTGTTAAGAACCTGTTAATCTGAAGCAGGGGGGATTTCCTGGCCTATTCATTAACCCTTCCATGCGTGGTAGTGTCATGCTGGGTTCTGCCTCCCCTGGCCCAGGAGACTCGCTCAGGCATGAAGAGCACTGCAGAGCGGAGATACCTGTCCCATCTCGGCTCAACACGGCCCAGGATTAGCGCTTAGTAAGCCTTAGTCAAGATCAAACAGAAAAAGGCCTATCTGCCGCTTTATTCCCAGCCACCAGGCAGGAGAGAAAGGGTGTAGAGGAGTGTGAAGCCACGGCCAAGTTCAACTATCAGATCTGAGGGAAACATTCCTGCTCCTCCACTCCCACTGTGAAACCTCCCCTTTTCTACCACTCTCTCCCTCCTACTGTGAGGGGCCTAGTGATTCACAGGTTCATGTCCTGGGATGAAGGGAGGAAAAGGGAATCTATGTCCATCTGACCGCCACGGCCCTCAACCCTACAGTCTCAACATGATCATTCTCACTGGAGGTGAGCAGAGGTGATGTGGGGGGTAATATTAATACTAAACAGCTGTGTACAGTGCAAGTTCAATGAACAGACGAGTTCAACAGGTCAGAAGTAAACCGATCCACATCCAAGCGCTTACTGTTCATTCCTCTAGATTGATGGCAGGGTGTTTATCCAACTCAGTGAAAAAGAGGTGCAGAGCAGCAGTACCAGGAATGTGCTTCAGGCTCCTGGACAGGGTCTAGCGTTCTATCCTGGATCTTCTGTCTACCATTACTTTTTGTTAGGTATGTTCAACAGGCTTGCAGTGTTCCAGAATGCTACGGGCTTCTAGGAGAACCAAGTTATTCCTCTAGTCTGCCACGGACCCCATTGCTTCCAGTCTTTTCTCACACTCTTTTCTTCCCTTCTGCTGTAAGCTCTTCTGTGTGTTGGTGAGGTGTCATCTTTGTAGAAGTCCACCTTTTTTATGGAAAGCCTTTTCTATACTGCCAGGTCTTTGTAAATCTGCTATCTGCTAGCCACTCTTTACAAAAGGACACACTGACCAGGATACATTAGGAGGATAAGGTGTGTGTGTGTGAGTGAGAGAGAGAGAGAGCGAGGCTGCCAAAGCATCTCAAGGCCAATGTAAAAAAACACTACTAATACAGCATAACAAAGCATGGCAGCTCTCCCTCTCATACAGCCTCCCCACAGAGCCAGTATGCCCAGTCATAGCTCTAGCCTGATAAGACTGGGCATATTGCACACCCCTCAACCACATTAACAGTACCCATAACGGTTTGACAAAGACAAAGGGGGAGACAAAAGGTGTGTCCCACAACACCACCACATAGGCACATGATTAAGTCCAGCCAGGTCACAGGTTTGTGACAAGGTTCCTAGCATCCTACTCCGTTACTGCCCATCGCTTACCTTTGCACTGCTGGCTCCGGCGGAACTTGAAAGCTCCCAGGTTGATGAGGTTCATGCCGTACAGGTTGTAGTCGATGAACAGCTGCAGTAGGTAGGGGATGTGGGCCTCGTGGGGTTGGTAGCTTTTGTTCATCACAGCACCTCCTTGTAACAGCTCACACACCCTGGAACCACACACACACACAGTGTTTCACATTAGATAAGATATACACTACCGTTCAAAAGTTTGGGGTCACTTAGAAATGTCCTTGTTTTCAAAAGAAAAGCAATTTTTTTGTCCATTAAATAACATAAAATTGATCCGAAATACAGTGTAGACATTGTTAACGTTGTAAATCACTAGTGTAGCTGGAAACGGCTGATTTTTTATGGAAGATCTACATAGGCGTACAGAGGCCCATTATCAACAACCATCAGTCCTGTGTTCCAATGGCACGTTGTGTTTGCTAATCCATGTTTATAATTTTAAAAGGCTAATTGATCATTAGAAAACCCTTTTGCAATTATGTTAGCACAGATGAAAACGGTTGTGCTGATTAAAGAAGCAATAAAACTGGCCTTCTTGAGACTAGTTGAGTATCTGGCTCCCGAGTGGCGCAGCGGTCTAAGGCACTGCATCTCAGTGCTTGAGGCGTCACTACAGACCCCCTGGTTCGATTCCAGGCTGTATCACAACCGGCCGTGATTGGGAGTCCCATAGGGCGGCGCACAATTGGCCCAGCGTCGTCCGGGTTTGGCCGGTGTAGGCCGTCATTGTAAATAAGAATTTGTTCTTAACTGACTTGCCTAGTTAAATAAAGGTAAAATCCCAAAATATATATATATATGGAGCATCAGCAATTGTGGGTTAGATTACAGGCTCAAAATGGCCAGAAACAAATAACTTTCTTCAGAAACTCGTCAGTCTATTCTTGTTCTGAGAAATTGCCAAGAAACTGAAGATCTCGTACAATGCTGTGTACTAGTCCATTCACAGAACAGCGCAAACTGGCTCTAACCAGAATAGAAAGAGGAGTGGGAGGCCCCGGTGCACAACTGAGCAAGAGGACAAATACAGTGTCTAGTTTGAGAAACAGGCGCCTCACAAATCCTCAACTGGCAGCTTCATTAAATAAATAGTACCCGCAAAACACCAGTCTCAACGTCAACAGTGAAGAGGCGACTCCGGGATGCTGACCTTCTAGGTAGAGTTGCAAAGAAAAAGCCATATCTCAGACTGGCTAATAAAAAGAAAAGATTAAGATGGGCAAAACAACACAGACACTGGACAGAGGAAGATTGGAAAAAAGTGTTATGGACGAATCAAAGTTTGAGGTGTTCGGATCACAAAGAAGAACATTTGTGAGACGCAGACCAAATGAAAAGATGCTGGAGGAGTGCTTGATGCCATCTGTCAAGCATGGTGGAGGCAATGTGATGGTCTGGGGGGGCTTTGGTGGTGGTAAAGTGGGAGATATGTACAGGGTAAAAGGGATCTTGAAAAAGGAAGGCTATCACTCCATTTTGCAACGCCATGCCATACCCTGTGGACGGCGCTTGATTGGAGCCAATTTCCTCCTACAACAGGACAATGACCCAAAGCACAGCTCCAAACTATGCAATAACTATTTAGGGACGAAGCAGTCAGCTGGTATTCTGTCTATAATGGAGTGGCCAGCACAGTCACCGGATCTCAACCCTATTGAGCTGTTGTGGGAGCAGCTTGACCGTATGGTATGTAAGAAGTGCCCATCAAGCCAATCCAACTTGTGGGAGGTGCTTCAGGAATCATGGGGTGAAATCTCTTCAGATTACCTCAACAAATTGACAACTAAAATGTCAAAGGTCTGCAAGGCCGTAATTGCTGCAAATGAGGGATTCTTTGACGAAAGCAAAGTTTGAAGGACACAATTATTATTTCCATTAAAAATCATTATTTCTAACCTTGTCAATGACTACATTTCCTATGCATTTTGCTATATTTCCTATTCAAACTAATTTCATGTATGTTTTCATGGAAAACAAGGACCTTTCTAAGTGGACCCCAAACTTTTGAACGGTAGTGTATATTATTGTATGCTACTCATAGAAATGTACTTTGCGTACAGAAAAAGCTATGTGTTCCAAAAAGAAACTGAGATCGAGTCGGAGAGGCATTCATTCCATAGCTGATATGCTTTCATTCATTTTTCTAGGGGGTACTTTTCAAACTTCAAACTTCCAGCCAGTCTTTGTCAGTCCTATATCCATAATAATAATGTAGATCACATTGACAGTTCCCCTTTAAAGGTCAGAGCGGAGAGAGAGAGCTGATTGATTGAGTGATTGATCTGGAACAAGACAGGGGCTCATAACAGTCAGTCAGGCTGGGAGCAGACAGTGTGCCAGTTAGTCTGTCTCGCTCTCTCCCCTCGCTCCCTCCCTCCCTCTCGGTCTCTCTCTCTCTCTCCTTCCTCCGTATCAGTCTCTTGCTCTCCTCTGTCCCTTCTCTCAGTATCAGTGCAGCAGCACGACTCCACTCACAGTGACTGATGGCTTCAGCAGCTAAATAACAGCCACACACACACACACTTACACAAAACAGACACGTACTCGCTTTGTCTCACACACACAGTCGTTCTGTCTCTCCGTCTCAACGCACACGCACACGCACACACAATCTATCTAAAACACACACACCGCGAGAGCACTGTACTACATAAGCAGGTCGATCAATATCAGCAGAATGAGCATCATAGTCATGTGCACACAGTCTAGCCTACAGACAGAGAGCATACCCCTCTCCAACAACAGAAACACAGGGTGAATGTTAAGATATAGGCTATTACAGCTCAAACCAAAACACACAGACCGGTGAGAAATGCAAGCTAAGGCAAAAACAGTAGAACACCCTCCACACCTTTTGACCATCTGAGGATTGTACAGATAGATCTTCATAAACTTCCTCTCCTTGGCATGGTATCCATAAAAAGGCCTGTGGAGTGGGGGGTGGGGGGGGGGGGGGGGGGGGGGGGGGGGGGAGAGAGAGAACACCATCAGAAGAACCTCTTGGGAAAACAACACAATACTAAGTACAGACTTCACCTACCATTCACCTTCTAACATGAACATGTGATCCTTCAGACTCTGTCCCTTTCTCAATTTGTCTTTTCTTGATTCCTCGTGTCTTCTCTCCTCGCCTCCTACTCAAAACCCATAGGGGGAGAATGCCCTAGGGGAGGAACCTTGGGTCATCTCCTCCAATGAGGTTTGAGAAGGAGGTGAGAAAATAGGATGTGAGGGAAAACAAATAGAGAAAGAGCCTCTGCATTGTAATGAGTGACCCTACTAAGGAACAGTGATCTATCTAAAAGAGCGGGACTTACATGCCGGAGACCAGTGCCACCTTGAAGACGTGCTGTGTGTTGGAGGAGGGATTTCCCATGGACACGTTAAGTGCCCTGTCGATGCTGAAGGCCACCTGACGCAGGTAGCGCTCTGCCTGTTGCCCGTAGCCATCGTAGGGCACATAGAGGTAGGGGAAGATGCCATGGAGGTGGAGACAGGTCTTCTGACCTGAGAGAGGATAGAGAGAGAGAGTCTGGTTGAGACAGTGGTAGGCTAATCCTTTATTCACCATGTAGAATCATCCGGAAATTAACAAACAATATTCTGTGGTCAGAGGCGATAGGATGGCCACCCGCTGTGCACGGCCGACGTTCGTGTTGGTCCGCCTTGTCCTTTAGACAGAGGGTTTGTGTTCATGTGGCAGAGCTGCTGTGTCAAACTCAAAGTTGGTTACCTCAACCCATAGTAACACATTTAAAACTGGCACAGAGTCAAAACACAAAGCCACTCCGCATTATACAGTGATATAAAACTAATTCAAGTAGTAGCCAGACTCTTATAGTTAATTTACCAAAAAGCAAAGCATGCTCACTTTAAACAACATATTTACAGCCGGTAATGCAGTCTGCCAGTGACATGACTGATTTGACTAAGATACTATTAAAACTAGACATGCACACAATGGAGATAGATTGGCCTCTCTACTGAGGGGAGAAAGGGAGGAGGGAGTCCAATAAAACAGCTTGTACACACTTTCCAACCACTGGAAGACAAACGCCGCCATCCAGCCCAGCTCAGACAGACTGATGAAAACAACAAAGGTCTGTAAAGGAGCCTTGAATCATGAGTGCACGCCACCAAAATGTAAAGCAGGCCATTAGCTAAATAACCAACAGGATAGCAGACGGGGGACTGTCTCCATGAGGGAGGGAGCGGGGGGGACAGACTGATGTGGAATGAGGTCATCATGAAGTCGTGTAGTGTAAAAAAATATATATAAAAAACTAAAAGCACCAAAAGGAAGCCAAGCCAGCTAGATCTCACTGGCTGACTGACGGTCCTATTGCAGGCCTAACCTCGTCACCAGGCTAGCTAAGGGAGGAAGTGCACTGCAAGAGACTAGTATTCCACACCTAATATCAAATATGTAATATGATACTATCCTACTCTATTTTAAGAATAGGAGCCATGTGGCTGTGGGAAGGGACTAGGGACCATGCAGACCAGATGAGACAGTAGGACTGACAGAAGGAGGAGGCAGTATAGAGTTACCATCCCACACGTCAGCCCCATCTGTCTGCTAGGCACCCACGCATGCGCACATGCCCTCATTATCACCATTTGTAGGGGAATTGAGGAAGGGCGGTGGGCAGGGGTGTTTTTGGTAATGGACTTTTTTTGGGGCACTGTAGTCTCCCCAGCCTGGCCCTGCCCGTGGCGTGACAGATGCTGTGCAGTGCAATGCTGCTGCATTCCGCAGTTTCCTGGGCCCAATTGTTGAATCTGGACCGATGGCATGGAGTATTACTGTAGAGAAAACAGCCTACACAAAAACAACATCTAGATATCTCTGCAACCATGCAGGGGGTGAAACAGGAAGTGGTGCAAATATACAGAGAAACTGACAGTGTTGGACACCACAACTACCAATGTCATCGTGAGGTTGGTGAGGGCAAACAGACAGCGCCAACCAAGAGAAAGCAGCTCTCTAGGGAAACCTCTTATAGACAACAGTGGCAAACAACGCGGCATGTGAATTGCTTTCAACACACAGGCATCAACACAAACCTAGTAGACCAGACCGATAAATAACCCTTCACGTCTACATAGAACGGCCCCATCTGACATCCAATCCTTTCACCACCACAGAGAAACAGACAGTCAAGGCAGGAAAAGTGCACTAGGCAGAGAGTGTGTCTTCTCTAAGGACAGACAGACTGACAGGTAGACTGGCATGGAGCCAGTCGGGGGAGGAGAGGGCAGACAAAAGGAGCTGTGAGGTAGGCTAGGTAAAGTTGGGAACGTGTGTGAGTGTGTGTGTGTGTTGTGAGGAGATGACCCACTCATGTGACTGACACTACCCAGAGAGCCAGATAGCCACACAACGCAGCACAAAGGACGCCACCCTGGCAGGCAGAGAGAGAGAGCTCTCATAGGGATGTATGTGCCTTGCTAGCTAACACAGTCGAGACACACACAGCCAACGCCATTGGTGAAGCTGCTACTGCAGTTGCTAGGTAACGGAAGCCGGCAAGCAGTACAATCCCCTGACAGACAGCGGGGAAATATAAACAAGTGATTCTTTCCATCCAGCTGGCTGGTGCGGAGCGAGAGAGGAAAGAGGGAGAGAGAGAAAGAGAGAGAGAGAGAGAGTGAGCGAGAGAGTGAGCGAGAGGGAGAGCGAGTGAGTAAGAAATAGTGAGAGAAAGAGAGAGTAAGGAGAGAGGAAGAGACGGAGAGATCGGAATAGACAGAAAGAGAGAGGAAGAGAGAGAGAACGAGAGAGAGAGAGAGAGAGGGGAAGAGAGAGAGAGACAGGGGAAGAGAGAGAGAGACAGAGTGAGAGCGAGTGAGAGGAAATGAAAGAGGGAGTTGTGACTGACTGAGGTCTAGGCCCTAGGGCTGTTCTCTCTCTCTCTCTCTCTCTTCCTGTCTGAGTAGAGAGTAGTCCCCAGCCACCCGTCAGCTCCCTCCCTCCCTCCCTCCCTGTCTGAGTAGAGAGTAGTCCCCAGCCACCCGTCAGTTCCTGACCGCCCACCCGACCGAGCATGGCTCCTTGATTTGTGAATGAGAGGGAGGACCAAACCAGGAGAAGGGTTAGATAGAGTTAGATAGAGGACGCAACATTGTATCCGTCCCATTATGGCGTCTGCGAGCGCATGGTCAGCACCATTGAGGACATCTCCATTTTGAAGTAGTCCATTTTCTTCTACTACTACTTCTATGAGTTGGTAAACAAACTGAAAGAGTGCATACTGCCACCAGGAGTGCATTGTTTGAACAGAAATAAAGCCCAGGTTGGCGATTTACTGCCACCTGCAGTTCTGGAATGTTTGCTCACAAGTATAATTAATTGGCTGATCCCTCCTGATGACCTGGATGGAATTATGTGATCCTTCCTTAACCCATAGGAAGTCACACCTAGTTGACTACTTCAAAATGGTGAATGTCCTCAATGGCGCTGTCCATGCTAAAACAGGGCACTAGAGTCCTCTATCGATCTCTATTGGACCATCTACAGGAAGGAACATGGAGGCAGAGATGATGATCCACTCTGCCAAACTCCTCCCTACCTACCTCTCCACACATCCCTATCTCTCCTCCTCTCTCTACCCATCCCTCCCTGTCTCCTCTTCCTCCAGATCTGCAGCAGGCAGCGGGTCTGAATGACTCAGCATTACAGCAGCAGCTCTAGTCTGTCAGTACTGTAGAGTTACAGTCAGAGTGCTGCCTGCCTGCTAGCTGCTACTGTACACTACTGCTGTCTGCGGAGGCACAGACAGACAGACATGTGGATCACTCCAGCCAGACGGCAGTCTAAAGGAGTCCCTCTCACTGCATGGAGCAGCAGCAGCAGCGCTCCTAATAAGGTGAAAGTTTGCATGCATGTGTGTGTGCAGCAAGCCACTCAGACCCTCCATCTTGATGAATACCCATTCATGCTCTCCCTGGACTGGACCTGATTGATCACAGGAAGCTCTGGGTCACGCAGAACAAGAGAGTGTGGAGCTGTATAGAACCCCTCTCTGTAGAATGTGGGCCCTGAGGCACAACCCACAGGTGAATGTAGTTTCGGAGTGAGGGGGAATCAGGGAGGGAGCGAGGGGTGCAGGGGGAGGGCAAGTCCCTCTTAGATGGGTGTCTGTAGGGGGGAAACATCCCCTCTGCTTTTGCCTCTGGGCCAGCATGCACTAACTGGAGTAATAAAGAACATGGACAAAACTTGGTTAGGGATTGGGACTGTGGATTATGGACAAAATACCAACTGTGTCTTACAGTAACAGAGAATAAGGCCAACATTTTCTAATGAGTTGAGAGAACAGAACTGAGCAAAGTGGAAGAGAGGCTCATTAACACAGCCTGAACCCATGTTGAGGACATCATATCTGCCTGGTCATGAACCCAATCCCTAACACTGTAGGGAGGATAGCGGGGAGATGAAAGGTTAATGGAAACCTAACACTGGTATCTCAACATCTGTAGAGAGCCTCCTGTATTGTCTGTCTCAATGCCAGGGCACTGGGGGCAGGGCAGTGACAGAAGAGAGAAGAGGGTGGGGGCAGGGAGCAACAGAAGAGAGGATAGGGTGGGGGGGGAGAGAGAGAGAGACAGAGAAAGAAAGAGAGAGAGGAGAGTAAGAACGAGAGAGGGAGAGCGAAAGAAAGAGCGAAACAGTAAGAAAGAGAGCGAAAGAGAGAGTAAGAACGACCAGGGATGGCTGAGCTGAGGGAGGGATGCACCTGGCATCATCAAATCTAAGCCCCTACCCATCATGCTGCTTCACAGAGTCCCAGTTCCCCTCTATCCCTGCCAGAGCACCTGCAGAAAAGAGAGAACATCATAGCCCAACCCACCAGTGGCCTGACTGAACAGACATCTGCCCATAGCCCTGTATGGTATGAGAGAAGGGATGGACGGCAGGAACAAACTAATGGGTGCCGCATGAAGATACTGTCGATCAATAAAGCTTCTGCTTGCTTAGCAAGATCTGCACCATCATTTACAGTTGAAGTTGGAAGTTTACATACACCTTAGCCAAATACATTTAAACTCAGTTTTTCACAATTCCTGACATTTAATCCTAGTAAAAGTTCCCTGTCTTAGGTCAGTTAGGATCACCACTTTATTTTAAGAATGTGAAATGTCAGAATAATAGTAGAGAGAATGATTTATTTCAGCTTTTATTTCTTTCATCACATTCCCAGTGGGTCAGAAGTTTACATACACTCAATTTGTAATTGGTAGCATTGCCTTTAAATTGTTTAACTTGGGTCAAATGTTTTGGGTAGCCTTCCACAAGCTTCCCACAATAAGTTGGGTGAAATTTGGCCCATTCCTCCTGACAGAGCTGGTGTAACTGAGTCAGGTTTGTAGGCCTCCTTGCTCGCACATGCTTTTTCAGTTCTGCCCACACATTTTCTATAGGATTGAGGTCAGGGCTTTGTGATGGCCACTCCAATACCTTGACTTTGTTGTCCTTAAGCCATTTTGCCACAACTTTGGAAGTATGCTTGGGGGTCATTGTCCATTTGGAAAACCCATTTGCGACCAAGCTTTAACTTCCTGACTGATGTCTTGAGATGTTGCTTCAATATATCCACATAATTTTCCTTCCTCATGATGCCATCTATTTTGTGAAGTGCACCAGTCCCTCCTGCAGCAAAGCACCCCCACAGCATGATGCTGCCAACCCCGTGCTTCACGGATGGGATGGTGTTCTTCGGCTTTCAAGAACCCCCTTTTTCCTCCAAACATAACGATGGTCATTATGGCCAAACAGTTCTATTTTTGTTTCATCAGACCAGAGGACATTTCTCCAAGCTGTTTAAAAGGCATAGTCAACTTAGTATATGTAAACTTCTGACCCACTGGAATTGTGATACAGTGAATTATAAGTGAAATAATCTGTCTGCAAACAATTGTTGGAAAAATGACTTGTGTCATGCACAAAGTAGATGTCCTAACCAACTTGCCAAAACTATAGTTTGTTAACAAGACATTTGTGGAGTGGTTGAAAAACTAGTTTTAATGACTCCAACCTAAGTGTATGTAAACTTCCGACTTCAACTGTACCTTCCTTCTGCCATCCTTCTAATGAGTTAAAAATGCGGGCCATTCTAAACATTTTACAGTAAACGTTGGGGGGGGGGGGGATGTCTCTTGTTTTACAGTAGACTTCTCAGGGTAATACATGGGAATATGTTGAGGGAATATCAATGTGCTGTGCCTGTCTCTAGTCTACATCGTGCATATAGCATTACCCATGGGAGAGGGAGGGTGTGTGTGTGTGTGTGTGTGTGTGTCGAATCTCACGTGATGGTTCAGTTCTGCGGGTTCACTACAGACGCCATCCTGCACCACGACACAGAGGAAAAGCCTCGTTTGAGAGGAGGTGAAGGGAGGAGGGGTAAGAAAAGAGATGAATGACTACTTTAAATCACATCTCTCTAAGTCACAATTCATAAGGAAATCATTCAATTTAAATACATTCATTAGGCCCTAATCTATGGATTTTACATGACTGGGAATACAGATATGCATTCGTTGGTCACATATACCTTTAAAAAAAATAAAGAAAAAAGGTAGGGCCGTGGATCGGAAAACCAGTCAGTATCTGGTGTGACCACCATTTGTCTCATGCAGCACTACGCATAAAGTTGATCAGGCTGTTGATTGTGGTCTGTGGAATGCTGTCCCACCGCACGACAATGGGCCTCTGGATCTCGTCACGGTATCTCTGTGCGTTCAAATTGCCATGGATAAAATTAAATTCAGTTTGTTGTCCATAGCTTATGCCTGCCCATACCATAACCCCACCGCCACTATGGGGCACTCTGTCCACAATGTTGAAATCAGCAAACCACTCGCCCACACAACGCCATACACGTGGTCTGCGGTTGTGAGGCAGGTTGGACAGACTACCAAATTCTCTAAAACGATGTTGGAGGCGGCTTATGATAGAGAAATTAACATTACATTCTCTGGCAACAGCTCTGGTGGACATTCCTGCAGTCAGCATGCCATTTGCACGCTCCCTCAAAACTGTGGCATTGTGTTATGTGACAAAACTGCACATTTTAGAGTGGCCTTTTATTGTCCCCAGCACAAGGTGCACCTGTGTAATGATCATGCTGTTTAATTAGCTTCTTGATATGCCACACCTGTCAGGTGGATGGACTATCTTGGCTAAGGAGAAATGCTCACTAACAGGGATATAAACAAATTTGTGCACTAAATATGAGGGAAAGCTTTTAGTGCGTATGGAACATTTCTGGGATCTTTTATTTCAGTTCATGAAACATGGGACCAACACCTTACATGTTGCGTTTATATTTTTGTTCAGTATAACTGGGCAGCATAGTGTAAAGTGCTCTGTCTTCTATCAGACACTACTTCTTGCTAGTCCTGGGTGAGACTATTGAAATGCTGCCAGGACAGCAATTTATGAAGTGGTGTTTGGTGGCATGCAGGAGGAGTAAACAGTGTGTTTGCCATGCTGTGGAGAGACTCTGATCGCACTGTGTTGTGTGTGTGTGTGTGTGAGAGAGAGAGAGAGAGAGCGAGTGAGACACTCAGGGAGGAGGAGGAGAGGCACAGACGTCGAGGTGGGGTGCTGCTATTTTTGGCCTTGCCTGGCTGCGAGGAGCGAGTCTGCTGATGAGCGGAGCAGAGGTGGAGAGGACACAGACAGGGGCTGCTGAGCAGGGAGAAGATTATGTTGATCTATTTACAGCCCTATCTGGCCCTGTGCTCCAGTCATAGACCACTGTATACCCTGTACTGTGTTTGTGTGTGTGTGTGTGTGTGTGTGTGTGTGTGTGTGTGTGTTAGGGGTGTGTGTGGTAGGGTGCTGCTCATTAACCACCCTCTGTTCGGATACCCTCCCTCTGCCACCCCTCCTCCCCATACACCATCACACACACACCCACCACCAACACTGCAATTTAGGCACAGCGCTAATGCACACAGCATCTCTTTTATTTCATCCATCTTTCAAAGTGCTTATGCAAATTGTTTATTTTCTGTCGCTCTAAAACAAAACAAAGGCGTGAGAGGAGGCCTGTTTCTTTATGGGCACCTCACTCTGAGTAGTACACTGCTGCTGCTTCCTGCTCTGCACTCTTCCTTGTTCTTTGTTTTCCATAGTTGGCCATGTCTCCAGATCTGAGTCGGACACAGAAACCTCTCCAGTCCTGTCTGAAATTATACAGTGGTAAAACCAGCAAGTCCAGGAACGCCTGTTCACTCACTGACCACTCTGTTCTGTAATGCCTCATCTTCCATTCGTGAACACTGAACAGCTCCTATACAGTGATTTAACCAGGCGTATTCCCCACTGACTGTATCCAGATCTGATTCTGAACACAGGCCAGTGTCTTCAGCTGTGTCTCCAGGCCTCCAATATAAATCATGAGAGGCTGATTGCCCTGAACTGCTTTCCTTCCCTTCACTCCCAGTGTGTCACAGGTTCCATTGTGTCATAGCTAGGAGCCAGAAGCCTCCCTGGCTGAGATGACTTCATGCTGGGGGAGAGACTGTGGTGGTCCCCGGGCCAAACCTGTAGCAGACAGCAGAATCCTCCCTGTGACTGTGCTGTGTTTACCGTCTCCCTCTCCACAGCCAAGGCCTGTCCTGGCAGACTGCCTGACTCCTGAGCACAGAGTGGAGCAAACAAGTCACTGTATGTCAATTTCCAGCTCTCAGCAAGGGATTTCATACAGCACTCCCAGTCGTTCCTTACCCATGTACTGTACCCCCAGACAGCCCTAACCTAGTCCAATCCTGAGGCAGACAGACAAAGGCCCAAAAGTCTATGAAATCTCTGCAAGGGAATTCCTACATCATTCCCAGACAGCCCGTAGACATGAAACACCTCAGTCTTTGTGAAGCTCCAGACTGGGCCAAGCGGTCTCCTGCTGGGTTCAGTAAAGACATCCCTGGCACTTCTGTGTGGTAACGAACAAACAGACCAGATCAGACCGCCCTGCCAACCAGTGCCAGATATTTGAACAGTCAGGAGTCTCAACAGATGGCCAACCACCTAGCCTCACGCCAACCCTTCACACACACACACACACTACACAGCTTTTTTTATTTTGTCTTTCTGACTAAGGAGTGTCACAACAGCACATTCTTCTCCAGACCTCATGGGTATAGGCCTATGTTGTTTGAATCCATCCTAGTGGAAGGTGTAGGTGGCTGGGCAGGGAGCAGGGGCCCCCCTCCGCTACCATCCATCTCCGGTGTGGGATACAAGTGGCGATAACAGGCCCCAGTTCATTCATCCAGTGGCGGTACTAATGATCCCGGTACAGCTGATTAACAGCACGGGCGTGCCTCCATGCCCTCTGCTGTGTCAAAGCAGGGGCACACACACACACGCAGTGTTTCCGCTGCAGTCATTTAGCTGTGGAGTAGCACCACGGCAAAATCATTGCCGCCAATGGAAAGAAATATGGAACATGAAATAATATTTTGAAGATCCTAGAACAGTGAACAGTCCACATTGACTTTTCCTCTGCAAACAATGAATAGAAAAACCAAATAACTCCATAGTAGAATAGTTCATCTATTTACCTAGTCTTGTTGTTGTTGTTGTTGTTGTGTGTTCTATGCGAGAGAAATAGGCTATTCCTCTACAGGCGTATTCCAGTTACGAGTGCCATTGGGAGGGAAACATGCATTCTAACAAGCAATCAACACACAACAAAGCTTAATGCAACCATGGGAAAAACAATCGTTTTAATGGCCTTTGTTAAAAAGAGGGAGATCATGGTGACATTAAGTGGTTCTGTGAGAAGTACAGGCAGGGTGGTGGAATACTCCAAGTTACCCTAACAGATACCTACATTATACTCACTGTGTTTATGCAATTTCTTTGGAACATATAATTCATCAATATGACGCTAACTAGTTAAAAGATCACATTCGGGATCTAGCTAATGATTAGCCCAATAGGGTAAATGCAGATATAGTTGAAATGGAGTTGCCTATTTATTTATAGCCACTATGCTGCATCAGCTTATTGCTTATAGCATACCTGATAATATGGATGGGCTATATGTAGGGCTGGGAATTGCCAGGGACCTCACGATACGATATTATCATGATACTTTGGTGCCGATACGATATGTATTGCAATTCTTACGATTCTATATGTATTGCGATTAGATACTGTGACTTTATTGCGATTCGATGTTCCAAACATATTGCTCACCATATGTCTGTTGCAGAGGGACAAGAGAGTGCCATGAGAAAACATGGAGAAAAAACATGGACATTTTGATCAGTCATGGAAATAAAAGTGCTGAAAACAAATTAGCTCCCTATTTAAAAAGAAGATGGAGAACAAGCTCCCGAGTAGCGCAGCAGTCTAAGACACTGCATCTCAGTGCTAGAGGCGTCACTACAGACCCTGGTTCGATTCCAGGATGTATCACAACTCGGCCGTGATTGGGAGTCCCATAGGGCGGCGCACAATTGTCCCAGCATCATCCGGGTTTGGTCTGGGTAGGCCGTCATTGTAAATAAGAATATGTTCTTAACTGACTTGCCTAGTTAAATAAAGGTTAAATAAATTAAATAAATAAATGAAGGGAAAATACTGGCGTTTTGGTGCAGGTACAGCCAACTAGCGCAAAAATAATATTGCGATAGTCAAAACGATACGATATATAGGACAAAATAATATCGCGATATGTAGCTGTATACATTTTTTCACCCCATCACTAGCTGTATGCATGGTCCAATATGTTAAAATTATTTTATCAAATCATTTTCTAATATGTTATTGGGCTCATTTCTGGAGGTGGACATTATATCTTAGATGGTGTCAGCATAATTGTATTTTCATTCATTTTGGAGTATGTCCTTTTAAAAAGTCACCAGAACTGAGCTTCTCAGTCCTTGTACATACAAACTCTACGGGGGGGACCCCTTGAACCTCCCCTGCTGTGACCTTTTCCCCCACTGCTACACATTTTTCTAGAGGAAACACTTACACACACACACACACACACACACTTCACTACACCCGCAGTAACATCTTCTAAATATGTGTATGTGACCAATAAAATGTGATTTGATACACACCGCCACAACCGCCTGGGGGGACAGGAATATAAGGACAAACAGTCAGAGATGTCACACAGCAGGAAGGAAATACTATGACTGGGAAAAAGCAGGGCACTAAGTCCATGAGCTGGACCACTAAGACCACCATTACTGTAGCAACATGCCTGTATGGATGCTTATTTATCCAGGGTGAGTCATCGCTGCACAGCTGCACAATGTCAGACGTGGTGAGATAGACAAATGGAAAAAAGGGAGGAAGTCGATGGCCTCTCAATGAGCATCACCCTCACCCCAGCACACCTAACTGTCTCAACCAGTCGCATTAATCAGGTGTGCTAGAAGGGTGTGTGTTTCTACCAGACCTGCACTACGTGCGACGGCAGCCTGTCGATCGATGCCCTGCCAGCTCTCGCTGTGCTCACGCCACAGGCTCACACAAACATGTTAAATCAATCAAAGTCTGCATGTCCAACCACCTCAAGAAGCAAATGGCAGCAAGTGAGCCATAAGATACAAAACTGAGGTGAGGTGGAGGCCAAATGACTAACATTCCATGGGGAGTGTCTTTATCAGCGGGATAGAATGATAGAACGGTAGCGAGCGAAAGAGGAAGAGAGAGAGACAGAGAGAGGCTCCAGTCCAGTCCACTACCACTGCAGTGGGTGACCATCACAGTGACACACGCAAGTCCACAGAACCATGGTCCCAGGACCAACAGACTGAACCAGGATCTTGTTTCTGTGGTTTGGCCTTTGCTCTCTCACCTACTCCATGTTTATATGTGGCCCACTAATACCAGTGGCCCTCTGAGGCCCCCCTCCCTGCCTCTTGCTACAGTAGAGAGCAGGAAGAGTATAACTAGCAGGCTGAGCAGAAGAACTCCGCCACCAGGGCGTCTTTATTCCCACATAGTCCAGACACAAAGCGACGTCTGTTTGACCAGAGACCCGAGCGCTCTACTTAATGATGAGGAGCATCAGAGGAGGACAGACCAGAGCAGCAGAGCACAGCACAGCCTGAGGGCAGGACAGAACCCACTGTAGACATGACGGCAACTAGAGGAGGTCTCTACATAGCAGGAGAGGAGGAGGAGGAGGAGGAAGAGAGGAAGAAGAGGAGTGGAGAGAGAGAGAGCTGTGAAGTGCATTATGCTACTATGCCAACACTGAGGCAGAGGTCACACATACGAAGGACCTGTCCAGTCGGATTAGAAAGCACTGACTTCTCTCTCTCTGCATCTTCACTAATGTTTGCCACCGTGTTGGAGCTCAGGTATGTGACTGTGGCTCAGGGTGATGAGGGAGGGGTGTCAGGGTGAGAGGGCAATGAATTTGACAGGGTCAGGGAGGGTAGAGGCCATGAAGGGCAGCTCCAGTCCAACACGCATCACTGAACAAGTCACATTCTGACTGGGGTCCCCCCCCCCCTAAACAGGACACAGAAACACAATGTGACATGAGACCTGCAGGGACAGGTCGCCTCTGACACTGGAAGAGAGGGAGTAGCTGTGGGAAAAGGAGAAAAAAGGGGGGGGGGGAATTAGGAAGAGAGAAATTGGATCTGCAGGAACTGAGTGTACAGTAGGTAGAGGAGAACAAAGGAACAGAGGAGAGCGTGAGGGGAGAGGGAGAGCACAGAGAAAAGGGAGAGCGAGCGAGAGAGGAGAGTGGAAGAGAGAGCGAGTGAGAGAGGAGTGGAAGAGCGAGCGAGGAAGCGCGAGTGCGAAAGCGAAAGAGAGAACAAGAGAGGAAGGGAGAGTGAAAGAGTGACAGTTAGAGCGAGAGAAGAGAGCCACAGACTGTGACCAGCGGGTGAGGAATCCTCTATATCTGCGGCTCCCAGTCTGACAGCCGTGTGTAGACTAGCCTGACAACACACACATGTACATGTGCATGCACGCACGGCAGGGAATGAACAGCGTCAGGGAATGACTTCTCTCCCTGCATCTTCACTAATGTTTGCCACTGTGTTGGAGATCAGGTATGTGACTGTGGCTCAGGGTGAACTTGACAGGGTCAGGGAGGGTAGAGAACAGGGAGGGCTGGGCCCAGGGAGGGTAGAGAACAGGGAGGGCTGGGCCCAGGGAGGGTAGAGGACAGGGAGGGCTGGGCCCAGGGAGGGTAGAGGACAGGGAGGGCTGGGCCCAGGGAGGGTAGAGGCCAGGGAGGGCTGGGCCCAGGGAGGGTAGAGGACAGGGAGGGCTGGGCCCAGGGAGGGTAGAGGACAGGGAGGGCTGGGCCCAGGGAGGGTAGAGGCCAGGGAGGGCTGGGCCCAGGGAGGGTAGAGGACAGGGAGGGCTGGGCCCAGGGAGGGTAGAGGACAGGGAGGGCTGGGCCCAGGGAGGGTAGAGGACAGGGAGAGCTGGGCCCAGGGAGGTTAGAGGCCAGGGAGAGCTGGGCCCAGGGAGGTTAGAGGCCAGGGAGAGCTGGGCCCAGGGAGGGCTGGGCCCAGGGAGGTTAGAGGCCAGGGAGGGCTGGGCCCAGGGAGGGCTGGGTCAGTCCCACACACGTCACAGACCTAGTCACATTCTGACTGGGGTCCCCCTTAAACAGAACACAGGAACACAATATGACATGACACCTGTAGGGACAGGTCGCCTCTGACACTGGAAGCTGTGGGAAAATGAGAAAAAAAGGGGGAGAAATTAGGAAGAGAGAGAAATTGGATCTGCAGGAACTGAGTGTACAGTAGGTAGAGAACAAAGGAACAGAGGAGGGAGAGCACAGAGAGAGAGAGAGAGAGCACAGAGAGAGAGAGAGAGAGAGAGCACAGAGAGCACAGAGAGAGAGAGAGAGAGCACAGAGAGAACAGAGAGAGAGAGAGAGAGAGAGAGAGAGAGAGAGAGAGAGAGAGAGAGAGAGAGAGAGAGACTGTGACCAGCGGGTGGGGAATTCTCTGTGTCTGCTGCTCCCAGTATGACAGCAGTGTGTAGACTAGCCTGACAACACACACACACACACACACACACAAGCATGTCAGGGAATTAACAGCATCAATGTGGTCGCGCAATCATGCAGTATGTATGATCGCACATGCTGCTGGTTGACATGAACATACTTTACACAAGAAAAAATAGCCTACATGGAGACAGAAGACAGGCTCCACACTATTAGACTGTACGCTCTGTACTAACAAGCAGTCAAATATTCCAATCCAGGCAATTAAAGACAGTCACATTTAGTGTTAGAGAATGTAAATATTAATTTAGTCAGAAACTGCCAAGCAGTCTGGACTGGAGAGTGACTGTGAAATTCAAAATAAATGAGAAATGGATACCCTTGTTTAACGACGGTCAACAGAACAAAGGGAGACCGACGGTGTCTGAATCTTAATTGAACTTTGCTATGAAATAATATATTATGTAAATGTCTTCCCTTGAGATAATAAAATGTGAGAGACGGAATCAAATAAAGCTATTGTGTCTCCAGCGTAATGTGCTAGCTAGACCAAGTGTTGCACATAGCCACAGTACTAGCCTACAGTAGATTCCTATCAGTATGGCCGGAAGCCATCTCTATCAAATGTTAGAGAGAAGAAAGAGGAGAAGCGAGGAGAGAGAGTGAGAGAGAGAGAGGAGAGAGCGAGGAGAAAGTGAGTGAGAGAGAGGAGAAAGCGAGAGAGGAAAACTGTCCAGAGGAAAACTACAAACAACGCATGCAGGGCAGAATTAGGCCAATATCCACTAATAATAAAAACTCAAAAAAGAGCAATTCAGTTTAGAAAACATCTCAAATACAGTGACCCCCTCTCATATCATTAACAAGCCCTGCAATGCCAAGAGCTGAGCAAAGAAAAGAGTCCCCTCATCCAGCTGGTCCTGGTCCTGAGATCACAAACCTGTTATACTAACACACTGAAGCCTCAGGACCAGAACATCCAATCAATCAGAATAAATTACAACACAGTCAAAACAAAACTACACACAAAGTAAAATGCAGTGCTATCTGGCCCTAAATCGACAGTACACCGTGGCTAACTATTTGACCATGGTTACTGATCAAAACCTTAGAAAAACCTTGACAAAGTACAGGCTCAGTGAGCACAGCCTTGCCATGAGAAGGGTAGACACAGGAAAACCTGGCCCTCTGTAGAGGAAAGGCTGTGCAACCACTGCACCACAGCAGGACCTAAGACAGAGCTGCATTTCCTGACAAAATGTAAAAAATAAAACAATTAGTGTCAATTCCCCAAATTTGAACCAGTTTAAGGTTTCAAAGACCTGTCTGATGAGAACAGGCTACCCGTCCTGTTGGGGGAGGACGCAGAGAGCTGTGGGTTGGCAGTGCACTACATTGCTGCCTGCCATAAGATGAGGGACAGTGTCTGACAGACCAACCAACCTGCACATGTCCTCTATATTGTTATTGTTAAATGGTTATTTTGACCCTTGGTTATTGTTGTCCCGTTGACAACATTGATTATTATTATTTTAATTATGTTAATAGTGTAAATATCCAAAGTAAGCTTTGGCAATATGTACATTGTTACGTCATGCCAATAAAGCAAATTGAATTGAGAGGCGAAAGAGAGAGAGAGGAGAAAGAGAGAGGAGAAAGAAAGAGGGGGGAGAGAGACAGCGAGAGAAGGGTAGATGAGTGAAAGCAGTAAAGGAAGTAGAAAGAACGAGAGAGAAAGGTAGATGAGAGATCAAATCAGCACAGTACTACGACAACAGCCATCAAGATCCAAATCTGAGGAGTCACCGATGTTGTTTTACGCTCCAGGAAAGCAGCGTCTGTCTGCCAGTGTCCAAACGCCCTGATCAAGTAAAAACACTGCCAGACAACAGGACATCTTCCCTTAACAGGTCTGCGTGCCCCTTTTCAGCATGTCGAAATTTGATATTCATGGCATGTCTCTGTGCCACACATCGCACAGCGTAGGGGAGGCGTGATTGGTGCATTAGACGAGTGAGACTCCCTTCCTCCCTCTCAAACACATACACAGGCAGCACACACCGAAACCAAATTGCAGCCGAAATATTGCTGTGAGGGAAAATGAGGTAGCTAGGAGAACAAAGAGGATATGGGGAACAGGTTTAGACATTTCCCTTCAAGAAAAAAAACAGATGTCTTTTATAAGAGGGCAGGCATGAAATTCTCCTAAAATGAATACAGCAGCAGCAGAAGACTATGTTCTGGTCGACCCAGAATCTCAGTGTTTCATGTAGCCCCCTCACTGTGCTCCTCCAGCACTGACAGAACAGAAAGAAGCAAGCTTGGTTGCATTTAAAAAACAAGCCAGGCTATTTTTAGAGCCAGCTAGAATTCCCCATCCCCCTTTAATAAGCCTGCTTTCATACACACTGTGTACAGTGGAACTGTGGAAATAAAAATGTATCTCAAGACATGCCGTTTGGTCTTCAGAAGCAAATTGATATGCAAGCCCTTATAAGGAGGGGAGTGTAGAATGGAGTGTTCAGAAAGCAGGGCTTTCCTGTTGTAGCTACAGCTTTAAAACAGAAAGCTGTAGGCCTACTCCTCCGTCCCCAATGACAGATACCTAAGACCTACTGATGAGAACTTAATCCATGCGTGTGTGTTTTATTAACATCCAGATTGAAGGCACAGCATAACAGGTTCAAAGCATTCCTTTGTTCCAGTCCAGGCTCTTTCTCTGCCAAATTATTTCATTATTTTAAATAAAGGTCTTAATCTGCCTGAAACACTACAGTTTTCCAACAACAGTGAGTGGCCTGGGGAATGGCCCGAGCAGGGCCCCTCTCCCTCAGTTCTCTAATGTAGGGACAAAGAGCCAGGAGAAGAGGAAGGGTTGGAACACTCAGCAGCGACCCAAAGTGACCCAACTCCACGTGCCAACACTGGGCTCCCTGGACCAGAGTGGGACCACACAGGTAATACCTGCTTTTTAGGGACTCCCTGCATTCAAAGAACACAAATCCACTTACTATCCCAACACAACCGTAGGCAGGGAGACAGCCCACAGTTACTGAGCACTCCACATCAAACGAGAAGAACACAGGCGTCTTTCATAAAGTACCAAAAAAGGAGGCATTTCCTGGCCTAACGCTAGCGACCAACGCAAGTAATCCAGTCCAGCTTCACTCAAGGCCTAATCGCATTACCTCACTGGCAGGCAGCAGTAAAAGCTGACAGGATACCGATACAAGGCCTACTGATGAGAGCAACAACAGCCCACTGATATCCCCACATACCCTAGTACTGCCTATAATGTGGTTAGGGCAGGTGTTTAAGGACAGAGTCCTATGTCTGCTATAGTCCTGGATGTGGTAGAGAGAGCTTGGCTGGTCTGTCTGTCTGTCCATATGTCTGTTGTCTGGTTGAAAGTCTGCCTGTCTGTTACCTCAACCTCCCCTCAGCCTGGAGGTCTGTCTGTGGCTCAGTCAGTCAGTCAGTGTGATTTGCAGCCAGCAGGCTGCAGACGTATTGACCAGCAGCGAGCGGTAGACCCGGCTGGCCACCTCCACCTCTGTGTGTGTTATTAACACAGCATGCCTCCTATTGATTAGACCCAGCCAAATCAAACAGTGCAGAAAAGAGCTGCTCACTCAGACAATTAGCCATCCAGCGGTGGCCTGTCAGAAGATTGGAGATAACAAACGCGGAGCTGGCTAGCTGAACCATCAAGGCATAGTGCTGTAGCGGCTTCTTTTAACTTAAAGGACACCTAGCAAGGTGGAGATCCTCAAACAGGTGCCAGTACCAGAGAGGAGAGGTGGCTGGTTTCTGCATTCAAAATGGCACCCTATAAAAAGGTTCCCTGGTAAAAAGTAGTGCACTATAAAGGGAACAGGCTGCCATTTGTGACGCAGCGTCCAGTGGTCAGGGGGGCAGGGAGATCCTGGACTCCCTCTGGTGGAGTGACTTTGACATGGCCAGAGGCCTGAGGGAGAGCAGACCGCAACTAGAAAACCCAACACAAATCAAGACAGACAGCACATTATAGTCCTACACACACACACACACACACACACACGTCTGTCTGCAGCACAGTCTCAGATTCAGCCGAGCCCACCTTGAGGCGAGCCAGCCCAGAGGCCAGGCCAGGCAGTGACTGACTGTCACTGGCTGTGTAGTCACATTCAATTCCCCCATGCTAATGAATCTACCATCCATCACACAGATATACGGCCTGCAATTCTTCCACTTTTATTTTTTGCCGCTAAAAATATAAAATGTGACCACCACACCAAGTTTCCATCTCACTCAGGCACTGCAGACCTTTCCTTCTCCTTTTACCAGAACCACTAAATTCTGCAATTAATTCAGCTGAAATAAATCACCTGGCAAAGTTTAGTGTAATTTTCCCCTGTAATCCATTAGTCAATTGACAAACTGAAATAAAGGCTTTGCTGTGAGGCTGTGATAGGTTTCAGTGAGCAGAAAAGACAGTCTGAGGAAAAGTCTGAGGGCTAGGTGGGTACAGCACTAGAGTATAAAGACCAGGGTGTCACCTAACTCAACCTGGGTGACAGAAAAGGATGGCAGTGACAATGACTAGTGCTGCAGCACCCCATTTCTGCCCTCGGCAGTGGCGACGCATTCAAATAGCCACTGTAGAACCGGAGGGAGCTATTAAAGCCATCAATCACCCAGGCCCGGGCGCTGCAGCAAGGGCATATGTGTACTGTACAGAGAAACCTCAGAGGGCGGGGGGGGGGAGAGGGAGCCGAGAGAGAGATCTGAGAGAGTAAGGGAGAGAGAGAGAAGCAGAGAGCGAGGGAAAGAGAGCACTCAGGAAAAACCTCCCCTCATACAAGACAAAGGCACATAGTTCAGCTACAGGCCAGACTAAAGGTAGGCCTAGAACAGTTCAGCTGCAGGTTAAAGACTTAAGGTGTCTGCATGCTTCCCAGCCAAAACAGTTCAGAAGAGTTTGTGCATAATTATGAATATATTTTGTGGCGTTTTTGTTCGTTTTGGACTTCGGTAAGGTTTTTTTTGGCTGTTTGGGCACAACATTCTTTCGAGGCAAGCCGAAGTCAGTAGCCAAAGTCGACGCCCCTTCGTCAGTGATTGGTCAACAGTAGGGATTCTTCAATAAAGTCTGTTGTCATTCAACGAGAGACGACTCGTTTTCATTAACATTTTTTTCATTGAGAAATACTGCACCAAACATCTTAGTTAGATGTAAAATTGCGCTCCTCGGCAAAAATGTCCAAATTAATACTGGCTTTAACCAGTCTATACTGTCTATACTGGCTACGGCGTCTCAAAATGGACAAAAAGTACAATTGCACACTCACTCCGAACTGAAGCATTCTGGCGCCTTTAAGAGTAAGCACGTAGCCTATAGCTCAGCTATGGGGTAAAGGCTAAAGGTATATCGCCTTGGCTACAGTACAGACTAAAAGGTAGAACAGTTCAGCTGCAGGCAGTGCAGAATAAAGGTATTCAAATAAAATAAAATTTAATTTGACACATGCGCCGAATACAACAGGTGTAGACATTACCGTGAGATGCTTACTTACAGTCCTTAACCAACAATGCATTAATTTTTTTATAAAAAAGTACAATAAAACAACAACAACAAAAAAGTGTTGAGAAAAAAAAGAGCAGAAGTAAAATAAAATAACAGTAGGGAGGCTATATATACAGGGGGGTACTGGTGCAGAGTCAATGTGCGGGGAAACCAGCTAGTTGAGGTAGTTGAGGTAATATGTACATGTGGGTAGAGTTAAAGTGACTATGCATAAATAATTAACAGAGTAGCAGCAGCGTAAAAAGATGGGGGGGCAGTGCTAATAGTCTGAGTAGCCATGATTAGCTGTTCAGTAGTCTTATGGCTTGGGGGTAGAAGCTGTTGAGAAGCCTTTTGGACCTAGGTACCGCTTGCCGTGCGGTAGCAGAGAGAACAGTCTATGACTAGGGTGGCTGGAGTCTTTGACAATTTTGAGGGCCTTCCTCTGACACCGCCTGGTATAGAGGTCCTGGATGGCAGGAAGCTTGGCCCCAGTGATGTACTGGGCCATACGCACTACCCTCTGTAGTGCCTTGCGGTCGGAGGCCGAGCAGTTGCCATACCAGGTGGTGATGCAACCAGTCAGGATGCTCTCGATGGTGCAGCTGTATAACTTTTTGAGGATCTGAGGACCCAAGCCAAATCTTTTCTGTCTCCTGAGGGGGAATAGGCTTTGTCGTGCCCTCTTCACGACTCTCTTGGTGTGGTTTGGACCATGATAGTGTGTTGGTGATGTGGACACCAAAGAACTTGAAGCTCTCAACCTGTTCCACTACAGCCCCGTCGATGAGAATGGGGGCGTGCTCAGTCCTCTTTTTTTTCCCCTGTAGTCCACAATTATCTCCTTTGTCTTGATCACGTTGAGGGAGAGGTTGTTATTCTGGCACCACACGGCCAGGTCTCTGATCTCCTCCCTATAGGTTGTCTCATCGTTGTCGGTGATCAGGCCTACCACTGTTGTGTCGTCTGCAAACTTAATGATGGTGTTGGAGTCGTGCCTGGCCATGCAGTCATGGGTGAACAGGGAGTACAGGAGGGGACTGAGCACGCACCCCTGAGGGGCCCCCGTGTTGAGGATCAGCGTGGCAGATGTGTTGTTACCTACCCTTACCACCTGGGGGCGGCACGTCAGGAAGTCCAGGATCCAGTTGCAGAGGGAGGTGTTTAGTCCCAGGATCCTTAGCTTAGTGATGAGCTTTGAGGGCACTATGGTGTTGAATGCTGAGCTGTAGTCAATGAATAGCATTCTTACGTAGGATGTTCCTCTTGTCCAGGTGGGAAAGGGCAGTGTGGAGTGCAATAGAGATTGCATCATCTGTGGATCTGTTAGGGCGGTATGCAAATTGGAGTGGGTCTAAGGTTTCTGGGATAATGGTGTTGATGTGAGCCATGACCAGCCTTTCAAAGCACTTCATGGCTACAGATGTCAGTGCTACGGGTCGGTAGTCATTTAGTCAGGTTATCTTAGTGTCCTTGGGCATAGGACTATGGTGGTCTGCTTGAAAAATGTTGGTATTACAGACTCAGTCAGGGACATGTTGAAAATGTCAGTGAAGACACTTGCCAGTTGGTCAGCACATGCTCGGAGTACACGTCCTGGTAATCATCAGTCTACAGCCCTGCGGCCTTGTGAATGTTGACCTGCTTAAAAGTCTTACTCACATCGGCTACGGAGAGCGTGATCACATAGTCATCCGGAACAGCTGGTGCTCTCATGCATGCTTCAGTGTTGCTTGCCTCGAAGCGAGCATAGAAGTGGTTTAGCTCGTCAGTTCAACTTCATGTTAGAGGCTAACTCAGCTATGCGGTAAAGGCATAGGCTACAGTACAGTTATAGATTGAAAGTTAAATTGTGATATAGACATAGATCCCCCCCCCCCATTAACCGTTCAGCCACAGGCTAAAAGCAGCAGCAGTAGGTGATCATCATCATCACTCAGAGAAAGGGGTGTGGCCCATTCTTCAGCTTTAATGCACTGTAATCCTCCAGAGGCCACCTGTGGTATTAAAGCATTCAACGGACAAAAACAACCTCACTGATTTACATTTGATTGATACCCGTTGCATGGAGGGAGGAGGGATATATTCGTTTTCTAAGCTTTCAACACGGCAGTCCATCATTGTGCCTGCGGAACCCTTTGAAACCAGATAGCACTCCTGGTATTCCTGGGTTGATGTGAGGCCCCTATGACAGAGACACGGCATGGCATGGAGACGCTTCTTCACGCCCACATAAAGACACACGACGAGGTGCCATTACTGTCTCCCATTACTCATGAGAGGGAGAGGGGCACTGATTGGACCACCTTGACGTCCTAGGGAGGGAAGGCCCAAAGAGAAGGAATACATCACAAACAAAGGAACGACAGGCCTTTGTTAATGGTTAATGAGACCTGGACAGGCAGGCAGAGAGGGGTGTGTGTGTGTGTGTGTGTGTGTGTCTTCACTGGAAACCCCCAACGGAAGGGCTTTTAAAGACCCGGGGCCCCAGTGTCTTGACAATAACATCACAGCCTCAGGATTATCAGGGGCCAGGGTTCATGCTGCTCTCTGCATTCACAGCAAACTCCTCTCTCACAGAGCAATGCATTCCTCCCTGGCAGCTATTTTTGGCATCGAAACTAGCCGAAATTGGAATGAGCATGGAAGGGAGTGGATTCAGCTGAGGGTAAACGGACTAAGCCCACAAAAGACAGCCAGCCATTAGGCTACAAAACATGAGAAATAAGTAGCTAGCCGTATCCATGTTAAAGTAGCCTAATAAGAAACGCAGGCCTAGGTTACATCTTGAGAATGCTAAATAATCCAATAAATAGAAAAGGGAGGTAGCAATTCAGGAGACAATGACCTTTTGACTAATGAGCTGCCCAGTCTTTGAATCCCCCATTATCTTGTTAATGGTTGCAGGAGGAATTCCTTTAGATGGCATTAGAGTTCCCCTGGTGAGAGGTAAAGGGGGAGGAAGGAGGGTAGGGGCCAGGAGGAGAGAGGGTTGGAGGGAGCCCCCCTGTTTTATCCCTCACCGCTGTTCGCTGCTTGACCCCTCATTCAGGTCAATTGGTCATGCAGGTTTCCCCGCCCCTGCACACACACAAACATGTGCACACACACGCATGCACACAGCCACGCAACACACAGCCGAGCAAAACAAAAACAGTGCCTGGCTGCCTCTCCCAGGCCCAGGCATTGAGGCAGTGAGAAGGCCTGGTGGATCTAGTAAATCTAGCCTAGCTAGACATCAAGCAGGATCAATGCTGCCAGAGCTCAAAGACTGCAGCAAACTGCAACTCCCAGCAGTGTGGGAGAGACTCTGTATTTACCATGCATGGAAACTTCAATCAAGCCAGCCAGTGATGCTCGAGCTGGCTGCTGCTGGCCTCTTACATATGCAATGAATTACTGATTACCACTGCACATTGTGCCCAAGCACTATCATTTGGCCTAAATTAGCAAAGATTGAGCGCGCTGTAAAGCAACTGAAACCATGAAAGAACAACATCAGTGTCTCTAGCGTTCCGTCATGTATATGGGTCCCTCATGTACATAGACAGGTAGCTAGCCCTATAGAGTAGTACAGTACATCGTGCAGTGCAACCCTACAGCAGCACACCACTAGAACACCATGCTCTATCAGGGCTGGGGCCTCAGGGGCTGGCCAATGAAGAGCAAGCAGCCTAAGTGAAAACAGGAAGTGTGGTGTCGAGTGACAGAGGGCAGAATGGTGTGTCTCTCCTGTCTGCTCTGTGCACATGGCTCATGTCAGGAGAGGACAGGGAGGGGTTAGAGAAACACCAGGTGCATGTCACACAGGGACACGGATGCAAACACACGCACTGAGCTGCTCACACAACCCTTACTTTTTAGTCCTGCAACTCCCATATTTGGATTTCATGACAGCTTTGAATTCATTACAGATAAACGTAAACTAGCCTATTTATCGGGTTGTTCGAGCCCTGGATGCTGATTGGCTGAAAACCATGCTATGAGACAATATACCACAGGTATGACGCAAAACTACTTGTTTACTGTTCTAATTCGGCATCGATGATGTCGTCCCCACAGTGACCGTACGTACATACCACAACCAGAAGCCATGGATTACAGGAAACATCCGCACTGAGCTAAAGGGTAGAGCTGCCGCTTTCAAGGAGCAGGACTCTAACCCGGACGCTTATAAGAAATCCCGCTATGCCCTCCGACGAACCATCAAACAGGCAAAGAGTCAATACAGGACTAAGATTTAATCGTACTACACTGGCTCTGACGCTCGTCGGATGTGGCACGGCTTGAAAACTATTACAGACTACAAAGGGAAGCACAGCCGCGAGCTGCCCAGTGACACAAGACTTCCAGACGAGCTAAACCACTTCTATGCTCGCTTCGAGGCAAGCAACACTGAAGCATGCATGAGAGCACCAGCTGTTCCGGATGACTATGTGATCACGCTCTCCGTAGCCGATGTGAGTAAGACTTTTAAGCAGGTCAACATTCACAAGGCCGCAGGGCCAGACGGATTACCAGGACGTGTACTCCGAGCATGTGCTGACCAACTGGCAAGTGTCTTCACTGACATTTTCAACATGTCCCTGACTGAGTCTGTAATACCAACACATTTCAAGCAGACCACCATAGTCGCCGTGCCCAAGGACACTAAGATAACCTGCCTAAATGAAGTGCTTTGAAAGGCTGGTCATGGCTCACATCAACACCATTATCCCAGAAACCCTAGACCCACTCCAATTTGCATACCGCCCCAACAGATCCACAGATGATGCACTCTCTATTGGACTCCACACTGCCCTTTCCCACCTGGACAAGAGGAACACCTACGTGAGAATGCTATTCATTGACTACAGCTCAGCGTTCAACACCATAGTGCCCTCAAATATCATCACTAAGCTAAGGATCCTGGGACTAAACACCTCCCTCTGCAACTGGATCCTGGACTTCCTGACGGGCCGCCCCCAGGTGGTAAGGGTAGGTAAAAACACATCTGCCACACTGATCCTCAACACAGGGGCCCCTCAGGGGTGCCTGCTCAGTCCCCTCCTGTACTCCCTGTTCACCCATGACTGCATGGCCCGGCACGACTCCAACACCATCATTAAGTTTGCCGACGACACAACAGTGGTAGGCCTGATCACCGACAACGATGAGAGAGTCTATAGGGAGGTGGTCAGAGACCTGGCCGTGTGGTGCCAGGATAACAACCTCTCCCTCAACGTGACCAAGACAAAGGAGATGATTGTGGACTACAGGAAAAAGAGGACTGAGCACGCCCCCATTCTCATCGACGGGGCTGTAGTGGAACAGGTTGAGAGCTTCAAGTTCTTTGGTGTCCACATCACCAACGAACTATCATGGTCCAAACACACCAAGACAGTCGTGAAGAGGGCACGACAAAGCCTATTCCCCCTCAGGAGACAGAAAAGATTTGGCATGGGTCCTCAGATCCTCAAAAAATTCTACAGCTGCACCATCGAGAGCATCCTGACTGGTTGCATCACCGCCTGGTATGGCAACTGCTTGGCCTCCAACCGCAAGGCACTACAGAGGGTAGTGCGTACGGCCCAGTACATCACTGGGGCCAAGCTTCCTGCCATCCAGGACCTCTATACCAGGCGGTGTCAGAGGAAGGCCCTCAAAATTGTCAAAGACTCCAGCCACCCTAGTAATAGACTGTTCTCTCTGCTACCGCACGGCAAGCGGTACCAGAGTGTCAAGTCTAGGTCCAAAAGACTTCTCAACAGCTTCTACCCCCAAGCCATAAGACTCCTGAACAGCTAATCATGGCTACCCGGACTATTTGCACTGCCCCCCACCCCATCTTTTTACACTGCTGCTACTCTGTTAATTATTTATGCATAGTCACTTGAACTCTACCCACATGTACATATTACTTCAACTACCTCAACTAGCCGGTGCCCCTGCACATTGACTCTGCACCGGTACCCCCCTGTATATATAGTCTCCCTACTGTTATTTTATTTTACTTTTTTTTTTTTTTTCTCAACACTTTTTTGTTGTTGTTTTATTTTACGTTTTTTATTTAAAATAAATGCACTGTTGGTTAAGGGCTGTAAGTAAGCATTTCACTGTAATGTCTGCACCTGTTGTATTCGGCGCATGTGGCCAATAAAATTGTATTTGATTTGATTTAATTACGTTGGTAACCTGTTTATAATAGCAATAAGGCACCTCAGGGGTTTGTGGTATATGGCTATATACCAAGGCTAAGGGCTATGTCCAGGCACTCCGTATTGGCCATCTACACCACACCCCCTCTGGCCTTATTGCTTAATTAGAATATGAAATAACATAACATGTCTTTTAAAGAACAAAATAGCATTTTATGTAACTGTAGGCCATATGAACAAACAAAAAACACCACAATTAAAGTGTTAAAATCCATTAAATAAACACCATCACAAAGATCATTCATTATTAGTTTGTTATTAGGGCAGGTCTTAAGGAACATTATGAATCTAAGAAAATGCATTTCAAAAGAACAGAATGGTACATTCTGAGTTGAAATATATTACCATGCTTAGAATGTTGCAAGTGCACGTAGTCGCATTAATGCTATAAGAAAATATATAATTTGAAACGAAGCTCAAGGGGTGGATTTTAAGAGTTGGTTGGCAAGGATAGGTGATTTGAAAACTGCAGAATCTGCTCTCTGATACTAGCCTATAAAGACATCAAAACGGCTTACCTGCTTGTGACTGTAGGGGAATTTGAAAAAGTCACTTTGTCGTTTCATTTCCCTGCCTCTGTAAATTCCAAACCCGACTATTATAAACGCGAAATTAAATTCAATATAGTTTAGGTGAAGTTTCGATGGGCCATCATCAGCCAGTGAATGAAGGACAGGGGGGGGGGGGGGGGGATGACATGTCCTCTTAAAACTGCTTATAACACAAATTATGTTCGTGATATTACGATTCTAACAACGACAGTATGTTATATAGACTTATTTAGCAAAAGTAAAGGACGGGGGGGGGGGTCATGACAAAAAAATGGCAGAGCAATTAAAAAAGTAAATTCGTTTTCAGTCAACATGACGCTTTTGGCTCTTCTAGTGTTAAAGATGCACTTCAGCAAAGATATTCAAAATGGAGAAATAAAGGAGTTGTGCTTTTAGTCAAAGTATTCCATATTGTGATGCAATTTCACATGGGAAATACAGACCCAACACCAATTTAGGCTTGCCACAAGTAATACATAAACTGAGTGGAGCTGCAGGAGAGTTACTGTAAAACAATGCACACTGCTAATCCCAAAACAGATGCCTTGTTGTATTGTTATTGAAAGCAATGGCCTCACAATACCTTGAGGTAAAACAATATCCCAAGCACATTCCAGCAGAATACAAAGCTACGAAATATGTGTGAAATGAAGGCTGTGCTTGCCTCTCGGAGTGTGATCTCGTGTTGACTAATCGTCTGGAGGTTAGAAAGCATTAACATTATTCAAAAGATTATGCAACACAATACAAAAATAAGTGGCAAAAGAAGTCTACATGGCATTGGTGAACCCAACTCACTGCCACTTGTTACACTACGGTGCTGTGATGAAACTGGTCAGTGAGGGGTGCAGGGGAATTGTCTGAGAGTAGATATGATAAGTGGGTTCCACTTTTTTTGGAAAGCTATTAAGAGCTACCTCATTTACAATGCAGAGGTCACCACATGAAAAGGTGTGTGGCTAACAGACAAAATTTGAAAGAACCACACTTTAACATATTTCCTTGTGCGGCCTGATTACACTACACAAGCCATTCTAGAAAGCAAAGCACGTGTCACGTCTGTCCTCCATATTTGGCTCGAAATTACAACCACTTTTCCAGTGAGTGCTGCAGGCAACCAGTTAATCAGACAGACAGACAGTTACACCTCCATTGTAGCAACTTTGTGATGCTGTGATTCCAAGTTGCTGTGGCACCATTCCTCAGGTTGCTGGGCACAGAAAGGATCCTTCATTTATTTTATTGAAGGTATTGTAAAGTGGGTTATGTGCCAAATGCTGACTATGTAGGTGTGGTGAAGGTCTGTCTGTCCACCGCCCTGGAATGAAGCACTAGACTGAAAACAAAGCAACTATGTGAAGCATCGCGTGCATGTTGGAAACAGCGGCGAGTGGTGCATGGTTTGTTACAATGTGTCACCTCACTAAACATCGTTCAAAAGACAGCTTCTGTATTGTTATAGTTGGATATGTTTGAATTGGGTTGCTTTTGTAAATGTGTGTTACATCCGTGCACCGCGTGGCGGTACCGTACCAAGCAGCAGAGACTGACCATAGATTAAAAACCAGATTAACATACCTGCTGGTGTTGCCCCGAAAATTCGAACCACTGGTACTTTCTTCACATCACTTTCTCTGAATTCGTTATAACAGACGTCCAAGTCTTTGAGGGGAGTTGCAAGGTAGTAGTCAGCGGTGACGATGCGGACAGCAAACATGACTGCTGTGCTGGATACAATCAACTACACTAGCTAAATTATGATGTGGGGCATAAACTGGGGCAACATCTAGGACCAGAATGAGAATAAATTGTCTTTGTAACAATGTAACAACCGAGGAATGAGAATCAGTTTTATGCACACTAACTACCTAGCAATAAACCAAAGTCTCGTTTGTTTGTTTATCGAGGTGGCTCGCGGAGTTGCCCATATTCCACCTAGCTATGCAGGCTAAGAACTATGAAGAGTAATCCTAGTTGCAGCTGCTGGGAACCATACCGTAACTAATGGAGGTGCACCGTGATTCAGTTACTATTGACATAGTCCACTCTTCACCGAATTTACAGTGCTGAAACTAGCTGCCACCCGTCCCTTCAAAAAGAACACAATCCTGGGCTTCCACGAGACGTTCCATAGGTTCGAGCGGCCATAGCTAGCTAAACCAGCGAAACAGAAACCACTTTCTTCCCGCTCGCCGAATCCGGGTGTTGCTACGGCATATCCATTCTGAAAAATTGGAAATTGTTGAGTTACTCTCCTGCGGAGACAGGATATGTTACTGCACGTATTTGGCTTGCAAACAAAATGCTGGAGAAGAGAATCAAGTGTGGCAGTGGTTTCATGTGCGCTTCCAATGTGGCACTGCGGACAAGGTTTCCTCTTGTCTGTAATATGATCACAACACTAACCCAAAGGCAACACCATTCCTCCCCGGCAGACCCTCCCCTAGTCTCTGCCTCTACTGGTTAGCTGCTCGCTACTGACACACTGCAGCATTCCCAACAACACGGGTCAGAGGAGGCAACATCCAGTCCCACATTTTGCTCGTAGAACCACCTCATTTTCACAATTGGCATTGGTCCGTTTACAAGCGCGCAAGTGGAAGTTAGGTTTTCAATTGGTTTAAAAATCTTTAGGCGGGACATAGGTATGAAAGGCCAAATCTTATTATGCATTTTTAAAGCTTCCTATTTGGTTTCGACATTTTGTGAATATAGAATGGCTGGGCTGTGGGACAGTGGATGCGCATTGATAAATGTAATGCCACGGTTAATAGGCATTACCCGGAGAATGCGGAGATTGTGAAGCTATAGCTCTCTGCTATCAACCAATTAGCATCCAGGATCCAAACCCCCCGTTTTATAATGAGGGAGTTCTATTAACCTGAGCCGCTATGCACCGGTCTATGGCACGTGACGTGAACGGGCAAAAGCGGCGAGGGAGGAGCGCCTTCTCAAATTCACATTTACATTTTAGTCATTTAGCAGACGCTCTTAACCAGAGCGACTTAGAGTTAGTGAGTGCATAACTTTTTTCATACTGGCCCCCACGAACAGTAATCTGCGCATCATGTTGTTAACAAAGCAGCATGGTGCATCGTCCAGAAACATACAACATCTCTTTTTCATAAAATATATGTTTACATTTTCAAACTAGTTTTTATTGGGAAGGCAGATAATGCGTTTTTATCAAAAGCAATCACTTTAGCATGTGAAAACACGTAATACTCATTACTCCACGTTCTTAATCTAGCCAAGGCTACCTCACTTTGGTTTTAAGACAATTTCGCCATGAGTTTTGAAGGGCACTTGGCTTACGCCCGGGAGGCAGCCTGGTTCCAAAACCAATGCAATCACTTTTCACCCGATTCAAACGCCATTCACCGGGGTATCGCGGGCTAGATAATCGAATCCCCTCAATGACTTAACGCCCTCGAATAATTAATTATACTACTCCACTGATCTAAACTATTAAAAAAACGAAACACATAGAAATGAGGCCTTCCAATGATGAACGATTACAAAATGCACTTGAAATGAACTGATTTCGCTTGCAATCACTTAGCAAGTAAATATTTATAGAACAAAACTTCCACATAACTTACTACTAAACAGGCTCAAGACAAATTCCCGAAGCCCGAAGGATGTTTACATTCTGCGTAACCTAACTTGCAGTAGTAAAAGAGACTGGCGAGACCTTTTCCTCTCGTGCATGATTGGATCGCTTTAACGTTCGGCGTGCTGTGATTGGCTCTCACACACTTCCTAGTGTGTCCTTCTTTGGACACTTCTAGAAGTTCCTCACTACACTACAGTACATCAGTACAGTACAATTACATATTTTGATAAATGTATCCCATTTTGTCCCTATAATTCCTACATCCATATGAATACAATTTTGTTCCTACATCCTGTCCCCCTTAGCACTAAATAATGTTTATTTACCACAAGACAAGATAGACAAACAGAATAGAATAGACATACAGTACCAGTCAAAAGTTTGGACACGCACTCATTCAAGGGTTTTTCTATATTTTTACTATTTTCTTCATTGTAGAATAATTGTAAAGACATCGAAACTATGAAATAACACATATGTAATAATGTAGTAACCAAAAAAGTGTTAAACAAGTCAAAATATATGTTATATATATTTGAGATTCTTCAAATAGCCACCCTTTGCATTGATGACAGCTTTGCACACTCTTGGCATTCTCTCAACCAGCTTCACCTGGAATGCTTTTTCAACAGTTTTGAAGGAGTTTCAATAATGCTGAGCACTTGTTGGCTGCTTTTCCTTCACTCTGCCGTCCGACTCATCCCAAACCATCTCAATTGGGTTGAGGTCGGGGGATTGTGGAGGCCAGGTCATCTGATGCAGCACTCCATCACTCTCCTTCTTGGTAAAATAGCCCTTACACAGCCTGGAGGTTTGTTGGGTCATTGTCCTGTTGAAAAACAAATGATAGTCCCACTAAGGAAATACACATGCGGAGAACATCCGTTCACCCACACAGCGTCTCACAAAGACACAGCGGTTGGAACCAAAAATCTCAAATTTGGACTCCAGACCAAAGGACAAATTTCCACCGGTCTAATGTCCATTGCTCGTGTATCTTGGCCCAAGCAAGTCTCTTCTTCTTAATGGTGTCCTTTAGTGGTTTCTTTGCAGCAATTCGATCATGAAGGCCTGATTCACACAGTCTCCTCTGAACAGTTGATGTTGAGATGTGTCTGTTACTTGAACTCTGAAGCAACTCTGCAATTTCTGAGGCTGGTAATAATATAATAATAATATGCCATTTAGCAGACGCTTTTATCCAAAGCGACTTACAGTTGTGCGTGCATACATTTTTGTGTATGGGTGGTCCCGGGGATCGAACCCACTACCTTGGCGTTACAAGCGCCGTGCTCTACCAGCTGAGCTACAGAGGACCACTGGTAACTCTAATGAACTTATCCTTTAAAGCAGTGGTAACTCTGGGTTTTCCATTCCTGTGGTGGTCCTCATGAGAGCCAGTTTCATCATAGTGCTTGATGGTTTTTGCAACTGCACTTGAAGAAACGTTCAAAGTTCTTGAAATTTTCAGTATTGACTGACCTTCATGTCTTAAAGTATTGATGGACTGTCGTTTCTCTTTGCTTATTTGAGCTGTTCTTGCCATAATATGGACTTGGTCTTCTACCAAATAGGGCTATCTTCTGTATACCACCCCCTACCTTGTCACAACACAACTGATTGGCTCAAAGGCATTAAGAAGGAAATAAATTCCACAATTTAACTTTTAAGAAGGCACACCTGTTAATTGAAATGCATTCCAGGTGACTACCTTATGAAGCTGGTTGAGAGAATGCCAAGAGTGTGAAAGCTGTCATCAAGGCAAAGGGTGGCTATTTGAAGAATCTCAAATATAAAATATATTTTGATTTGTTTAACACTTTTTTGGTTACTACATGATTCCATATGTGTTATTTCATAGTTTTGATGTCTTCACTATTATTCTACATTGTAAAAAATAGTAAAAATGAAGAAAAACCCTTGAAGTAGGTGTCCAAACTTTTGACTGGTACTGTAGTTCTAAATTCCTCAAGATCTTTCAGTCAGTCCACACAATATTGTGGCACACCACAATATTTGCCACAACTGCATAAAAAATATGGGCTATTTTTATAATTATAGGCCTATTTTTTGCACTTTCTTTCTACTGCCCTGTCATAGATTTTTAAAGCTTCACATTGGTCAATTTAATTCCTTCTAGATTTCCATAATAAACCAGGCTGCAGTTGTGGATGGGCTGAGCCCACTCTTTTCTCTTCCACTGAAAGGCCCATAAACCCTTCCAAACACCCGGCTCACACTGGGGACACAGTCACACTCAATGGCTCCCTGATGACGAAGAATGTGCTATTAGCATTTCATCTGGATGGAGTGGGAGCGTCTATCAATGGGAGTGTGCTCTGACCTTGAGTGGGCTTCGGCCCTTTCTCTGGAAACCAATCAGCGCAGATGAAAATGAGGTGAGTCTGTTTAATAGCAGTTTTCTGCTGAGAGGTAGGTCTATGCATCACAATCTGGATAGCCTACAGCTGACTAAACTATATCTTTCTGGGTAAGTATTCACATACAACAGTTAACACAGCTCTTTTGTGAAGGGACTTTTCTCGTTGTTGATGGTTGGAGAATTTCCACTTCTTATCTGGAGGCACAGCCCCGTTTGCCCAGGTTAATCAATCACTCACCTCACTGATAAGCTGACAGGCTCAGTTTCACACACCAAGCCACCTGCAGGAGAGTATCCCATCTCCCCCTTCCCCAAACCCTGTGGTTGCTTTGGGTTGGCCAGATAAGGCTTTGTGTAGTGTGGTGCAAGTATTGGAACAATCACACAAGCAACTGATTTATGGGTGCAGGAAACTAAGCTATCATGGTTAACAAATGCATTAGGCTGATAGTGATATATGTAACTGGCTGTTTTTTGAGAATAGCAGACATATGTCTCATAACACAGAGAAATACAGTACCAACCATTTTAATACTTTATTGTTATTTACAGTGGAGTATGATTGCCATTATTGACAGAAAATAGTTTGGTTTGGCTAATCAAAGGATGATGAAACCACCACAGATAAAATACAAGTGTAAAGAGCAGAATAGGTGTGAACCACAGCCCCTCCCTCTGTTGCAGAAGATTGATGTTTCAGTGACAGATTCTTCCTGTGGCCCCTCTGTGGATCTTAAATCATAGATGAATAGGGGGCCCCTAAAAGCACCTTTACACCCTGTTCTATTTATCTGCTATTACCCAAAGAAGTGTGAGACCTTTACATTGCTCATGGTTTACTGATATTCTGGGTAATACAGTAGTAATAACTATGTAGTATAGGCTACAATATAAAAAAGTGTGGCATGTAAATTCAACAACCTCAGTCAACAGGCCATGATTACTTTATGACTTTCCATTAAAATACATATTCAGATCACATAATATTAGGAACACAGTCACCACACAATGTAAGGCGTAACTATTACCTCCTAACATGTCAAGCAAGCACATTTTTAGGACTTGAAACATGAAAAAGGAAATACTGCCACCTTGTGGTTATTTGAGACTTGTGCTAAACTACACCGCTCTGCCCACATGCCATTTCAGTTGAGTACAAAAAAAGGCTATAATCATTTGCCATTTAAACATTGAAGTCAATTACGTACCAGAGAAACAATGTGTCTATAGCAGTTTAGCAGTTCTCAGAGGGGCCGTACAGAGAGGGTCAACTCTTTCCCCAGAGTGGGGGCGATGTAGCGTTCCTCTCTTAGCAGACGGAGAAGCAGGTCTTGGGTATCCTGGGGCCAGCGGTAGATTCTGGTACTCTGGAGCCAAGCGGGGACATGTCTCTGGAAGACAGGAATGGGATAGTGATCATTATAAACTGGGTGGTTTGAGCCCTGAATTCTGATTGGCTAAAAGCCATGGTATATCAGATTATAATAGCAATAAGGCTATTGTATCATGCCTAAGAACAGCCCTTAGCCGTGGTATATTGGCCATATACCACACCTTCTCAGGCCTTATTGCTTAATTACACCACGGCGTGAGTGACTCATGAGGATATAACAGGATATAACAACAGTATAGAAGCCTATCCCTATGGGGAAACATCTCACCATCCACTCACCTTGGTAGCAGTGGGAAATAATATGGGTACCAGTCTGAAATTAAGGCAGCGCTGTTGGATGAACTCGTTCTGGATCTAAAATGAGAAAAGGTGCTCAAAGATAAATGCCTAATGCTTTTATGAGTTGTCTTCATTGCATATTAAATGTATACTCTGCATAAACTATACATGCTGTGGTACAGTATATGTTTCCCTTTGTATCACACAGCAGGGTTTTACGCCTATGCTACATCATGGCAGGAAGGGGCTGTGTCCAATGCCCAGAGCCTTTTTGTCTCACTGTCCTAAACTTGAGACTCCATAACCAAAAAAAGACTGTTGCTACACACATTCATTTGATATATTCTTACAGGTGCATGTATAAGTGCCTACCTGAGTGTGAATGTACTTGGTGTGGAGACCATGCTCATCCTCCCCGTCTCCCTCCACGTCTGCCTTGTACTTAGGACTGATGACCACGATGATCAGCACTGACTTCTGCAACGCAGCATTTCATAGTCAGTTCAGTTTTTGATAAGACTTTATTTTAAAGGGATACTTCAGGATTTTGGCAATGAGGCCAATGAAGGAAGTTAGAGGTAGTTTCACGAGCCAATGCTAACTAGTGTTAGAGCAATGACTGGAAGTACTTACAGTCATTGTGCTAACGCTAGTTAGCACTGGGTCTCGAAACTACCTGTAACTTCCTTCATACTGGACACAGAGACATAGAAATGGTATCCACAAGTTTATCTGACTCTGGGGTAGATAAAGCGCCTCTTTGCCAAAATCCCTAAGTATCTCTTTAGGGTCTGTAATAAACCATTCATAAGGCATTTACCATTTATGAATCATTACTCCCACATTTATAAACCATTTACTAATCATTAGTGAAGTATTTTTTTGCAGCCCCTAATCTAAAGTGAGCACTAATTATGCTTTATAAATACTTTGAGTGACCAGTGTAATTTCTCACAAAAAGATGGGCAAGCCATTGGTAGACATTCCAGCAGTAGCTGGTAAAAGAATAAGCACACAACACAGGATATTTATGGAAATATATATACATTTGTGAAGAATTAGCTTACTAACATTTACAAATGTGGGAGTAATGATTCATAAATGGTGAGCAAACTGCTTGTAAATGCCTTATAAATTGTTTATTACTGACCCTTAAAATAAAGTGTTACCCAGTTTATTTTCTGTATAGTTTCATAATTGGATAGGCCCATTTTATGCTCTAAAAATGCTGATCGCTTAGACTTACATCCTTTAAATAGTTGTCCATCCACTGGATGATGTCCATTCTTCTAACTGCACTATCAAATATGTCAATCTGCCAGAGAGAGGAATTATGTATGAAAAATAGTATTTCAAATATCGGGAAATTGCTGAATAAAAGAAAATGGACAATCTAGTTAGCAAACTTACAGCTGGTTTAAAGCCCTGATCTGTCAGAAACTTCACAAAGGTAAACATCTCACTGGCTGTGTCCACAGAATACGTAATGAAAACATTCCCTGCAATCAAACAGACAAGCATGGTATCCACATGAATGCTAATTGCACTCAAACAACTATTTACATTTTAGTGGATGTTAGACTTGGTTTTTAAGTCTTAATATTGAGCTCTTACAAGCCAAATCATAGGGTGACACAATCATTATGATTCACAGAAAATCCACTGTTTAATTAACAATCATCTTTAATATAAAAAAAATGGATAAACTTGGTTTTGCTGAGGGATGGAGAATGATATGTACTTACTGCACTCCTCAGGTAAACTGATGGTCTTCCTTAGTTCCTGTGTAACTGTTCCTCCCCCATCTGGTTGGCCAGGGGTCGCTTGGTAAGGGGGCACCACACTGACCTCACTCATCACCTCTCTGGGAGGGGCCACACACTGAGGAAGATTACAACTAGGGGCTTTTAGAGCTTCTTGTCCATATAATATTTTTTGAGCCTTGGGAGTCCTAGAGAGGGAAACAGTGTAGAAGAGTTGGGTGTCTACTCCAAACACTCATAAAACAGGAATTATATGTCTATTGTAATGCCCATCAGCAGACATTAATGCTAAAACTGGATCCCCACCAAACATTTGCCTGTTGACATTTGCCTATTGACTGTAAATAAAGCAGGAACTTGTGACATCAGATTGGTTTTGATATCTAGGCTAATGATACAATCTGATGTTAGACCAGTAGGGATATTTAGTGTACCAGGATGGTGGGTACTGCTGAAGCTCCTGCTGAGGTGCCGTAGGGTGAAGATGGTTATAATGATGATGATTATAGAGGGGACGGGTTTGATTTACGGGCTTCTGACATGTGTACAGTCTCTGACACCTGCCGTGCACAGGATCAGGGCCTGTAGAGGGATGTGAGAAGACATGTTCTTAACATCCTGTCTTGGATGGGCTCCCAATCAAAATCATCACTATCTGAATTATAGAACGTTGGACATCCATGCTATATTTCAGACAGTAATATAAACAACAACCTAAACAAAAACATCACCTACTTCCCAGCAAATGTTATATAGCTTGGTCGTTCCACAAAAATAGTGCCTTTTGGGTGGTGTAAATCTGTAATTCTGCAAAAAAAATATTTCACAAAATGTTTATATTCTGTCATAAAGAGCTCATAATGTTCCCCTTCGTAAAAAAACAAGTTTTCCCATTTCAAGAATTCAAATTAAGAAAAGTGCCAATTAAAGCAACAGGGTTGACTGTGACGATTTTATCTTAAATCAGCCATAACTCCCGTTGTGACAGGAGGAATGGAAGCATGTTGTTAAAACATTTCTAGCCGATCTATCTATGGGTAACAGGGGTTGTTGTCTTATGCTTGACGCTCACAGTTTTTTTAAACCACAAAAACACCAATGGCAGAAAAGAGTAGAACCAGCTCACACTGATTTGACTATTAGATGTTCAATGTTTATTTTGAAAAAATAATTAAACAATAAATAGTTTCACCATATTACATTTACATCATTTAGCAGACGCTCTTATCCAGATATTAAAATGAGAGTTCAGTTCCCGTAACAGGGTTGACCTTAAAATGAGGGACAAATCACATGAAATAAATAATAATCTTCAGAAATTGCTTTATCTGTCACGCCCTGACTCAGAGGACGCTTATATGTTGAGTCAGGGTGTGTATATTCCTTGTTGTGATTTTCTATGTTGTATTTTCTATGTTTAGATCTAGTATGTCTAGATCTATGTTGGCCGGTGTGGTTCCCAATCAGAGGCAGCTGTCGCTCGTTGTCTCTGATTGGGGACCATACTTAGGCAGCCCATTGGCACTAGTGGGTTGTGGGATCTTGTTCCGTGTGAGGTATGTTGTTTGTGTACCTTGGACTTCACGTTTTGTTTAGTTTGTTGTTTATTCGGTTCAAATAAACATGTATGCATATCATGCTGCGCCTTGGTCTGACCCGTTCATCAACGAGCGTGACGTTATCAAAGCAACAACATAACTAGAGCTTTACAATGATGGTGAAAACATGGGGAACTTTTGGGGTTAAGCGGGTTAAAATCTTCCTAGAAGTCAGAAAAACATGGCGTGGGACATGTCAAAATTCAGATTTTTGGCACTTTAGCAAGTCTTTATTCATATTAAAAATCAGATTAATAAAAATGTCCATGTGGTTTAAAATGCTTTTAAAATGCAATATTGGTACATCATTACTTAAAATATCAAAGGGACGCAAAAGGCACTCTATTCGTGGAATGACCCAGCTCCTGCCATAAGACATACAGTATCATGTATATCATATTTTTTTATATCTGTTCTATTTAATTACATGAATACAGTTGCCATAAACAGCATGTTACTTACACTGAGGAGGCATGTGTGCTGGGTGACTCGGAGGGACACAGTGGATGTTGTTTAAGTCAGACCTGAGAGGAAGAGGGGCCTCCAAGTGTTCTGCTCCTTCAAGGGAACAGTCCTGAGGTTGATGCCAGTTGGGGGGACCAGGGAAGCCCTCCGCTCCCCGGTGGAGAATTCCAGAGAAAGAGAATTCCTCTTCCTCAGTCCACTGAGCCCTCTCTCTGTAGGGGTGTAACCTGAGGTCGACAGTGTCAGGGACTTTCATCCGGCGATCAGGGATGTGGGGGGACATGTCTTTTTGATGCAGGGAGGCGGCTCTGGGCTGGGGTTGAAGGTTACCCAGAGGGTCCTCCATAGGGGTTCTCCAGGAGTCCTTGGGGTATTCCACCTGGCCTACATCATTGACGGTCACCTCAGGGGCGAACCAAGCCTCTTCCTTTGGCCTCTTTCTATGTTCTGAGCACTGCCCACAGTCCAAGGGCAATGCTAGGTTCAGCATTGATGATGTCATTGACTCATCTGTCTCCACCGGAATGCTTCTGTGACAATGGGAACCTAGCAACAACAGCAGACAATGTTATTCAGCTTAAGCCATTTCGGAGAAGGGAAAAAATGATGTGATATGTAGGAGTGAGTTTAGTGTAAGGTTAACTTTCCTTTTCGATAAGTGTGATAGTGTGTCCTGTATTTGACAATGCCATACCTGTGAAAGAGTCCATTCTTCTCTCGAGGGATAGATTTCTTGTAAAAGGAAACAGAAACAAATGTGGTATAACAGCAATGAAATCTGAGCTCTGTGGATAGCAGAAGGACATGTCATTCCTAGCAACACTTTTTAGGAACACTGTGTACACAAGTGAAACAAACTATTTTACGAGTGAAACAGAAAGCGGTGATATATAGCTATCGTCCCAGATCCATGTAAAGCCCCTATCACTACAGATCTCTAAGCTGTCCTTTGGCTATACAGAGTCACTATAATACATAACTAAAACCAGTCAGACCAAACATTACGTATGTTCATAGGAATTGAACTTTGTCCTCCAGTCAAGCAACTAACTTACCTGCAATGTGTCTGTGAATGAATAATACAAAAGTAATCGACTAAATTCTCCTGACCTCAAGCAATGAAAACACACAGCACAGGTACCATTTACAGTCCAGTTTAACAGCTAAACCTGACCTGTGTCGGAGCCATGTATTCCACCCTCTATACGCAAATCTGCTCTGGGGCGAATAGGAAACATTCCCACAATTTTTGTCTTGATGAAGAGATCAGTGCATGCAAAGTCCCACTTCACCATTTATGCAAATAATGTGGGGCATGCAGTTCACATCTACCAATCAGGTTGTTGTCTAAACAGAGCAGGAATTCTGCAACCAGTCATGGTGAGCCTTGTAGAAGTGGTGTGAGTTGTCATAGTAAAAGCACACCTACAGACATGAGGGCACTTGATTCATGGAAAGTTTACAGCCCATTAAAGTGAACACGCTTTTAACATTCATATGAGTTTTTTTGTTTAGAAAAGACAAAAAAACACAGAACAATCCTGCCAACTCTTACACAGTATAGAAAAAAGTTAACCAGCAAAGAAAACAAGAAAAGAAGCATTTCGAAAAGTTTTTCATAGTTAAAAGTGAATGGAGAGTTTTATTTGAGAGTGCCTTAGCATTGGGGTAGAGAGGCTTTAGTTGGATTCCAGTCACGCCAGTCACAGTCCAGTGCCATGTCAGACATCCCACAGTTATGGAAGCAGATCATGTAGAACATGAAGAGATTGGCTGAGGAAGCAGAAATAGAAAACAATGGCATCCTGTTTTGAGGTGTGACATTTCCTTTTAAACGTATCTATGAAATGTATTCATGAAAACAAGTTCTGAAACATCTCACAGACACATATAGATTTAGGAAACAGCACAAAAAAGATAGGAGATACACACACCTGGGATCCCCAGAATGCACAGCAAAGGGTAGTAGACCTTCTGAACAGTGATGAAGACACTGTCCCCCTCCATGTTTCAGTCCTAATCCTCAGTACCAGGCAATAGCAGAGTTGGTAATGCCTGCAATAAACCCATTAGAGTTAGCTGGATGGGAGGACATTATTAATACAGAGATATGCATAGTGTAATAAACAATATATGGGTAAGGACCGAGAAGGGTTACATCGCAGATTAAGCACACTATATTTATAAAATAAATAAAAATAGAACTTTGATTTTTACTGGGCCTTTATGGATATTTTATGATTGGATTTGGTTATTTATTGACTGGATATTCTGAAGGTTACATTTCATTGAGAAACATTTAACATTTAAGTAATTTAGCAGCCACTCTTATCCATAACGACTTACAAATTGGTGCATTCAACTTAGAAAAGGGAGCACCCTTGAAACAGGTTTGTCAGACTTCATGATCACGTTTAAACTTCAGTGTCATATACCGTGAAATTGTGGTGCGGGTCCATCGTATGTCTGATGATGACTAACACGATAGATATGTTAACAACAGAAAAATGATATTTGACTACCTGAAACATGCAAATGTCAAGTCTCTATAGAATAGGATAGCACAACAGCATGACCCTTGTGTACATATGACTGTGAAAGGCTTGTATACTGTAAGTGTCTAAATGACTGTGTGGTATGTATTGACACTGACCAGGAGACATAAAGATGAATTTGTGCTGTTATCTTGATCATATATCTGTGGTTCCAATGGTTGTTTTCTTGGAACTGGGAAACATACAATTTCACCTGTGCTGTGTCAATATAACACTAACACCACTTTCCATTATATACCCGAACACCCATTTAGCAAAGTCCAATAATTGGTTATTGATTAGTCCTTTGTGGTTTATAACATAAAAAAAAAAAAGGAATGTCTTAGACTTTGAGCACAAGTAAATCTATTGTCGACTATTCAATTATATCGATCGATGTATCTATCTATCTATCTATACAGTATATCTATCTATACAGTATATATATCTATCTATACAGTATATCTATATATCTATACAGTATACATATACTGAGTGTACAAAACATAATGAAAACCTGCTCTTTCCATGACATTGACTGACCAGGGAAATCCAGGTGAAAGCTATGATCCGTTATTGATGTCACTTGTTAAATCCACTTCAATCAGTGTAGATGAAGGGGAGGAGACAGGTTAAAGAAGGATTTTTAAGCCTTGAGACAACTGAAACATGGATTGTGTATGTGTGCCATTCAGAGGGTTGTAGTATCGAGTAAAAGTTGCTAGTCATTGCTGATAAACAAAGGAGTCCGCTCATACTGAACCTTGATCATAAGTTTATTCATATCACAAGCTTTCAGCATGAGTTTTACAGGTGTCAAGATCACCCGGAGAGCAACGTCCCAGATTGCAATGGCTGCTCTAACCCCCTCTGTCTCCAGCATATACTTATAAACAATGCAAAAATATGGGTTGCTCCCTCTGCTGTCCAATCACCTGTCTCCCCTGGGGCGTCACCCTACAAATGGCTACTTTTGAACTAAGATAAACATCCCCTCTGGTTCCATTAAGAAAGTCATAATCTTAATACACTACAGGGTACAAGTACCTTTGAATGGGGTATGGTAGTAGGTGCCAGGCGCACCAGTTTGTGTCCAGAACTGCAACTCTGCTGGGTTTTTCACACTCAACAGTTTCCGTTTGTATCACGAATGGTCCACCACCCAAAGGACATCCAGCCAACTTGACACAACTGTGGGAAGCATTGGTGTCAACATGAGCCAGCATCCCTGTGGAACACTTCGACACCTTGTAGAGTCTGTGCTTTGTTGTATCATTACCATTCCTTTCAAACTGGATAAAACAAATATAGAAAACGTCATAGTTATCTAAATGTATTGTATTTTACTTATAAAATAAAAACACATTTTCAAAACCCCCTAAAACATGCACTTGTCCACAATAATCCAATCAAAAGTAATTGGGTACGTAACAATAAAGATATAGTTCAGATTACTTACACAGAGGGGCAAGTCTGCTGGTATAGTAGAGATCCACAGTGTTGGCAGTCCAGTCCAGTAGTATAAGGTAATGATAAGGACCAAGTGAGCCAGCTGCAGGTCATATAAAGCTTCCCTGCTCTGTCTCTCTCTCTGGGCAGCCAGATCTACATATAGAAAGGAGGGCTCGTCTACAGGTGTCACGTCACCTGAAGCACAGGTGGACAGACTTCTGGAGGGTTTACACTGATCTGTGACAGAACTCTGTAGGATTTACACTGATCTGTGAGAGCCAGGCCATGGAAATCAACATATCTCATATGTGTTTGAATAAGATTATTGTAATATCCTTATATATTGTTATTGTGATGTATCCAAGGAGATGCATTACAACAAGTCACCATGATTCATCAATGAAGTCACCAGTCTTGACAACTGCTGGCTGATAGGGCTCAGTACACTCCCGACAGTGAGCTTTCCCACACACAGTGATGGAAAAGACTCCCCCTTGTGGTCTTCACAGAAAATACAACTCAAGATAGCTGTAGAACTTGCCAAGTTAACATAATGCTTTTTTATATTACAGAGCTTGCACAGTGACTCTCGCCTGATAACAAATGTCCTGCAGCTTATCAGCCAACATGTGACTGCCATTGCTGAGTTGTCCCTATGCAAACTTTACCAATGGTGTTGATGAGCTGCTAGATGAGGTGTGTCACTAGTGATTGTATGAGCTGCAGGCAATGTGTGTGTGTCGGTCTGACAATAGTGTTCCTCTGTAACTAGCTGGCACTGGTGCCTCATCCCGCTGCAGGCATGCCCTGTGTTCATGTACCAGTCATTTAGCACCTCCTTAGGTGGCCTGCTGGCCCTCCCCTCATCATACAGCTAAGGTGCTGGAGAGACTCCTGACCACTGATGTCAAAGGTCCAGTCTGTTCATCTGCTAGAGAGAGAGAGAGATGGACAGAGAGAGAGAGAGAGAGAGTCTTCTTTAAATCTCTTCTGTTTCACCCTAGAGCAGTGTGGTCATGAAGGCAGTGATGGACAAGCCTGTTGAATTACAATGTCCAGACACACACACACACACAGCAACAGACAACGTATAGAGGCAGCAATTCCATAGCATCAAATAATATAGAAAATAAGTGGAAAGAGTGTAAAATGTTTATTGTTCTTTTTGAATTTCAAATGCCAAATCACTGAATTAACAAAACAGAAATGTTAACAAATGGAAAATAGAAGAAATAAACTAGAAAGGCTACTGACACTTTTAAAACCGTTAAGCTGTAAAACCGACGAGGGGGTTCAATCTTAAACAGATCCTTATTAGCACTTAAACCGTCGTAAGATAAGAACAAATACTACATTTAGATTAAACAAGGTCAAACTTTACAGCCGGCTGCTTCACCAGTGTCTTTGCAACATTCCCTCTGAAGATACAATACACCCCATTCCTCAAAGATCTCTCCATTAAGATTAAATAAAACATACTCTGAAACAGAAGATGCAAGACTTCAGATATCCACATCAGTTTAAAAATAAAAATGTAAAGTAATCCAAAGGATGTGGTCCAGAAATGAGCTGAGGAAGGATCCTACTGGTGGTGCTGTGCTGCATAGACAGACAGACAGACAGACCAACTCGGTGTGGGACATGAGTATTGAGGTGCAGGTGGATGGTGACATGTCACTGTTCACAGACGAAGAGACGTTACCCACTAAGACTTCCCAGTACATGGCTACACAGCATGGAGGTAACAAGGACAATGAGATGGATGAGTTGGAATGGCTGCTAAAATGGAACTCTGTATACAAGTTAAAATAAGACGATGAAATGCAGAGACAAACATCTTTCTCTTTTTAAATAAACATCATGTCCTTCCAGTATACACTAAATAATACCTGGAAAGACCGATTTTCTTTCCCCCCCATTATTTTTTTTTCTTAAAACCTGGTAAGCGAGAAGAGATATGTTCAAAAGTATAATTCTCACACATTTGGCTGTAATTACAAAATGTAACATACATTATTTGTAAAATAACTTTGTTACGGCATTAGCCTAACATCTATTACTTTGAGGAGGACAAAACTATTTTACATGGATGAACAAAATAAAAGCAAAATCATATCAAACTAAATTCATGAGATGCAGGGCAATAAAAATCTCAATGGAGTATTTTGTCATGCTTGCCTAAAGTCCCTGTAAAACAGATGACTTTGCAAAAAAATAAAAAAAATACGCTCAGGACTGATTTTCTTATTTATTTTTATACATGATCAAAACCGCAAAAATGAAATAAATAATTTATGGAGGTGTTCATTAAAATTGCCCCCAAAATAAAATAAACACAATTAGCTTTGATAGACATGTCCTGTAGATTCTGGATTAGAAGTAACCAGATATCATGGTCTCATGGTGCACTTTTGAAATGATCATCTTCATTGACCATTTTCTTTACCACCATCATCATCATCATCATCATCGAGAAAATCAGTCAAAATGCCAAAACAGAAGCAAACAAACTATCAAAACATAAACCAAAAGTTAAGTAGACAAGCTGTTCATATTTACATTGAATACAGGCATTTCATTACATCATCACTAGCCCAACCACCCCCAAACCTCCCTCCTAACCCACCCCCACCCAGATCAACCCCCACTCTCCCTCACACACACAATCTCTGGTATCCAGTCTGTTGAGTCTGTCTCAGGGTTAGCCACGGAGAGTGTTTGAGAGTGTTGGGAGCTGGAGGAGAGTTGAGACAAGATGCTCTGTTGAGCGGAGGAAGATGTACAGGTCCCTGGTGGGGCTCCAGAGAACTACGGTTCAGTCCAGTGCCAGCCCAGACCTCAGTGTTTAGAGGTTGTCCCCTGGCTGGTACTGTGGCTCCGTGGCCGTGAAGTAGTCCTCCAGGAAGGCCTGCAGGTACTCGAAGGTGGGCCTCTCCTCTGCGTCCTTCTTCCAGCACTGCACCATGAGCTCATGGAGGGAGATGGGGCAGTCCTGGGGACAGGGCATCCTATAGCCTCGCTCCACCTGCTCCAGCACCTCCCGGTTGTTCATCCCTACACACACACACACACACACACACACACACACACACACACACGCGTGCCAGGCAGATAGACAGACACACACACAGATAAAGGAAGACAAATGTTGGGTCATTAACTACAGCGGAGGCTTTTCAAGTAATCGATAAGACAGTTCAATGAAAGAGATCTGTCTAGACTTTACCTCTACTGAATGGCCTTAATGGCACAGACATTGAGCTTTAAACCTCATACTGTAGATGCGGATCTTAAGGCAACATTTGGACCTGGGAAAATATTTTACATAACACAGGGGTCACACGTTTTACAACCTGGGGATGTTGGAGTGGCTTGCCATTTATTTTTCACTAGCTAAGAGATGTGGCTTCTGCATCAACAAGTAGAGTCCGGAGAGAGAGCCTTAGAAAGCTGCTAAGACATCTTTTAGGATCATGCTATTATCCCCTTAGTCCCAGCTCGGCCTCCATAGCGTGCAAGCCCTCGCCTCACTTCCCCTCCCTCCCTCTTTTCACACAGCAGCCCAGCCCAGTGCAGCGTGGCCCATCTGGACAAACATGTGTCCCCCCTCCCTCCCTCTCTCAGTGAGGCTGATCTCAGTCAGCTCCCTGCCCAAGACCAGCCCTCTCACATGGACTAGCAGTGGCCAAGAGGCAGGCCCTGGACAACAGTTATACATCTCAGATTGTGTCAGGAAAACAAAGTCACTCAGCCGTGTTTAAAGACCCCTTATTTTCTTTAACATTCAGTAAACAGCAGGAACTGCCTGCCACTTGTTATATAAGCTCTTGTTGTGGTATATAATTGCATCATAGTCCTCTACATATTTGTAAGAAAAGTGAGGACTCAACTCAGGATGTGGACATTACATCACATGCGTTGCGTCCAAAAATAGCCCCAGGACCCTAGTGTTCTGTAAACGGAATAGGGTGCCATTGGAGACGCAACCATTAAATCTCTGGTTATTTGACCCTCCTCACCTGGGTAGGGTACACGTCCCTTGGTGACCAGCTCTGTGAGCAGGATGCCAAACGACCACACGTCTGACTTGATGGTGAACTTTCCGTACAGCGCAGCCTCCGGGGCCGTCCACTTAATAGGGAATTTAGCACCTGGGAGAGAACAGAGGGGGAGATATGAATGAATGACAGAATGTAATTTAGCTATATATGGCTACCGGTAGTCTTTCTCTCTAGAGCTGGGAGTGTCTCTCAGTGTCTCTGTTCTAGTCTGTAGTACAGTGGAATAGACAGACAGTGAGCACATGTTTGGATCTGAAATGGGAGCCATTGACATCCTGTCAGGGTGTGATGATGCGCACATTATGGCCAGTGTTGGAAGAACTCCCTTCATGACCTAAGGCAATCATTAGTGTGTGTTTTCTTATTGTGTGTGTGACCTCACCTTGCCGTGCTGTGTACTCGTTGTCCTCAATCAGCCTGGCCAATCCGAAGTCAGCGATTTTACAAACCAGATTGTCCCCGACCAGGATGTTAGCCGAGCGCAGGTCTCTGTGGATGTAGTTCATCCTCTCGATGTACGCCATGCCTGCGGCCACCTGGAAAGAACACACACACACACACACACACACAGTGAGCACAGTAAAAACACTGCGTTCAACTTACAGTACCAGTCAAAAGTTTGGACACACCTACTCATTCAAGGGTTTTTCTTTATTTTTACAAAAAAATTTGCATTGTAGAATAATAGTGAAGACATCAACACTAGGAAATAACACATATGGAATCATGTTGCAACCAAAAAAGTGTTAAACAAATCAAAATATATTTAATATTTGAAATTCTTCAAATAGCCATCCTTTGCCTTGATGACAGCTTTGCACACTCTTGGCATTCTCTCAACCAGCTTCACCTGGAATGCTTTTCCAACAGTCTTGAAGGAGTTCCCACATATGCTGAGCACTTGTTGGTTGCTTTTCCTTCACTCTGCCGTCTGACTCATCCCAAACCATCTCAATTGGGTTGAGGTCGGGGGATTGTGGAGGCCAGGTCATCTGATGCAGCACTCCATCACTCTCCTTAGTAAAATAGCCCTTACACAGCCTGGAGGTGTGTTAGGTCATTGTCCTGTTGAAAAACAAATGATAGTCCCACTAAGCCCAAACCAGATGGGATGGCGTATCGCTGCAGAATGCTGTGGTAGCCATGCTGGTTAAGTGTGCCTTGAATTCTAAATAAATCACAGACAGTGTCACCAGCAAAGCGCCCCCACACCATAACACCTCCTCCTCCATGCTTTACAGTGGGAACTACACATGCAGAGATCATCCGTTCACCCACACCACATCTCACAAAGACACAATGGTTTGAACCAAAAATCTCAAATTTGGACTCCAGACCAAAGGACAAATTTCCACCGGTTTAATGTCCATTGCTCGTGTTTCTTGGCCCAAGCAGGTTTCTTCTTCTTATTGGTGTCCTTTAGTAGTGGTTTCCTTGCAGCAATTCGACCATGAAGGCCTGATTCAAACAGTCCCCTCTGAACAGTTGACGTTGAGATGTGTCTGTTACTTGAACTCTGTGAAGCATTTATTTGGGCTGCAATTTCTGAGGCTGGTAACTCTAATGAACTTATCCACTGCAGCAGAGGTACAGTGAGGGAAAAAAAGTATTTGATCCCCTGCTGATTTTGTACGATTGCCCACTGACAAAGAAATTATCAGTCTATAATTTTAATGGTAGGTTTATTTGAACAGTGAGAGACAGAATAACAACAAAAAAATCCAGAAAAACGCATGTCAAAAATGTTATAAATTGATTTGCATTTTAATGAGGGAAATAAGTATTTGACCCCCTCTCAATCAGAAAGATTTCTGGCTCCCAGGTGTCTTTTATACAGGTAACGAGCTGAGATTAGGAGCACACACTTAAAGGGAGTGCTCCTAATCTCAGTTTGTTACCTGTATAAAAGACACCTGTCCACAGAAGCAATCAATCAATCAGATTCCAAACTCTCCACCATGGCCAAGACCAAAGAGCTCTCCAAGGATGTCAGGGACAAGATTGTAGACCGACACAAGGCTGGAATGGGCTACAAGACCATTGCCAAGCAGCTTGGTGAGAAGGTTACAACAGTTGGTGCGATTATTCGCAAATGGAAGAAACACAAAATAACTGTCAATCTCCCTCGGCCTGGGGCTCCATGCAAGATCTCACCTCGTGGAGTTGCAATGATCATGAGAACGGTGAGGAATCAGCCCAGAACTACACAGGAGGATCTTGTCAATGATCTCAAGGCAGCTGGGACCATAGTCACCAAGAAAACAATTGGTTTCACACTATGCCGTGAAGGACTGAAATCCTGCAGCGCCGCAAGGTCCCCCAGCTCAAGAAAGCACATATACAGGCCCGTCTGAAGTTTGCCAATGAACATCTGAATGATTCAGAGGAGAACTGGGTGAAAGTGTTGTGGTCAGATGAGACCAAAATGGAGCTCTTTGGCATCAACTCAACTCGCCGTGTTTGGAGGAGGACGAATGCTGCCTATGACCCCAAGAACACCATCCCCACTGTCAAACACGGAGGTGAAAACATTATGCTTTGGGGGTGTTTTTCTGCTAAGGGGACATGACAACTTCACCGCATCAAAGGGACGATGTACGGGGCCATGTACCGTCAAATCTTGGGTGAGAACCTCCTTCCCTCAGCCAGGGCATTGAAAATGGGTCGTGGATGGGTATTCCAGCATGACAATGACCCAAAACACACGGCCAAGGCAACAAAGGAGTGGCTCAAGAAGAAGCACATTAAGGTCCTGGAGTGGCCTAGCCAGTCTCCAGACCTTAATCCCATAGAAAATCTGTGGAGTGAGCTGAAGGTTCGAGTTGCCAAACGTCACTCTCGAAACCTTAATGACTTGGAGAAGATCTGCAAAGAGGAGTAGGACAAAATCCCTCCTGAGATGTGTGCAAACCTGGTGGCCAACTACAAGAAACGTCTGACCATAGCTGTGGTCAGCTGTGTGATAGCCAACAAGGGTTTTGCCACTAAGTACTAAGTCATGTTTTGCAGAGGGGTCAAATACTTATTTCCCTCATTAAAATGCAAATCAATTCATAACATTTTTGACATGTGTTTTTCTGGATTATTTTGTTGTTATTCTGTCTCTCACTGTTCAAATAAACCTACCATTAAAATTATAGACTGATCATGTCTTTGTCAGTGGGCAAACGTACAAAATCAGCAGGGGATCAAATACTTTTTTCCCCTCACTGTAACTCTGGGTCTTCCATTCCTGTGGCGGTCCTCATGAGAGCCAGTTTCATCATAGTGCTTGATGGTTTTTGCAACTGCACTTGAAGAAACTTTCAAAGTTCTTGAAATGTTCAGTATTGACTGACCTTCATGTCTTAAAGTAATGCTGTACTTTAGTTTCTCTTCGCTTATTTGAGCTGTTCTTGCCATAATATGGACTTGGTCTTTAACCAAATAGGGCTATCTTCTGTATACCACCCCCTACCTTGTCACAACACAACTGATTGGCTCAAATGCATTAAGAAGGAAATAAATTCCACAAATTAACTTTTAACAAGGCACACCTGTTAATTGAAATGCATTCCAGGTGACTACCTCATGAAGCTGGTTGAGAGAATGCCAAGCGTGTGCAAAGCTGTCATCAAGGCAAAGGGTGACTAATTGAAGAATCTCAAATATAAAATATATTTTGATTTGTTTAACACTTTTTTGGTTACTACATGATTCCATATGTGTTATTTCATAGTTTTGATGTCTTCACTATTACTCTACAATGTAACAAATTGCAAAAATAAAGAAAAACCCTTGAATAAGTAGGTGTGTCCAAACTTTTGACTGGTAGTGTAGTTCCAGAGAGAATGCTGCACACGGTGACACACCACTGTCGTGAAGTTTCAGTGCTGCTGAGTCGTCTTGTTTGTGAAGTCACACAGAGTTCCGTTATATAAACACAGAGCGGAGTGAGAGACATTTTTTTATCAGGGCTTACCTGGGCTGCCATGTCAACCAGATTGGGCAGCTTCAGTCCTCGTCCCTCCCCATCCTTCAGGAAATCTAGGAGGCTTCCTAAACAACAGGAGATATCTGTTGTCAGAACATGCATTTGAAATTGCAGATCTTTATTGAACGTCTTCTGAGCATCAGTTGACAGTCTGACCTATATGTGAAATTCCTTCCCAGCATGCCAACGAAACAATGATCATATCAAAGTTTCCATCCCAGCTTCTTCTATACTTAATTAATGGATCTGAAGCTCTTTCTTGTGGTGCTCGTAAATGTCAGCATGTTTGCCGACTCTGTCATAGTTAAATATAGGCTCTCATTATTGTCACAGTGAAGAAAAACACTATTCCAGAGTAATAGCAACTACAGGGTTGGCGACAAGGCAGATGATTACATAGTCTATCTAGCAAGACCTAGAATGTGTCACCGAAGGTGGTGGTTCACCACAGTGTCAATGTTGGATTGAGTGCTCGGGTCCGTTTTCTCCATGGCATCGTCGCAGAGTACGTGGACAAAGGTATTGTGTGTTTGTGTGTTTGTTACAACATGAACTGTGTGTGGGTGGGTGTGTGTGTGTGTGTTACACCATGTATAGTGTGTGTGTGTGTCTGTCTCTATGTGTGCATGCGTCCATTCATGTGTGTGAGAATGACAATACCTTTGCCCATGTACTCAGTGACGATGTAGATGGGTTCCTCAGACACCACAGCATAGAGCTGCACCAGTTTGTCATGGCGGAGCTTCTTCATGATCTGGGCTTCCTCCAGGAAGGACTCAGGAGACATGGTGCCCGGCTTCAGCGTCTTCACCGCCACCTTAGTGGTGCCGTTCCACGTTCCTGTTACCCACCAACGACAAATAATTAGTACAGCCATCACATCTCACAACTCTCGGGGCCGGTTTCCTAGACACAGTTTAAGCCTAGTGTTGGATTAAGAAGTTATTCAAATGGAGATTCTCCACTAAGCATGTTTTTTTAGTCCAGGACTAGGCTTAATCTGTATCTGGATAACTGTCCAATTATGTATACAGTACATCATGTCACAAAGCAAGACTTGACCCCATTTTGTTGTGAATTTAATAGGTATTGCTGTGTACAATCTAGCATGTTCATATCTAAAAACAGTCTTGCTTTGGCATACCAACAACACAGCACACAACCCATAAATGGACATTGAAGTCTGCTTGCCTTTAATTCACACGCACAAAGGTTGTGCTGAGGGACGCGTCAATGTGCATGATATTTATAGTGACGCTTCATTTCAAATGGCTTTCAAAAGCCATGAGAGAGATCTGGTGAGGTTTTAAACCCCACAATATGCCAACACGGGAAAGGATAATACATTGTGGAGCTGTGCCAGCTACTGTACTGTAGCACAGTGTGGGCACGCCATTGTTCCTCTCAACAGTACCGTACATACACCCAACATTGAACCATTGAAATCAGGGTCTATTCTTCATACGAGGTCATTTAGCTTGTTCTGTGGCTCCGTCCGAAATTGCACCCTATTCCCTATCTAGTGCACCAGTTTTGACCAGGGCCCATAGGGCCCATAGGGCTCTGGTCAAAAAGTATGGCACCATATACAGTAAGGAATATGATGCCATTTGGGATGCGGTCTGTGTCAGTAAATAATGCAGAAATATCAGCTGTGACCTAAAGGCAAGACAGACCTCCAGACAGTCGGTGACATTTGGAATTCACATGCGTTTCTACTGTGGTGGGTTCGGGGGGGTTTAATTTAAGAGCGCACTCAGAAATCCTTGAGAGCAGTGTTGATTAGTGACACAGCTATGGCTTCTGGGCCTCGTCTGCCATTTTGGGGCCTGGCGCAGTGCAGTTACTGTACTGAGGTCACCCGCTGGGCTCTGAGGTAATGGTATCCCAGGGGGCTGGGTGTCACTAGCAGCAGGGTGTGGGGCTAGCCCCAACCTAAACTCCAAACCCCTAAACAGCCTGTTGAAATGTTACAACAGGACAGGACACACCCCTGATCTCTAGACTCAAAAGTAGTCAATGTAGCCAGTTCTACACTGGATACATTAAAATAATAGTAAGATTGTATGCTTAAAAGTAAACTTAAGACTATTGATTTAAGCCTGAAGCCTCAACTGAAGCATGATAAAATTAATATTTGCAAAAATCTAGGGTATCCTGGAAAAAGATGATAACTTACATTTTCATTAACCATTACAATACAAAACAGAACCACCTGCACAAAAGTTTCCTTTTGTGTTTTGCAGACTAGACTGAAAAAGTCCTCAGGTGATTCAATAAAATCCCTTTACATTTAGAAATAAATAAATGTAAGTTATCCAATTTTCCTCCTGGACACCCCTCAGTAGAAAGGAAAATAAAATAATGGAACTACTTTGTCCTTACCAAACCACACCTCAGCAAAACATCCCGCCCCCAGCTTTACTTCCAACTCAAGTGAGTCTCTGGCGATTTCCCAGGAATCGTGAGTCAGGCCCATAGTATCAGGGGTGTAGTTCACACACACACCCGTTAAATTAAAGCACAAACCATCCGCACTCTCTACAGGGGAGGGAACAGGGAAGGCAAGGCACACAGGGTTAACTACTAGGGAGAGGAACATGCAAAGAGGCAGATGGAAGGCGGCCATATTGAACTGAGAGAGTGGAACTTGTAGACATTGACAGACAATCTCCTTTAACAGTAAAGACACAAATGTCGTTTTTGGTTTCCTCCTTTCTCTCAAAGAGAGAGGTTTTGAGTAGACTGTCTATCTGTTCTCGGTCTGATGTCTCTGCTTGCTCAGTCAGTGGCCCCCTTCCATGCAGCCTGTGGTCGGACGTTTATGGAGGCGACTCTGCCCGTACCCATCCAGACCTCCCCAAACTGCCCATTCCCCAGACGCTTGATGAGCTGCAGTGACTCCCGCGGGATCTCCCACACGTCTTTGGTTTTGACGGACAGGTCGGTGAGGCGGGGCATCCCTTTGTGGCAGGGCACCACCAAGCGACAGCACAGCCCCGCGGCCCGCTCTGCACACATGCACAAGGAGCGCGCACACAAACACACACACGCATACAGAGACACAGTGTGAGATAGAGAAGGGAGGGGGGGGGTTGAAAGAAAGCAGTTAGCAAAGCACTGTGAAGAGAGAGAGAGGAGGGGGAGAGAGAGAGAAGCAGCAGTAGACAGTAAGTTAAAGTGAACTCCCATAGCAAAACAGTTCCAGGTACATCCAGCAGTGAGCTCAGGTAAGCACCACAGCAGCCAGTCAATCTGTCCCACTAGATGTCCCAGACAGTGTCTGTCCCCAGGGCCATAAGGTCAAGTATTAATCTGTCTAATGCCCTCTTAGCTACTGTTCATCAAATCACACCGAGTGCTGTTCCAACCTCCATCCTCCCCCCTCTATCTCTTCTACAGTACTGCACTAGGATTCTGTCGGCTCTGTTGATGACACACATAACGTGATGTTTTTACCAGCTGCACTATATTTCTTTGAATGTAAGGAATTCAGTAAGGAATTCAAAAAGGAATTGAAGGGTCAATATTGCACAGGTTGCAGCCTGTTTTGAGGTTGCTCTTAGTCAAAGGTCGAACCCACTGCGCACAGACGTCAGTTCAACGTCTAGTTTTGATTTACATTTGGTTGAGTTGTCAACTAAAGTCAATTCAACGTAAAATCAACAAACATTTCACCATGTCATTGGATTTAGCTGAAAAATTGGGTGAAAAAAAGACGAAATGCCCTTATTTTTTCCACGTTGATTCTTGATTTTTTGGGTTGAAATGATGTGGAAACAACATTGATTCAACCAGTTTTTGCACAGTGGGAAATAAGTGATTAGCCAAGGCAGGTCAGGCCTGACCACAACAGCCTGCTGTAGATGGACACGTTCATGGTTCCACTCTTGCTAATGGCATGTGTGACTCCCAATGCTTTACAATAATGACTAATTGTTTAGAGATGTGGCCTGTCAATCCCTCCAAATGGAAGTATAATGCACTATACGGTGCATTACAACTACGATGTTTTAATGTTACGTAGTAAAGGAGGGTACTCTGGGCTACATTTTAGTCAGGGACAGCAGAAGCCATTGTGGCTGGCAGCTGTGTGTCCATTATTGTACGTGAGCATGAAAACATGTCATCTCATTCCTGACATGAAAATTGGCGTTTCTCCTTTCCGCAGAGGAAGTAGATGTGTTTGCCCACGATCGATTAAAAGCGAGGCATGGGAATGATGCTTCCGCCTCCGTCCCTTCCACTTTGATTCCCCTGACATTAAGCCCCCCCAGCGATAAGGACCAGGCGGTTTGCTCAGGGAAGTTTAGGGGAGATAAAACCTCTCCATTGGGAGTGTTGTGTTCTGATTGCGCCCCAGCCATTAAAGCCCATCGGTGCCTGCTGCTGTGGCAAGGTATCAATACTGTACTTTATGTCTCAGTATCACTATCATAAAACATGTCAATTCGGCAAATGGGAGAGGCTGGTGTTGGACACACTGCGTGCACACAATAGGTATCAAAATTGTTATTAGCCCTTGGTGGCTATTAAAGTTAAGTGGTATTTCCAAGAAAATAATGTCATTCTTTTTTTTTTAAAGCTAGTTTGCGGTTGTGGTGTTTTTGCCTACAGTATGTGATTGCTGTGTGACTGCTGTGGAAAGATGCGTTGATAATCTAGAAATTGAATCTTGATAAAAAACCCAAGTGAGAGATTGTGAGAAAGCAAAAGGTTAATTCCACAAAATGAGTCCTTTTGTGTGCGTCCCTTTGATATTTTAAGTAGACATTTTGCACCAATATTGGATTTTAAAAGCCTGTTATATTAAATGAAGTGCTCTTTAAAGTGGCAATCAGCAGTTGAAACAATAACAGTGTACTCCCAGGCCCTGTTTCAGTAAAAAGCAGAGGGATGGAGTTGGAGAAATGTAACCACTTCCAAATTCATAGCCAGAGCTATGGATGCAAGGACTGACCATCCATGATATCAAAATGATAGTTTAAACCATGTTTTGAGGCTATTTAGTGTTTGTTTACATTGACTTTGTTCACAAACATTGGCGTAAAACATACTTATAATTTGGGTTCTGATGTTGAACTAATAAGCTCATGAGGCATTTATAAGTTCTATTCTTCAAGAATCAATGGGTACATATAATACATTTTTTAGTCCAAAAATGGAAATATCAACTTCAGATTGCCCCTTTAATTTAGACCATATGGAAAATTATATAAATCTGGATATACAGTGCCTTGCAAAAGTATTTATCCCCCTTGGTGTTTTTCCTATTTTCTTGCATTACAACCTGTAATTTAAATTGATTTTTATTTGGATTTCATGTAATGGACACACCCAAAATAGTCCAAATTGGTGAAGTGAAATAAAAAAAATAACTTGTTTCAAAAAATTCTAAAAAATAAATAACGGAAAAGTGGTGTGTGCATCTGTATTCAGCCCCTTTGCTATGAAGCCCCTAAATAAGATCTGGTGCAACCAATTACCTTCAGAAGTCACATAATTAGTTAAATAAAGTCCACCTGTGTGCAATCTTAGTGTCACATAATCTGTCACATGATCTCAGTATATATATATATATATATATATATATATATACATATATATATATATATACACACACATCTGTTCTGAAAGGCCCCAGAGTCTGCAACACCACTAAGCAAGGGGCACCACCAAGCAAGCGGCACCATGAAGACCAAGGAGCTCTCCAAACAGGTCAGGGACAAAGTTGTGGAGAAGTACAGATCAGGGTTGGGTTATTAAAAAATATCAAAAAACTTTGAACATCCCACGAAGCACCATTAAATCTGTTATTAAAAAATTGAAAGAATATGGCACCACAACAAACCTGCCAAGAGAGGGCCGCCCACCAAAACTCACGGACCAGGCAAGGAGGGCATTAATCAGAGAGGCAACAAAGAGACCAAAGATAACCCTGAAGGAGCTGCAAAGCTCAACAACGGAGATTGGAGTATCTGTCCATAGGACCACTTTAAGCCATACACTCCACAGAGCTGGGCTTTACGGAAGAGAGGCCAGAAAAAAGCTGTTGCTTAAAGAAAAAAATAAGCAAACACGTTTGGTGTTCGCCAAAAGCCATGTGGGAGACTCCCCAAACATATAGAAGATGGTACTCTGGTCAGTTGAGACTAAAATTGAGCTTTTTGGCCATCAAGGAAAACAGTATGTCTGGCGCAAACCCAACACCTCTCATCACCCAGAGAACACCATGCCCACAGTGAAGCATGGTGGTGGAAGCATCATGCTGTGGGGATGTTTTTCATCGGCAGGGACTGGGAAACTGGTCAGAATTGAAGGTATTCTGGCTCTAAATACAGAGAAATTCTTGAGGGAAACCTGTTTCAGTCTTCCAGAGGTTTGAGACTGGGACGGAGGTTCACCTCCCAGCAGGACAATGACCCTAAGCATTCTGAGTTATGCACGCTCAAGTTCTGTATTTTTTGTCTTATTTCTTGTTTGTTTCACAACATAAAATATTTTGCATCTTCAAAGTGGTAGGCATGTTATGTAAATTAAATGATACAAACCCCCCTAAAAATCCATTTTAATTCCAGGTTGTAAGGCAACAAAATAGGAAAGATGCCAAGGGGGGTGAATACTTTCGCAAGCCACTGTAGGCTTGCTAAAGTGCCAAAACTCAGCATTTTGGGATGTCCCTCCGTGCACACTCTGTGACTTCTCTGAGGATTTTAACCCACTTAACCCCAACATTTCTCTAAATTGTCACCATCATTGTAAAGCCCTAGTTATTTTTTTGCTTTGACAAAGTAATTTCTAAAGATTATTATTTATTTCATGTGATTAGTGATTAATTATAAGGTAAAAAAACAACAACCTGTCCCTCATTTTAAGGTCAACTCTTACGTGAACCGAACTCGCATTTTAATAATGGTGAAACTATTCCTTTTTGAACATCTAATAGTCAAATCATAGAGTAAAAGCAGGTGAACTGGTTCTAACTTTTTTGGCCATTTTCTGATGTTTTGTGGTGGAAAACTGAGTGGGTTGAGAATAACACGTCAACCCTGTTACCCATAGATAGACAGGCTAGAAATGTTTTAACAATTTTTATTGTGAAGCCTGCATTCAATTGCCCCTCCCTGTTACACACACAAGCTTCCATTCCCCGTCAGAAGGGGATTTATGGCTGATTTAAGATGAAATCGTCAACGCTGTTACGGTCAACCATGTTACTTTATTTGGCACTTAATAGGGACTTACTATAGTAATAGTCGTTTTTATTTAACCTCTTGAGATGGGAAAATGTGCTTGTCATGACACAATGTTAAAATTAGGTGAAATAAAACATTTTTTTTTTTTTTTTTTACACTACCCAAAAAGGACTCATTTTGTGGAACGACCCAAAAGGCAACAGAAGAAGCACAAGCCCTGGAAGAAAACAACAGCAGTCAAGGTCATTTGAAGAGGTGTGATTGAACTTCACATATGTTCTCTGGAGTGGCGATAAAGAAAACAATTGACAGTTAATGCACTGTGACACAAACATAACACACAAAATCCATACTGTTCATTTCCAATGTGCTAAGTATGGACATGTCAATGTGCTAACTGGAGCATGTGGAGGAAAATATCACCCTTGTCATGGAGAGAGACAGACAGGGGAGAGAGAAAGACAGATACATAGAGGGAGAGAGATCCAGAAAGAGAGAGGGAGAGAGAGAAAGAGTGGCTGAGGAAAAGAGAGAGTGATATACTATTTATAGAGAGAGAGCGAATGAGACAGAGAGAGAGAAAGACGTAGAGCGAGAGAGAGAGAGCTGTCTCATCTGACACCAACACATGCTCATGAATGCAGTCTGTCATCATCACAAAGTGACGTTCAACTGTCCTCGTGGTCCGTACAACTGGGACACTCAATACTATGGTGACGGTACAGTACAGACCACCGTGATTAACAGGCTCATTACTCTCTACAGGGTGAGGTAATAGGACCACTAACTCACACTAAGACAAACAGTAGACTACATCATCCTTTCAGGGTCCCCTTTTCAAACCACAATAAGTGGCGCTAGTGTCAATCTAAAATGTATTCCTCTCAATATTTGCAGAATAGTTGATTTCAAACCATGCCACTTCATCCCTCCTTGAATCACTTAGCTGTTGTATTCTCAACAGTTTTCTGAAAGTTTGAAAGTGCTTCGCTCAGTATTTGAAGTTTGTGTTTATGGGTTACATTACACCAGGCTTCACTTCAATTTCACTTCAATTGCACTTCATTCCCTTCTCAAATCTTAAGTGTCAGCATCAATTTCTATTTCTGCATTTGAAGAGGCCTCCCCAGTGTAAATCAGTTTATACTGATTGTGTCAGCATAATGCACTTCTGAATGAATCCAAGGAATTGGACACCAGGTCGAGGAGAAGCCTCTTGTATCTATTTGGGCTTTGAAATGATGTCTCCACTATAACACCAACATCACTACAGCTATCAGAAAGAATGGAGGACCAAGGCACTCTTCATATAATTAATTAAAATGCATTTATTTGTATGACATGTTCAATGGAACAAAGATTACATCAACAAAAAAAAAAGATTAATTATATGAAGAGTGCCTTGGTCCTCTGTTCTTTCTGATGGCCAATTTACCCCTTTAAACAAAGTGCACCTTCTGTCTACCAAAACCTACTATTGTGTACATTAGCAGCCTCCCTTCCTTCTGTTTCTATAAGTTAATCACTACAGCTATGTTCGGATGAGTTGAACTGTACGTTACCTTAACTCCAGGCCTACATATATTCTCATCATCGGTATAAACTTTGCCACTCATAAAGGTCTTATAAACATTGTAATAATGGTGTATAAATGGTAGGTGTAATAAATTAAATGTATACTTTTCCATCTGCCTTGGTTTTTGATATTTTCAATGTTCATCACAGGAGGTTGGTGGCACTTTAATTGGGGAGAATGGGCTCATGGTAATGACTGGAGCGGAATGGTATCAAATACATTTACATTTGACATTTTAGTCATTTAGCAGACGCTCTTATCCAGAGCGACTTACAGTTAGTGAGTGCATAATTTTTTTTCAAACTGGCCCCCCGTGGGAAATGAACCCACAACCCTGGCGTTGCAAGCGCCATGCTCTACCAACTGAGCTACACGGGACCACACATCAAACACATGGTTTCCAGGTGTTTGATGCCATTCCATTTGCTCCGTTCCGGCCATTATTATGAGCCGTCACTGGAGTGCAGGTATATATCTTTTCCATAATCAACATTGTAATAGTGGTGTATGAATGGTGTGTGTAATAATATTCTATTAACGGTGTAACTTGGACCATTTCTGACTGGTACCTGAGTAGTGCTGCACCAGCTGCTGCAGGGTCTCAAACTGAGCCCTGGTAGTGATGTAGTAACCTCCGCTGTCCAGCTTACGGATCTTATAATGCTTCACATGGTCCCCCTTCACGTCATCCCAGTCTCGTATGGACAAGGAGAAGGCACCTACAGGACACAGATGGGGAGGGGAGTGAGTCACTGGGAAAACATTCACTTACCTCATGCATTAATAATAATTGTGGTCATAGGGAATGGTTGATAGTATTAACAGATGCAGAAATAGCCCACCGGGAAAATATTATGACGTAATTTCAACCAGTTTTACCCGCTGGGTAGTTTTTCTAGAACAGTAGGCTGCTCCTCAGTTGGGTACATCATGCATTCTATTACAGCGCTGTCCTGACAGTCTCTTGAGGTTACCTTTAGTGGTTTCGCTCTCCCTGATGAGATAGGTGCCGCGGGGATTGCCAGTGAACAGAAGTTGCCTCTCTGCATCCTTCCGGCCCAGTTTCCCAAAGTACCAGCTACAGAGAGAGGGTTTAACACAGGGACAGGTCAATAATGAGTGAGGGAAGCCATTTTATAAGCCATCTATCTTAATTGATTAGAGTGTGTAAAGGGGTCTTTACATTTTAAAATGATCATCTGACATACAGAGCTGAGAGACACAGGTCACAAGGCCAGTTCACAAACGCTCACTGTAACACTGTCAATAAATCACCCTTTGGCCATGGTTTCTCAGACTAGAGGCTGAACAATGGCTAACTGCATGTTGAGAGTGAACAGAGGATTTAATATCCTGCATGAAATGCCTCCCCTTCTCTTCCAGTAATAAGCCAGTGTTGGTGAATTGAACCACACCCAATGCAAACCCTGGCTGTGCTTAAATCCAGCATACTATAGTGAGCTTAATGAGAGTGGGCCTTGTGGTGCACCATTAGAATAATTACATCATTATTCCTCAGAGAGTCTGACGGGGAGGGATGTGGGGGAAGGGCCTGTAGCACTGTCTGACACCCAGGTTTATACACACATAACACAGATAAAACTCGTATACATTCTCTATGACATTTCAAATATCTGAACACACAGCATTTAACACAATTCTTCTTTCTTTTGTAATAAAAGTATCTTTAATGAGCCGGGGAAAGTGCCAGCTCTGCAGAGACTTATAAATCCCAGTATGATTCAATTTCTCCTCAGAGCCTTGTGTTGACGGTTAACTCCAGACGCTGAGAGAAAGAGAGGATATCTGTGCTTGTCTTAACTTATGACATCTTCCTCCCTCCCTGTTGTCTCAGACAGTGAGGATAATGTAGACAGGAGAGAGAAGCAGTGCTTGACTTGGGCAGGAGCTCACCGGAGCAGAGTACCGGCACCTTGAATCTTCTTCTGCTTGAGCTCCTGTTCCTCTTACAGAATATTAGCTCAAAAGTATTGTGGAGCTCCTGCACCTAAATATAAACAGTACCGGCACCCAAAATGAGTACCGGCACTTATTTTAGTCCAAGTCAAGCACTGGAGAAAAGAGAGAGAAAGAGAGAGAGTGTGTGTGTGTGTTTTCAATCATTTCATTTTTATTTCATTCATTTTTTTTCATGCCATGTAGTCAGCTCTGTCAGAGTATGTCCCAATGAAACTCAATATGACAGACTGCTACTCACTCCTCAGCCTGGATGGAGTCCACTGGAGCCACGTAATTACTGGGAATGTAGCCATTTCCACCAGTGGTAAGGGAACGAGCATCCCACCAGTCCCCTTCACTGAGGAGAGAAAGAGAGAGAGGGAGAGAGAAGGGGGGGGGGTCAGATGGTTTCATGTACAGAGTGTACTATTAGAGCGGCGAAAACACAAACCACTATGTTCAATAATGCAGTTGACAATGTGAATACATTGAAAGCAGCACATGCCTTGTTCATATGGAATCGTGGAGGGAGGTAGTATTTGGCAGCACTGGCTGATTACAAGCAGGGGAGGGCTCCATTACTGCCTCTCTCATGTCCTCCCTCTAACTGTCACCTCTCCTACACTCCCTCCCTCCATCGCCTTTCCTATACTCCCTCCCTCCATCCCTCCACCGCCTTTCCTATACTCCCTCCCTCCATCCCTCCACCGCCTTTCCTATACTCCCCTCCCTCCATCCCTCCACCGCCTTTCCTACACTCCCTCCCTCCATCCCTCCACCGCCTTTCCTATACTCCCTCCCTCCATCCCTCCACCGCCTTTCCTACACTCCCTCCCTCCATCCCTCCACCGCCTTTCCTATACTCTCCTCCCTCCATCACTCTCACTCGCCTGTCCTCCAAACACACTGCCCTCTTTTACATCTCTCTCTCCCTCGCACATTTCATCTTTCTTTTTGGGCGAGCTAGTGGTGGTCTTTCATTTGTCCTGAATAAAAACATGATGGTGGGCCTGGGGACGACATCACAGGCAGAAATGGGGCCGGTTTCCTTTGTTCTGAGAGCATAATGGAGGTTCCCTCTGGAGGGCTAGTGTGTTCCCCCTAACACGCTAACGCTAACAGCTGAGAGGAAGGATGGATTGCTGGGAGGAAAGCAGGAGAGAGAGCGAGAGAGTGAGAGAGAGAGATAGACGGGAGGGGCCCCTGTCTGTCTTCTTAAACCCTCTTTAAACCAACTCGACTCCGCCGCAAAGACAGAAAACAACAACATATAAACAAAGAGAGAACCATCCTCCGCCCATCTCCAGAAGTATTGTAATGCTCTGACTAGCCCCTCTCCCTGTGGTCACTGCTGATGACAGAGTAATGAGTGGATTGTGTCGACAGACTGGAGTCAGGCTGGTATCCACTAGCATAGTATTCATAGTTGGAATATGTACAAAAACAATTCACAATTTACTAACCATTAAGACTTGAACCATTGAACAACAAATCTCTGAGGTTTCTGAGGTAGTTTTACAAAAACAGACTGAGAAAAATGTGCTAAATATGCCATTGTATTATAAACAATATGTCGTTATATCAAACATGCTATAGGAAAATCACAAGCAATCAAACTGGAGCGTTTTAAAGACTTGAGCCTTATTGTTTGGGATGGTTCCCTGTAACGTGTTGGATAAATTCACCAAGCTCAGTGTTTCCTAGAGAGGATGCCATCACATCACAACACAACAGTCCCTTCACTCACTGCTCTGTGCCCAGTGTGTCCGATGGAGTCCCAGGGCTGCTCACATAAGCCCTGCCTAAACAGGCACCTGCCATGGACCTTCTGTGTGCCAGGCAGCCCTGACTAAGAGGGAGAGACAGGGTCTGGGACTGGGCTGGTTGCAACTACTCCTTCCTCCAGGAGGGGGCAGTGTACCCAGTTAGAGTCTAGGTGCTGCCAGGAAGGGAGGGAGGGAAGCAGCAGGCGGAGGAGGAGGGAGGAGAAGAGGATAGAGAGGGCCCTAATGATGGTGTCTTCCTGCCTTTGCTCTAGATGGGAGGGCGTGGGTGGAAAGTTGAAAGGTGAAAGGTGTGCTGCTGGGGTATGAGGAGGAAGAGCAGCCCTTCCGTAGGGGAGGGAGGACAGGATGTTAAAGCAGTATGAATGGGTGTGGTGACTGGTGACGAGAGGAGACACTGTGCTGGGACTGGACTTTAGGTTGAACAACTACATGGGGACAATAGAGAAGGAGATAGGAAATCACAAACCAAAACAGACCCAGTCACACACACTCCTGAAAGAAATATATATTTTTATTTTGCAGTGTGCAGGCTATCAATTCAGCTGAGAGGAGTCTCTCATATAGGAAAAAAACATGAGGTTTCAGAGAAGCATGTTTGAAATATTGGCAGGCTCAGCTGCCTTCCCATTGGCTGGTCTGAGACAGTTTTGCTGACAGAGGGGTAACAGTATCCAACATGGCCAAAGAGTAGGCACAGGAAATAGGGTGGCTGCATGTGTCAGACAGTTCAAAGGGAAAGTCTACACCAGACCAGAGCAGACTGAAGAACAAAACAGAACCATTCCACATCACCCACTGCAAACTAAATACCCCTGCCTGCTCCACCCAGTTTAAATGTAGATTCAACCGCTACTGTTCATGGTTGAAAAATGAAATAAAACTGCTGTCCCAGCTGCCATTCCAACACCACTTTCCTCGATCAAAATGCAACACCTAGACAGCCAGACTGCGAGAGTGATTGTAATATGCATTCTAATTTACATATATAATATAGACCTGTTTCCCCCCTCGGTGCAGTGGGTGTGATGTGTGATAAGCGTCTGTACTGTTACTGTACTTACGTGCTGTTGATAATCTGAAACTTCTCCCCTTTCCTGAAGCTGAGGTCGTCCTCTGTCCGCGCCTCGTAGTCGTAAAGTGCCACGAAGAGAGTGACTCCTGCCGAGAGAAACACACAGCGTCAGCACTCACACGATTAGGACGAGCAGCAAATTAACCTGAGAGTCTGACAGACTCACATTGAACTGACTGACACTGGGAGGGAGGCTGGGTGCACTGTACACTTTTATACTAGAGACAGCAGCCATTTCTGGATGCAGTGGATATACTGTGTATAAGCTATATTGAATTACATGTGAAATCATCAATTTTATGGGCATAACTAGCTGGAAATGAACCTTCATACAGTACTGGACACCTTTCACCTAGAAGGTAGCATAAAAATACTGCAGAAATTATGAATGGAAAAGAGCCTTCATCCAACCCCTCAGCAGACATGTACAGTAAATACATGTCTGCTGAGGGAAATGAGATAAATACCATATGTAATAGAAGAATTCTGTCAAATAGGAAAAACACATTCCTTTCCAAGATTAGAGAGAGACTGAGACAAGTGTGAAAGCCTCCTAGTCCCTGGGGATGTATCTAGGGGCTCCAGACAGACTAGGCTGAGAGAGGGGCTGAGCTCCATCTACCCAGGCGGCCTGCTGAATCTCTCAGGATAAGCCTCCAAAAGTCTAAAGAGCTTTCTTTATTCATCTCATTTCCCTTATCAAATCAAATCAAATCAAATTTTATTGGTCACATGCGCCGAATACAACAGGTGCAGACATTACAGTGAAATGCTTACTTACAGCCCTTAACCAACAGTGCATTTATTTTAAACAAAAAAGTAAGAATAAAACAACAACAAAAAAAAGTGTTGAGAAAAAAAGAGCAGAAGTAAAAAATAAAGTGACAGTAGGGAGGCTATATATACAATAGAATAAAGTGACAGTAGGGAGGCTATATATACAGGGGGGTACCGTTGCATAGTCAATGTGCGGGGGCACCGGCTAGTTTAGGTAGTTGAGGTAATATGTACATGTGGGTAGAGTTAAAGTGACTATGCATAAATACTTAACAGAGTAGCAGCAGCGTAAAAAGGATGGGGTGGGGGGGCAGTGCAAATAGTCCGGGTAGCCATGATTAGCTGTTCAGGAGTCTTATGGCTTGGGGGTAGAAGCTGTTGAGAAGTCTTTTGGACCTAGACTTGGCACTCCGGTACCGCTTGCCGTGCGGTAGCAGAGAGAACAGTCTATGACTAGGGTGACTGGAGTCTTTGACAATTTTGAGGGCCTTCCTCTGACACCGCCTGGTATAGAGGTCCTGGATGGCAGGGAGCTTTGCCCCAGTGATGTACTGGGCCGTACGCACTACCCTCTGTAGTGCCTTGCGGTCAGAGGCCAAGCAGTTGCCATACCAGGCGGTGATGCAACCAGTCAGGATGCTCTCGATGGTGCAGCTGTAGAATTTTTTGAGGATCTGAGGACCCATGCCAAATCTTTTTAGTCTCCTGAGGGGGAATAGGCTTTGTCGTGCCCTCTTCACGGCTGTCTTGGTGTGTTTGGACCATGATAGTTCGTTGGTGATGTGGACACCAAGGAACTTGAAGCTCTCAACCTGTTCCACTACAGCCCCGTCGATGAGAATGGGGGCGTGCTCAGTCCTCTTTTTTTTCCTGTAGTCCACAATCATCTCCTTTGTCTTGGTCACGTTGAGGGAGAGGTTGTTGTCCTGGCACCACACGGCCAGATCTCTGACCTCCTCCCTATAGGCTGTCTCATCGTTGTCGGTGATCAGGCCTACCACTGTTGTGTCGTCGGCAAACTTAATGATGGTGTTGGAGTCGTGCCTGGCCATGCAGTCATGGGTGAACAGAGAGTACAGGAGGGGACTGAGCACGCACCCCTGAGGGGCCCCCGTGTTGAGGATCAGTGTGGCAGATGTGTTGTTACCTACCCTTACCACCTGGGGGCGGCCCGTCAGGAAGTCCAGGATCCAGTTGCAGAGGGAGGTGTTTAGTCCCAGGATCCTTAGCTTAGTGATGAGCTTTGAGGGCACTACTTTGAGGGCCTTATCTGATAAGACTTGATGCATCACAGCAATATGGTGGAAGCCTACACAGTCTTGAAATCTTAGTTCATTTGGAATGAAAGCGTTTTGGAAGAAATGTGGGACAGTGTTGAGACAGTGTTGCTACCTAGGGCACAGAGAGAGAGAGAGGCTGTTCTCTGCTAGTTTCAACACAGTTACAGTGGGTCAAATACAGCCATGCAACTACAGAGATATCACACGCTAACAGTGGTACTGCCTGGCTGCTCCACTGCAGTCTCCCAGTCCCTGCACACACAGACAGACACAGCCAGAGGTATCATAACCCAGCCATTTAAAGGGGCCTCTTTCTCAAAGAGCCTGTGGCTAACGCTGGCCTGGCCTCCACACAGAGGATAGAAGGATGTCAGTGAGTTTTGGCTGTGATTGGGCAGGAACCGGGAAGGAACATCAAGAGGCATGATGTATGTTGACCTCCCAAGCTGGGCCGGCCTGATCTTTATCAATGCTGCCTTGCAGGTGACCAGAGGAGCTAGCTGATTGGCTTGAAAGGGCTGAAGAGGAAGCTGAGTGTGCTCTTCTTGTTCCTCAAGGCCCACCTTGCCTCATCATCACATTTACCTCAGGTCACTTCAAAGCCATAGCCCTTGTGACTGGGGGTGGACGGGACAATGTGTTCTGTGGAAATGATGAGCCTGTGCTTTGAGAGCAAGGCCTTTGATGATATCAGCAGTGAGAAGAGCACAAGCTGCTGCCTTTCACGACACAGTACAGAGACAGAGAGAAAGAGAGACAGAGAGAGAGAGAGAGAGAGCACACTGGGGGCTTTTGAGAGCCACACCTCTGATGCATCTACCCGCCACACCAGTCACAAGATACAGACTGCATCACTTTTGCAACAATGACTCCACATCTCCACCATTTACAAGAAACCCACAGAGCAAGCCACAAAATAACAACCAGGCTTTGGTTATGCAGAATTTGAGAATCTTGGTATGTGAAACTAGCTGTGTATTTCCATTCTGACTATTAACTGTCACGCCCTGGCTCTGGGGACTCTAGTATGTTGAGCCAGGGTGTGAGTTTTCATTTGTTTTTCGTTCTAGTTTTGTAGTTCTATGCTGGCCAGTGTGGTTCTCAATCAGAGGCAACGTGTATCAGCTGTTGCTTGTTGTCTCTGATTGGGAACCATACTTAAGCAGCCAGTTTTCCCACAGTGTTTGTGGGATCTTGTTCCTGTGTAGGTTTGTGTTTTTGCACCTTTGGACGTCACGTATCGATTTGTTGTTTTTGTTCGTGTAATCATTATTTAATAAATATGTTCACCTTCCATGCTGCGCCTTCGTCCTCTGTATCCGACGATCGTGACAGAAGATCCCACCAACACTGGACCAAGCAGCGTGTCCAGGAGCCAGCGCCAGAGGTATCGCTAAAGGACATCAACCTCGACTTAGGGGGGGGCTCACACCGTGGACGACAGGGCAGCAGGAGGCCGCGATAGAGCGGTCCAGCGGGTTTGCAGAGGTTAAGGGGGCCACTGGTCACAGAGGAGAGGGAAAGTGTAGAGGCACGGCGAGAGGTACTGGGGTGTGTTACCAGTCCGGTCCGGCCCGTTCCTGATCCCTGCGTAGGGCCAGTGGTGTGTCCCCCTAGTACGGTCCGGCCTGTTCCTGTTCCTCGCATCGAGCCTGTGGTGCGCGTCGTCAGCCCGGCCCGGCCTGTTCCTGCTCCACGCACCAAGCCTATGGTGCGCATCGTCAGCCCGGCCCGGCCTGTTCCTGCTCCACGCACCAAGCCTATGGTGCGCATCGTCAGCCCGGTTCGGCCTGTTCCTGCTCCCCACACCAAGCCAGTGGTGTGCGTCGTCAGTCCGGCACAGCCCGTGCCTGTTCCACCGGTGCCTGGTCCGGCACCGGTCAGCTGCTCCACGCCGGAGCTAGAGCAATCCACTCCACCGGTGTTCAGTCCAGCTCTGGCCAGCAGGGTCAGACCGGACCAGGGGTACTTTGGGGGGTTGGAGAGGGAGTGGGAATCATGCCCGCAGCCGGATCCGCCGCCAAGGCGGAGTGCCCACCCGGTCCCTCCCCTGTGGTGTTTGGTTGGCGCGGCCGGAGTCCGCGCCTTTGGGGGGGGGTACTGTCACGCCCTGGCTCTGGGGACTCTAGTATGTTGAGCCAGGGTGTGAGTTTTCATTTGTTTTTCGTTCTAGTTTTGTAGTTCCTTGTTGGCCAGTGTGGTTCTCAATCAGAGGCAACGTGTATCAGCTGTTGCTTGTTGTCTCTGATTGGGGACCATACTTAAGCAGCCAGTTTTCCCACAGTGTTTGTGGGATCTTGTTCCTGTGTAGGTTTGTGTTTTTGCACCTTTGGACGTCACGTATCGATTTGTTGTTTTTGTTCGTGTAATCATTATTTAATAAATATGTTCACCTTCCACGCTGCGCCTTGGTCCTCTGTATCCGACGATCGTGACATTAACTAAGTGCATATAGATGAAACGATTCCCGATAGAATGTCACAAACAGTACTCAGGGTTTCTCTGCTATGAAGGCTGATAGGCAAAATGGTGCCTGTTAGACAGACAAGGCAGTACCATTATTTTGTCATTAAAGTGGTTGAGAGAGAGAGAGGGACAGCTTGTACTATAGTTCCCCACTAGGAAGAAATTAAAAAGTTAAACCCCCTGGTCCCCTGCGACTGACTGTGTGGATTTGGACTACTTTGGGACAGAAATAATCCACACTTTGAGGGAAGCCGTGTTTAGTTAAGTGGAAACGCTGAGTTCCTCTTGTAACAGCAGTGGCTCAGTAAAACATGAAGGATATCCTGACTAGAAATATTCCCTATGTAAACAATGAAACCACACACAAAGGGCTGTGCAAGCACCAGCCGGACATTCCAACACAGGGCCGAGAGGTGAAGAGAGTTGGGGGAAATCAGGAGAGGGTTAAAGGGGAACAAATCAACACCCCTACCTGTTCCGCCACGGGTGCGCAGGGTCCCGGTGTGGGAGGAGGTGTGGACCCCTCCGAAGACCGTTATCCCCTGGCCAACGGGTGCCTGGAAGTTGTTGAAGTTTGGGATGGCGGTGACCCCGAAGCTGGGGTAGTGCTGGTGCTGTGGCGTGGGGTCGGCGCCATAGTGGTAGCCCGCGGCACTCTGGGAGATGCTGGTGTCTCGGTCGTCCGTGAGTTTCGTTGCTTCTTTATCCTTGCATTGCACACAGCCCATTATCTATATTCTACAAAGTCAGATAGAAAGAGAGAGAGAGAGAGAGAGAGAAGAAGAGGGATCATGAACTTGACTGGAAATCAATAGTACAACCAGTCTGAAAATGAAGGGGGTATGAGTAGCCGTAATACATGAAATAGAGGTGCACTTTAGCATTGTTTTTGGTTTGCTCTCCACTCTCCTCAGACGACATTTCCTTGCCTCATTAGAGGGATGCTTTCTCTCAAGGACCACTGGGAACTTTATAGCCTGACGCGCGCGCACACACACACACACACACACACACACACACACACACACACACACACACACACACACACACACACACACACACACACACACACACACACACACACACACACACACCAGCGCTCCAGATGACTCAAACATGCTGTGTCTCTTTAATGGCCAGGAGAATAACCACACTGTGATACACACTGGGCTTGGGGAAGGAGAGGTAGTCGGGGAGCAGGGGACCCATGGAGGAAGGGTCACAGGGGTATTCACTCATCGATTATTCCATGATCACATCACTGCCAGCATCGACCGTCCGGTCAAATTAACTCCAGTCAACGGAAGGGTGGGAAGTGGGGATGGAGAAAGGAGAGCACTGCAGTGTGGACGTTACTTCTGTCAGTTAAAGAGACGGGACATATTTCCAGTAGGACATCTCTATGGTCCTACCACCACCATTACTTAGCCAAGGGTAGTGTCCTTCTATGGTATAATCTAGGTCTTTAAATACCAGTATTTAGCACACCTACATACAAAAAAACCATAAAATACCTTCAGTAGACAATTTATGCATTAGCTGCGATGGTATTTGCACTGTCAAAACAAAAGCGTAAAGTTAATGAACTGGCGAGAACAAAGCTCTACTACTGTGGTGCTGGGGAAGATTACCACTGGACAGTTTTATTCACCCTGCCAGAATGAATGTTTATCTCATTACTAGCGTGCAAAACAAACACGAAAATAACACTGTCAGTGTAGTAGATCAGTGGAGACAAACAGACTGTAAATTGCTGTGTTCCCGTGGAGACAGACTGCTGATCTAGCCTTCAGCTAAAGCCACTGACTGCCCTCAAACGTGTCATTTGAAAATATTCAGGATTTAAATAAGAGCCGTGTTTCTCTCGCTCTCTTTATCCCTCTCTCTGTCTCTCTCCCTCTCCTTCCTTCTCTCTCTCTCTCTCTCTCCCCCTCTTTCCAAGCCTCCTTGCCCAGTGTCTTCTGGCTCTTCTATCTCTTCTGAGAGGAGCAGGAAGCGCAGTCTGCAGTCATTTAAGACACATGCAAGGAGAAAGACCGTGGCTCAGTATGCTTCCCTTTGGTCAAAGAGAAAAACAAGGCCCAAATTATAGGAAGCCCTCCTCCTCTCCATCAATCAGCACAGCAGCACAATGGCCACACATAGAGCATGGCTGTGGCCCAGACCCTTCTTCCGTCATCATCACTGACTGACTACCACCCGCTTGGCCAATGGAGAAAGAGAGGAGAGCGAGAGAGACAGAGAGAGAGATAAATAAAGAGCATCAGGGTTCCCAATCCCAAAGTATAAACAACTAAACTACATATTGGTTTATAGTTGTAGATTAAGGCTGAATCCACACAGATACCGAGATCAGTTGAAAGGGAATCTCTGTGACATCATCCAATCTCATAAACTACATAACATATCAGAGCATCGTATTTGTCCTGTGACCTGGCAACCAACGAATCCCTGGCTCCGCAAAATGGGCGTGCGAATGCAGCAAATGCCACAATGACTCAGTGGTCTAACTCTGTAATCCAACTCGACAAGCCCTGAGTGGGAAGAGGGCCAGGAATCAGATAACTGCTATGGTCAGTGGTGGATTCCACAGCATTTCTAATAGTCTAGCTACACTTACAACTTGTAGCATCACTGAAAATGCTCAAAGTTGCTCGATAATCTACCTCACAACATAGCCGCTGAGCAGCATAGAGAGATTGGATTGGCTGTTGGACATTGACATTTGCATTGATCTCTGTTAGCCAGTCAAAAGGCTTGGCTTGTGGTAAATGTCAGAGTAATCTGTGGAAGCGGTATGTTGTTGACTAGATACAGTCAAAGCTGCCTCTGATAGAAGCACTGTATTATAGGTGATTCCAAAGGAGCCAGTTGGAATAGGTTGCTGCTGTGTAGATGATGGGAGATGCGAAGAGTGGCAAGCACACATTCTGGTGTGCACACACACACACACACACACACACACACACACACACACACACACACACACACACACACACACACACACACACACACACACACACACACACACACACACACACACACACACACACACACACACACACACACACACACACACACACACACACACATACACACACACACAGCAGTGTGTAGTCAGCTACAACCATATCCCAGAGTACTGCAGGACCACTCCCAGTATTGTTATTCTATCCTGCTGTAGGCAGCTATAAGACAGTCCTCATAGCAGGAGACAGACAGCCATTAACTAACAGAGCCTCAGCTCAGTACTACGAACACTGCTCACTACGGACCCCTCAACACAGGCTAGGGACTAAGCGAATTATCACTGCTCCCTTAGTTTGAACCCAACCTCTTTCACCTCTTTCTTTCTCCCGCTCTTTCTCTCCACTGATTCATTATTCCCTCCTGTTCAGAAAACACCTGCTAGCCGTAGGCGCTTGTATTGCTGTTCACTCCTCCCCTTCCTCTGCTGAAGAATAACAGCCTGAAAGCAACTGAAAGCCATCAGCACAGTGTTTCATATAGAAACCCACATCCTCCTCACTCTTCTTCTTCTCCTCAGATTGGTTCAGCCAATCAGATCAATGGGCCTTCAGGCAAAACCAATTATAAAGCAGAACATGACCAGAAGCAGAGTAGCAGAGTTGGGTCTATAATTAGTTAAAGTAAAGGCCATTCATTTAAGGTCTATATGGACCAAATTCATTAAGATCTTTAATTGAAAGCCAAAGATCTAAAGCTTTGAAGAATCGAAGGCTTTAGATTGAAATCAAGTGAAAAGAGTGACATGTTCTAGCATCCTGCAATCAGTCTCTAAAAAAAGAGGAGAAAGGGATAGAGAAAAGATCCATCCACAATGAACACACGTTCCTTCAGATCCATGTCAATTATTCATGGGTGCAAAATCAAGGTAGGCATGCCTCAGAGTCAGTATTGGGCCAGCTGCAAGAGAACGCCCTGGATGGAGGCATGTACATCTGCATTGCTTGCTGTTTGGGGTTTTAGGCTGGGTTTCTGTATAGCATTTTGTGACATCTGCTGATGTAAAAAGGCTTTATAAATAAAATTGGATTGATTGATTGATTGATGTATATTTCATAGGGGGTGATGAGGCATTAGCAAGGGGAGGCTACACTGTCACGTTATGCACTGGGGGGGGGGAGCGAGGCCTTTTTTCACCGCCCTTTTTAACGGATGGTCTGGACCCTCATGGGAGACCCTCTGTCTGGACAGAACACCTTAGGCCTTTACAGGATGCCATCATCTCTGAGCAGAGAGTAGGGAGGAGGAGGAGATGAGCGAGCAGGTAACAAGATGGCTGCCTATTCAGTACAGTACATATCCATTTGTGGGTCTGTGGATATTTGGGTGAGCTCATCTCAAATGACCTAGTCCTTACTGTGTGGCCAAGCCAGCTCAATGATGTGGCCTAACCAAAGCCAGTCCTCTTTTACTTTCACCACTTCAGAGCCAGACAAAGGATAAAGACTTTAGTTCTGTGCGTGTGCAATATTAGCCTGCCTCAGTGTTATGCCCTTCATCATGTGAAACAGAGTGAATGTTAAAATAGACTTCCAGACAGACAGAGAGAGCAGGAGGTCTACAGAGATAATGAGATAGAAGATTATCAAGGGGGCGAGAGAGGGTGAGAGAGAGAGAGAGAGAGAGAGAGAGAGAGAGAGAGAGAGAGAGAGAGAGAGAGAGAGAGAGAGAGAGAAAGAGAAAGGGTGAGAGAGAGGGAGAGAAAGGGTGAGAGAGAGAGAGAAAGAGAAAGGGTGAGAGAGAAAGAGAAAGGGTGAGAGAGAGAAAGAGAAAGGGTGAGAGAGAGAGAGGGGGGTTAACTGAAAAGTGAGAGACAAGGAGAGAGCAAAAAGGAGAGAGGGAGAAGGAGGAGCACAGCCCCCAAACACTTGACAAACGGAGCAGCATAATGATCAGTGCTGGGCGTCACATGCTGAGCCCCAGTCCGCCGGGGGACGGCCTTGCCTCTGTGCTCTCAGCGTGCTGCCAGCCAGCCAGCCAGCCTCTGTCACGCACACAGGCAGCTGCATCATGAGCATGCCTGCCTGCCTGCACCATTCAAGGTTAACGCTCAGAGGCTTATGCCTCATTGAATCCCCAACCTACATATAGCCACTTAACATGAACAGGAACACAAACATAGCACCCAACACACGTAATCAAAATCCTACCCTCTTCATATGAACATATACGAGGCATCAAGAAACAATGCGATGGGAGAAAGGTTAGCGGGCCGTTCATTTCACTCAGAGCAGTGTGTGTGTGAGAGTGTGTATGTGTGTTTGACAGAGAGAAAGGGGAAGCAGAGGAGAGGTATTTTTCTGTGTGTGTATGGGAGGGGTGAGCAGTGTCTGTATGTGTAAGCGCAAGCGGCTCAATTATCACAACAGCTGCAAGGCGAGCCATGGGATTAAGCCGAATCACCGCATCAACATTCTGACACCGATCCTCGTAATAATTTTTTGATCCCTCCAAATCTCTATACTGTATGTTTAAGATTCTAATTGGACGGCGTGGCGCATCAGGTCCCTCCTCTTCCTCCTCCCTCTACCACATGTGATGGCCTGGTGTCGTGATTCATCATCAGCTGGGAGAGAGAGTGCAGTGGTGTGCTGCTTTCGGGTCTGACTGCCTGCTCTGGCTGCGTCTCTGCGAGGAGAGAGAGCTCGTGTTCAGGATGGACTGGCCCACTGCCACCGGGTTACAGGGGTCACCTGGCAAGGCCCTGTGGAAACAATTAGGCACAATACCACCGCTGGAGGAGCAGGCCTCAGGCGGATCCAAACCTCCCACAAAACCTCCCAGGAGTCGCAGAGCCCAAAGAGAGTGCTCACTGGCCGTACTCGTCTCTTTGAGGACAATACTCAATCCAGAATGTAGTTCTCCGTTAAATCCACACAAGCACAACAGTAGCATCTTCCCTGAACACACATACTGTGCCTTGCAAAAGTATTCAGATACCTTGGACTTCTTCAAATTGTATTGTGTTACAAAGTGGGATTAAAATGAATTTAATTGTCTTTTTTTGTCAACAATATACACAACATACTCTGTAATGTAAAAGTGGAAGAACAATTTAAAAAAATTGTTTTTAGATAACTCAAATATAGTCGTTGCATAAGTATTCAGCTCCTTTGTTTAGGCACGCCTAACTTTGTTCAGGAGTAAAATATGGCTTAACAAATCACATAAAAAGTTACATGGACTCACTGTGTGAAATAATAGGGGTTGAC